TCTTCTGTCTTCTGTCTTCTGTCTTCTGTCTTCTGTCTTCTGTCTTCTGTCTTCTGTCTTCTGTCTTCTGTCTTCTGCCTTCTGTCTTCTGTCTCCTGTCTTCCAACCTTCCGCAGCGTGTTGGGAGTCTTCATTGCCCTGAAAGGATCCATATACTTACACTCCTCAAGATACTCGAGGCTCCCCAACAAAAAAGCAAATGGAGTAACCCAAACTCGCCTCTCCTTGTCCCAGTCGGGGAACACATAAAGAAGCTCTGGAGCTCGTCCACCATGGCCACCTATTTCTTGCTACTCCTACCTTCAACTGAGTGAGTATACTCTTCCGCTTGGGCCTCACCTCCCGCAAATTGAGATGTCATGTCATGTCGTCCATAGTTCATCGCCATCTTGGGATCTTGAATTCGAAAAGATGACTGATCTTGTTAGACACTTGGCTCACTAGCCTGCTCAACGCTGCGAGCAATTCTTGCAACTCGACCATTCTTTCGAGCTCATATGACCATTTGATGGCAACCATTGCAGCTGGGGTAGGATCAAGTCATATACAACTGCAAGCCTCTTCTAATCTTCAAGCAACCAGATATTTCTGCGTCAATCCGAGTCTCGGTTCTGGGACACCCACAAGTCATTTGAGACAACATACCTACCACATCAACCGCTCGCGTTTGGTATTTGCATCCATCCACTGCGTCCGCTCACCGCGGTTATCTAAACTCATACAGCTGTGTCGTGGCGGGCTACGGCTTCAGGACAATCGGCACAGCTTGTATCGCAAACCCACCGCTTTCTATCACCACCTCCGATGTCAATCAACAAAATGCAGCTGTGTTGTGGCGGGCTTCGGCTTCAGGACAATCGGCAAAGCTTGCATTGCAAAACACATGATTACCACTCTCGATCACAATCCTCGATGTCAACTATTCAATCGCAGTTGTGCCGTGGCGGGCTACAGCTTCAGGACAATCGGCACAGCTTGCGTTGAATCAAACCTACTATGGCTTCTTGTCTCTTCAAACCCAAAAGCCTTCAAGCAAAAACAAAAACAAAAGCCAAACAACCAAAAAATCAATAACCCATAAAACCAAAGACCAAAGACCAAAATCCAAAATCCAAAATCCAAAGATGAAATCCAAAATCCAAAGATGAAACAAAAAGCAAGAACCTACAAACGGTTGCTGCTTGGGGATCAATTGGAGTGAAACATACCAGGGCTTCCAAATTACTGACTTATTCAATGTATTCCAGGTGAGAATGCAACATTGAGTTTACTTGAATGATCTCTCGCTGCAGTTGCCGAAGAGCATAACCCACAAAACAAAATTAAAGGAAAAGAGAACATCGCTGTTATATGATACCTTCTGGGCTCACAAGGAAATACACTTTGTACCTTCATCCTTGATCCCTTATCAATATTCACCGCGTATTCTCGTGATAGGACTACATTTAGACAATGTATTGGAGTGCAAAATTGCACTAACTGGGAGCAATCTCATATATATGTATCAACTAAATTAGACCTGAGTCTCGATGGCTAAGCCTGCGATCAGACTTCGTACGCTTCGACTACCCAGTTGAGCCTACACACCCCCGGAAGACCTCGAGCAAAATTAATAAACTATGTGGGGCCATTTAAGCTCATGGGGCTACCTCAGGGCCGTTCTTTTGTGTGACACATGATAACCTTATATTCTATTCTAAGGCCAGCAAGTTAAGGTCCGCATGGAGGCATCGAGTCTATTGGTAAAAGGCGAATTTCTCTTGTCGGCATCTGATCTTCAGAATGTGCTCATTTCCCTGCCTGGACTATTTGCATCGAAATCCCAACCATGGATCTTTTATCGCAGACCACGGTGTTTATCATTCACGTTTTCCAGGATAAACTCCACCTCTTCATCCATATTCCGAATGATATGCTCCGAAGAATATTTCGCACGCCATCCAATCAACTCGCCATGCTTAGGCACGTAAGGAGAACTGTGCTCATTAGCCATTTCCGGACTTCGTATCATGATCGCAAGCATCGACATACCTTCCACTAATCTTAACGACAACAGAAGTCGTCGAGACATTAAGCGCCTCGGCAGCTTTCTGCATCATTTCATTCGTGACAGGAATTACAGAAGCGTCCGCGATGAGATTGCGTTTCTTCAGAGACTTCCCAACTGCCGCGTAGATCTCGTTCCAATGAATAGACCCGGAGGATGCCAGGTAGTATCCATTTCTGCCATGCCCGGGGTTTTCACCGTTCAGGATGGCTTTTGCGAGTGAGATATAGAGCGAGGCGCAATCCTCGACGTGACACACGGGCCATACCTATCTACTATGTTTATTATGGATCCGTGCAGATCGCAAGATGCATCTTACCTGGTCTTCTGGGCCGATTCGGAAAGCGTGTCCCACCGCTCGGAAGGCGGTTACAACATCAACCGTTTGGATGGAAATCTTGTTTCCAAATCCGAGTCCTTTGCCATCTGTATATAATCAACCTGCTGCTCTAGTGGTAAGGCATGGAATAAACAAGCAACTTACACACAATGCAAGGAGAGAACAAGTAAACTCTGACGCCGTATTTCTCGTCGGCTTCGATTGCACGCGTATTGGTATCTAGGCACTATTCCGAGATCAAACATTGTTAGTCAAAGATTCCCCTCCGGCCTCTGAGCGCGAACTTACAGCTTCTAACTCTTTGTGGGAATTCTGCTGAGCCTTTTTGGTTTGACCCAATTGGATGTCGTAGATCGATGAATCGGTATCGGCGAGAGGCTTACTGGCGTCGAGGCCTGCCAGAGCCGAGAAATGTTTTGTACCCGTTGTCTGGGACAAGTCAGTTAGTGCAGGTTAAGAAGGTTTCAATTGATGGGGGTATACATAGATGAAATGAACATCTTGGCCGGTTTGGTTTTTCAGTTCCGACAGGGCTTGAATGAATGGAACTTGAGATTCTGCCTTGTAGGCGTCGATCAGATAGAACACAATGTTGATGCGGTGCTCCAGCAGCAGACTTCTGATGTCATCGGGTTGCAGGGAGCAGTTCACGGGCTCGGCGGAGTACAGTGTCTTGACCGCTTCTGCCTGTTCGTCCGATCTGACCAGTGCATATAAGGTGTCGTAGTTGAAGATATCGGAGCTCTTCCATTCAGCAAGGAGCGTACCTCCAAGATAGCCTGAACCACCAGTGATCAAGATGTTGTTTCCCATACTTCGTGTGAGCGCCGAGTGGAGTCCGTGGCTGTCTCAAGGAATAACTTTGGATGCACATGCGATCATTTATACCGCGGAATAGACGTGGGCTTAGGCGCCCCGCAACCTTGGAAGAGAGTCGATTGTGTAATCTGGAAGCCCGCTTTTGGGGTGCCCAGTGCTTCCCTGAGCCCTTGAATCTGAGAGGGTGAAGTGTTGGCGAATAGGATGGTCTGGGTGAGAGAGCTGTGATGACCCGCTCATTCCCGTTGGTCGGGGCGGATATATTGGGCCCCATCGGCCAGATGGCTAATGTCGTATTAAATGCCAACGCCACTCCCAGACTTCATGTTCATCGGCCTGTTAGTTCAGACATTCGATAGTCGGTTTCGATTGATGTGATAGGCAAAAGAGTCTTTCTGAAAAATTAGTACTGTCCTCGGGCGCTCCGTACAAATCAGAGGTCTCACTGTACGTCTCTGGTCAAGGTAAACCAACGCCAGTGAATCCAGTGAGGACAAACTGAGTCGGGCTTGTTGTATATGATCATGCCTTTCAATCCATCAGGCAAATTATCACCCCATATGGTTTGGTTGGAGCTTGGACTCGGAAGGACAAGTCAACCTTGAAGCTAACCTTCCGAGGTTGGAGGACAATAGTATAACGTCTAATCAATAGCCTTAGTCTACGGGTGTGAACACGACCGTTCAAAATTTTCTTTGAGCTTGCAGCTATCTTGCAGTACATACACAAAGTCCGCACGTTTTTGTTGTACGTCCAGGAATTTCTTAAGGTTGCTACGGATGCTTGGCACCCCGTACCTACATAGTTAGGTGTCCTAAGGAATCTGAAGTATTTCCTTTCCCCATCCAAGTTCATTCAGCATAGCCAAAAGGTTTACCATTGAATAGATCAAAAGAGCAAAAAAGAGATGACCGACGCAGGGATCGAACCTGCAATCTCTTGATTCGTAGTCAAGCGCCTTGCCATTGGGCCAGCCGGCCGTAAAGTGGAGCTGTGAAGATCCACTCCATCGGTGCAACCCAGTGAGCTACTGGGCTGTTCGATGGGAGACGTTGGCATATTGTGCATTATCAGCCTAAACAACTTTCAATTTGAAATATCGATCTAACCTCGATTAGCATTTTCGATTAGCCAGTTTATCCCGGGCTTCATTAATTTCAACTCCGCTGGTGTGATACCCAGGTGTGTACGGCTCATGGTACAGTATTGGGACAATGGGAAACTCCAGCCTTCAAGGTTGCCATGGTGGAAGATCGGGTGATATATCATCAACATATATAACCTTGGAACCGGTCCCTCTGCATGCAAATATCCAACTTTGGAAGAATCCGGACATCATGGATGGATATCATTCACGCCAAAGTCGTGAAAGTTCCAATTCATACAGGACCTCGGGACGAGGCATTTCCATCGTATGATGACACTCCCACAATGCAGGAAAATCCTACCTAGTAGCTCGTCGCCAACCCTGGAATGCTTGTCCTCTCCACGAGGCGATTAGAGGCGCACCTGGGCAGCTCACAGTGACAGCATGGAGCTTGGGTCCAATCAACCGAACCACTGGCTCGTTTTTTCAAATCCCCAATCACAGTCGGGAATGCAAGGTGTTGTGATACCTGGCTGAGAACCAAGATAGGGCATTGCTGAAGGGAGAAGATGTTAGATGACAATCCATCTGCACAGGAGAAATTATATCAAGGGCCGCGGCCTGATACTAGCCCTGGAGGTATTCACAATTGCCAGGTGTATACCGAGGTATAGGGTGAGGCATTCAGGGATGCTGTTTCGGTCTGTCTGCCACCGCAAGCTGCTAACCTTGAAGGCAAAGATGGTGGATCGGGTAATAATGGGGTCTCTAGTATATCGAAAGCACTAGAAGTTGGCGGAGCAATCGTAAACAGCTACTCCGACGAGAAACTCCTGCCCAGTGTTCCTGTGCTTCGGCCGAAGGATCAATTTAGACAACGTTGATCGGAGGATATTGTTGGACAAAGGTGGTGTAAGGGCTATGACGAATGGGACGTCAGACCGGCCCTGGAAATCCAGAAGAGAACTCTTGAAATGTTCTAAGCCGCCTCGCGGGAGCCTCGGTGCGCAAAGCATTCATACCTACAACACCCGGGGTATGGAAGAACACAGGATCACTTCGACGGGGGTTTTAACCGGGAACAATATTTCAAACGCCTGTATAGTCCGAGACCTGGAAGCTCTAGCTTCAGGGACCTAGGTATGAATCGTCTGTTTCTTTGTGTAACTAGAGATGTGATGTAATTCAACTGATTTCAATTTTAACATTTGCTGGGCCAAAGGCACTACGTAGTCTCCTACACGCTAGACAATCATACCGAAATAGCTACTCAAGATCAATAATGGCCCGCTCAAGGGAATCTTCCAAAGTGACCCAGCCAGAGCCATAGAAATCCAATAGAATTTGCTGGGCTCGCTGAGCGCCCACATAGTCAAATGGGCATTGATAATCATTTGGTGCATCCGGGATATCGGCGTTGTTGGGACGCAGCCGGCGCATTATCGCGATGACATCGGTCCACCTGAACTTAGTTGCTGTCCCGAAGATACGCTCCGACTGAATCTTCGGATCGAGGAGAGCAGCGATATGGAGACGGGCAACGTCTTCGACGTCGACATACCACCCTAGGGGCGTTTACCTCAGAGATCTAGAGAGACGAGATAGACACACTTACCAGGAGGGAACATCTTCATGAAAAAGTCTTTACCCTGGAGGAACGCCCGAACGGGCGCGACTGATTCACTGACGTTAGGGTTGACGCGGGAGCCAATCTGAAACATTAGCACTAATGCACGTCTCTGGAAATGGGAATTTCGCACCACGTTGTCGGGAACTACCGTATTGAACCGAAAGGGTGGCTGATTCTCCTCAACCCATTTGAAAGCCTGACGCTCCGCCTCAGTCTTGGAGGCGGCGTAGACGGTCGCTCCGGGGACGACCTCGGGCGGATTCTCCCCAGCTCGAGCAGCTGCGACGACTGAGTCGTTGTACGTGGCTACGGCGGTTAGTACACCAGACCACCCCCATGTATATTGAAATGGGCCAACCGTTGTCGATCATAGTAGGCTCCGACGCATATGTCAACGTATTGCATGCTGCAGACGATGATGTCAGCACCACCGACTTGACAGCACTGTGCTTGGCGGCTTCGAGCATCGCCAGCGTCCCCTGCACGACTCGCTCGATCAGTGCGGGGTCTCGGTCGAATGAGTTGTCCGTTGCGACTAGCACCACGCCTTCAACGTCCTCGAAGAGGCTGGCGTGCGGCTGAGCCAGGTCTGGAAGGAGGGCGGACTCGTAGTCGTACTTTTGGAACAATTGGTCCAGCCACGGTCGGGGCTCTCGGACAGTCCCGCGCACTCGGTAGCCCCGCTGTAGGAGGAGGTTCACGATGTGCGAGGCGACGAACCCATTGGCACCGGTGACTAGAATTCGGGACTGGGGTGGAAGTGAAGCGAACATGATTTCGGTCAGATTGCGGTTGTCAGATCCATTTCGAGGAGATGCTGTCTCATATACCCAGCGACAGTCGTACAGGGCAAAAGTCCATGTCCACTGGAGCTAACCCGTCGCGGGGTTTCACGCATGAGAAAAAAAGGCGTTAGGTTAAGGGCGGATGTAAGGGAGCTCTTTGTGTCCGCTCGCTGTCTTCCCGCTTTTAATAATCGCGTGCGACTCAACTCTTCTCTTGACTTTCCTACTTCGCTTCTCACTCACTCTCCGGTACTTTTTTCTTCTTTTTCCCTTTCGGATTCTTTCGTAACTTGTGCCGACATGCGTATCACCGTCAGCGTGATCCGCCCCGATGTGGATTCCGACATCATCCCCTTGGAGGTCGGCGGCGACATGACAATCGACCTCTTGAAAGCTATTGTCGAAAGCGAAACCTCGATCCCCCCGGCATCCCAGCAAATTGTCTACAATAACCAGCTCCTTCAGTCCTCTGCACAAACTCTCGAATCCGTGGGCATCACCGAAGGCGACATGCTCGGAGTGCACGTCACTCTCCGCAGCCCCCAGCAACCCACCCCTCGTCCCTCCGCCCCCTCCAGCTCAAGACAACCCGCCCCACGCCCCGGCATGCCAGACCCAGAAACCATCCGCCTCCACATCCTGGGTGACCCCCGCGTGCGCGAGGCTGTCCGCAGGCAGAACCCCGAGCTCTCGGAGGCGGCAGACAACGCCCAGCGCTTCCGTGAGGTCCTGCTGAGGCAGCAGCAAAACGAGGCGCACCAAGAAGCTCAGAAGGAAGCTCGCATTGCTATGCTAAACGCTGACCCCTTCAACCCGGATAACCAGAAGGAGATTGAGGAGATCATTCGCCAGAATGCCGTGACCGAGAACCTACACAATGCTATGGAGCATCACCCCGAGTGTACGGAACCCCTGCAACCCCCCAAAAGATCCGAGCTAACCGGTTCAATTCAGCTTTCGGACGTGTCACCATGCTCTACATCCCCGTCGAAGTCAACGGCCACCGCCTGAACGCCTTCGTCGACTCCGGCGCCCAGGTAACCATCATGTCCCCCGAATGCGCCACAGCCTGTAACATCATGCGTCTCGTCGACCGTCGCTACGGCGGTATCGCCAAGGGTGTAGGCACAGCCCCCATCCTGGGCCGCGTGCACTCCGCCCAGATCAAGATCGGAGAGATGTTCCTCCCCTGCTCCTTCACCGTGATGGAGGGCAAACAAATCGACCTCCTACTCGGTCTTGACATGCTCCGTCGTCACCAAGCCTGCATTGACCTCCAGCGCGGTGCGCTCGTCATCCAAGACCAGGCCGTACCATTCCTCGGTGAGGGCGACATCCCTAAGCACCTCACCGATGAATTCGAAGCCGAGCCTACGGTCAAGGGAGCCGATGGAGCGGAAGTTGGTGCCCGCACGGGCGCCGTCACCCATCAGGCTGAGAACAGCACATCCAGCGCGAATCCCAGCGCCCCTGCTCCTGCTCCTGCATCTGCGCCTGCGCCTGCACCCCGGATCAACATCCGGCCTGCGTCGCGGTGGCCTCAGGACTCGATTGCCAAGATCACGGAGTTGGGATTCTCGCGGGATGAAGCTGTTCGCGCCCTCGATGCCGCCCATGGGGATTTGGATGGGGCGATTGGGTTCTTGATTTGATCTATCTGCTTGCATCTATGGCGTTTTGATCTTGAGCGTAATGATTGTACGATTACAGCAGCATTACATTAGAATCTGTTTTTTCTCTTTCACTCCCGCTTGGTCTTGCGGAGGGCTTTGCGTAGCCGGTTGATACCGTCTAGGGCCATGTAGCCACCTGCTAGGGTTAGTGAAACTGTAAGGCGTGAAAAAAATGATCTTCAACCCAAAGGTAGACATACCCAACGCGACATAGGGACCGTACAGCGATGTGATCTGCTGTTTCTGGGCGGAGGTGCGATCCGACCAACTCCAAACATCGACCAGACAAGTAAGGGATGTCAGGAAAGCTTGAAGACCGAAGATGACGAGGTGAATGGGAAGATAGACATGGTCTGAATCCGGTTAGTGGGGGACGCACAGCGAGTGCCGGCATTGCGCAAACATACCGCTAAGCAGGGCACGGATGGCCAATAAGGAGGCGGGAACGTGATACAGTAGCTCCATCCAGATAAACGCGGTGAACCATGGTGGTGGGTCGGAGAAGAACTTGTCCTGGTAGGTGGAGATGTAGAATTCGCGGAGTTGGTGGGAGAGATCTGTTTGGAGGACGGCAGGGAGGAGCGGGACGGTGTCGACGACTGGGGGGGGTTAGTCTGGATCACATTGGAGTGGCGGTCACGTACGAAAGATGATAGGGATATGAGTGACGAAGAAGAGCAGATAGGCGATATCGCGTTTGCGCATGCCGAGATCGGGCGATGAAGTCATGTCCAAATCCCCGGAGTCTTTAGTTTCTGTACTTAGTTAGATACCTACAGGTAGTTAGGAGCATAGCTAAGGAGAGAGGCTAAGAGACTAGTGTGTCAGGTGATCCCGGAATAGTCTGGAAGGAACGAAAGTACTTTATATGTACTAAGTACTAAATATACGTACTAATTAGAGCTCTTTGACAGATGATGCTCGTTGCTTTTTGCCCTATCCTACGAACGGTAGCCCGTCGCGGATTTGACACATCTCCTGCCGGGGGTCCACAGAGTACCTTGCAAGTTCTCACCGCTGCTTCTCTCAATTTTAAGGTGTAACTAGTGGTCTGACTTTTCTCCTTCGGCACTGGCAATCCGACAGCCCGTACTCCGTATTCCATATCCCATCCTCCTGGTCTGCCATCCTGGTCCTATAGCTTACAGTAACCGTCTCGAGTAAGAGTCTGGGTCATCGGCCCGGTCCTTGGAATCCACTAAGGACCTTGGTACTCGTACTATCCGGACTCGGAGGACAGGAGACGCAGGTAAGGGCCTCCCTACTTTCGATAGACCGCAAGATCTGCTTAATTTCCGGTCCTGGACTATCGCTCTCACGGAGTACTCATCTTCCGTACATTAGATGACTCCTACGAAGTACTCCGTACTCGAGTCTGTACGGAGTAGTACTTCGTACACTTCCCATGTGGTGGTATGCATATAGATCACAGATAATGCAATTGCAGTCCCAACCGCATTATCGGACAAAGAGAAGAACCCATAGCGGTGTATACAGCGTACAGGGGAGAAAGTCGAACCGAAAATAATAAAATAATAAAAATAATGAGCCGAGGTGGCGGGATGCTCTCATCATTTTTTGGGTCTTTACGGCCTGATTTACTCATTTTCATCATATTGACCTGTTCGGGTAATCCTAACGCTTGACCGCTGTTCATATAGTTCACTTGCTCCTTGCTATATAAGTCCCAATGTCCCTCTCTTACCCACTCTCCATCTTATCCATCTTATCCATCAGACTCCACTATGCCTTCCTCGGCCCCCGTTCTCCGGCCTAAGCAGCCCAAGGAAATTCCCATCAGCTACGACATCAACATCCCCTACGTGGACGTCGACAAGAAATCCAAGATCTCAACCAAGTACCCCCAATACCTACCATCCTGGGATCCCGTCTGGTTCGATCCCCTCACACCATTCACCTACAATGATCCAGCCCTGCGCGTGCGCAACAAGTCCAAGCCCAACCTCCTAGCCGGCGCAAAAGTCACAGACATCCAACCATCCATAGGCTCAGTCATTGAGAACGTGCAACTCTCCAACCTCTCCGAAACAGCCAAGGATGAACTCGCCCTCCTCATCTCAGAACGCAAGGTCGTCGCCTTCCCAGATCAAGACCTCATTGATGCCGGCCCAGACGCGCAAGAATCTTTCATGCGCCACTTCGGCAAACCAAACTATCAACCCGTCTCGGGCTCCATGACAGACCACCCAGCCTTCCACATCATTCACCGTGATGGCAACCGGGATGAGATTCAGCGTTTCCTCTCCCAGCGCACAACGACTACCCTCTGGCACCAGGATGTCAGCTACGAGATTCAGCCTCCAGGCTACGTCATGCTGGGTCTGTTGCAGGGCCCCGAAGTCGGCGGTGATACCGTCTTTGCCGCAACAGATATGGCGTATAAGCGACTCTCGCCGGCTGTGACGTCTTTCCTGGATGGGTTGAAGGTGACGCATTCCTCGCGCAAGATGATTGATCATGCGCGTCTTACGGGGGGTCTGATAAGGAAGGATCCCGTTGATACTGTCCATCCGCTGATCCGGGTACACCCGGTGACGGGGGAGAAGTGCATGTTTTTGAATGGAGAGTTTATTACCAAGATCGATGGACTCAAGGATTCAGAGACCAAGTGGGTGTTGGATTTCTTGATGAATCACTTGGTTACGGGACATGATTTCCAGGCTCGAGTGCGCTGGCAGCCAAGGACAATTGTGTTGTTTGATAACCGCTCGACAATTCGTGAGTTTCTCTTGTTTTCCCCGTTCTAGTTACTCGAGACTAACATTTTCGCAGACTCGGCAATTGTCGATTATTTGGATGATGACTATGGTGCCAAGGCTCGCCATATCTTCCGTCTCATTGCTTTGGGCGAGAAGCCCATTCCGGTATATGATGATGAGGAAGATGAGGAGAATGTGGAATTTGAGTAGATTGATTTACATTGAATGGGTATATGCTGCTTTGGGTAACTTGGGAACAATTAGATTAATGGGACAGGCATTTGTTTCGGGTTGCATGGGGGTCTACAAATGATTTGAGGCGAAGCATATGAACATTTAGGGCTATACTCTAGCATTGAACATTTCGTTTTTCATTACCCACCTTCCCACGCCTAGAGTTACAAAACAAAAAAACCCAGCGACTCATCGCAATAGAAATCAAAAGATGTCAAATACCCGGATCCCAGGACCCGAATCCCAGGAAATGCAGATCGGCAACGTCGCCCAAAACACAAAGTAGATCACTGCAAAATATCATCGATCCGTGACCGCAAGTCGCGAGCGGTCTCCAACTGCTCCTTCCCAATGACATTGCCCTGCAGCAGGATCAACAGCATCTCAGAGACCCGCTCGGCAACAGCATCCGACCCAAAGACCATCCCGCCCAGTCGCACGGTCTCCTGGAACCACCCAGTAAGGAGGTAGAGCAAGTCCTGTGCGATGAACCGGCGGTTGGACCCGTGGAAGGGCGCTTCGTCGGTGTAGTACATGGTCTCGAGGACCGCGTACAGGGATTCGTGCGCAACGCCGAGGTCCAAAAACAGATCCACCACCCAGGATGGCGGGCCGACGTTCCGCTGGAACTCCAGAGAGTAACGCTCGAGCATGGGGACGAGCTCGCGGATGGGGAATACTATCTCGGACATGCGCAGGCGGCTTCCGAGACTGCGCACTTTGTCGATCACCGCTTCGTAAGGTTGCGGTGAGCCGCGCGCAACGGTGACTTGGTGTGTGCTGTCGATCAGGTGCTGCCAAGTGGACTTGACGTCTGCAGCGTTGCGGTGGTCGGCCTGGTAGAAGATTTGGAGGCAGATATCGTGGTAGCCGGCTGAGTCGGCAAATTGGTTGAACAGCTGCGATGGGTTAGCGGATCGGGTTGCATCACGTATCATGCAGTGACGGGGCTTACTGTGCTGATATCCTTGATCGGACCGTCTACGTCCGCTAGGACCTCACGCTTCCGCTCTTCAGCGATACGCTCGTCATCCTTGAGCCTTTGCAAGAGGTCATCTTGGATATTGGCCACATCGACCATATTCGAAATCTCCTGCAACAGTCGCTGTCTTGACTGGCGTCCCACGTCCGGTGTGAAGATGGAAGCGTTAGCGCGAGCTTGGCCAAGATACTCAATGCGGCGGTTTAATGGCAGGACGAAAGCACTCTGGGCTAGGTGGTACTGGACCTGCGCGGTCTCGAAGAATCGTTGAGACTGAGCGTAGTATCGCCACAGTAGGTCTGCATGGCCGAGATCGTCATTCGACTTGCGCTGGAGGTAAGTAACCACAAACGGCGACTGTGTCTGCAGCAGCCGGTCGCTCCAGCCCTGTTCCAGGTACCAATCGTAAAGACTCGTCAGGAACACCTCGTCCGCCGAGTCTGAAATCACGCCATAGGCCTCACCCTGGCGCTTGGCGATGATGGTTGGTTGGCCGTCAATCACGCCAGGGTCGGATGATGCCAGGGTATCCACTGCGAGGACAACCTTGAAGATTAAATCGTAGCACTGGTTGCGGAACAAAAAGTACTCCTTGCGGGGATCCTGGGTAAATGTGAGATGGTGATGGGTTCCATGGGGTAAGGGGTCGCGAACCTGATCGGGGCGTCCATCCATGATCCAGGAGTAGGCAAGGTTGGCTTTGTCGGAGCGGGCGGCCACATTGAGGGCCAGCTGGATTGCACCTAGAACAATATTAGCATAAACTATTGACAAAAACCCAATCACGTCTTACCTGCGAAGAACTGGTTGATAATGAAATTGTCAACAGCTGAGACCAGGTAGTCCATAGGCAGGCAGTCTGCCACCTGCTGGAAGAGATGCAGGCTTTCATTGAGCAAGTTGCGGCCCAGTTCTGTGTTGGCACCGGCCTCGGTCGCACGCTTGAGCATCTCCTGGGCTTTGAAGATAACGACATCCTCCGTGCTGCAGAAGCTGCCGCATCTTCTGCGAAGTGCATCAGCCACTGTCTCGACGTTGGACCCCTTGGCAATGTTGCGGTTGACAATGCCCTTAACCAGCTCTTTGGCGATTTCGTGGCCCTTGCTAGAGCTGAACAATTCCTCGAATGTGAGACTGAGGAACTTTTCCTTTGATTCGATTGGCAAGGTAGCCACGATCTCATCAACTCGCTCATCAAATAGAACAAGAATAAATGAAATGCCTTCAATTGTGTGTGAGACCAATTGGACAAGAGAGTGTAATGCGCGGTGCTCGGCTTGCAGTGCTGTTTCTTCGGTCTTTGTATTCATCCGATTAAGTGCATCAGGCCCACTGAGTCCCTCGATGAAGTTTCGGTTCACCTTGAAGAATTCCTGCAGCGAAGACAGATCATGCTGGATGGTCTGCAGTTTGACGGCACTTACAGACGCTGAAACCGTTTGAGCGCCATTAGGTCCGCCGCCGACCTTTGCGATCTTCTCCTTCCAGATAGACCGCAACAGACGGGAGATGTAAAGAGCAATGCCCGCGTGTCGCGGAGAGGGTTGCACTGCGTCGAGGGCGGATGTTGTTCCATCCGCCACAGCATTCTCATTCAAATGAGCTCGACCTCCTTGCTCAATGAAGAACTGACGTGCGAGGTTCAGGACATCGGGGTCAGTGATTCGAGTCATTCTTTGGTCAGAGGACAATTCAACCCCCTGGCCGCAAGCAACGGCAAGGGCAGTTGCCAGTGCCTCGCTACGCCCATAGAGCTTGATGAAGTTCCTCCCCTCACCTTCTGGGCCCTCGTCACGGCTTCCACCGTTGCGGAGCAAGGCCGCGAATATGTCCACAAGACGACGGCGGCGAATCAGATGAACACCGCCGTTCGTCAAGATAGCAATCTCTGCTGTCGGATGATCGAATTGAACAGCCAACTCATTGGTCACTGAAGAGGGTGCTGATACTAAGCCAATATCCTCCGCTCTGCCTCCCAGGTCCAGTACGATAGCTGACTCGGCATCTTTGTTGCCGTTAGTCGCATTATCCTGCACGTGCGCTACTCTGCCAGCGTCAGGAGTCGAGATGAAAAGGGTGTCCATCTTCTGGAGGGGGTCCTTGGTAGTGAAACAGAAGAAGTAGCCCGGCGAATATCGCTCGGCGAGTCGTGTGGGTGAGAGTGTGGTGATCTGACCAGCAGAGGGGGAAATTGCGCTGATGGGCGAGCCTGCCACATTCCCACCGGGAGTAATATCGACAGGCGGCGTCTTGACATGCAGCGCCTGCATGCTTGTAGGGGGGTTTGTGCCACTGGAAGCAGGAGCCCAGTTGTAAGAACCCGTTGCGCTTAGGTAGATGCGGTAACCGGTAGCGGTCGTCGCGACCAAATGGTATCGGGAAGCTTCTGTAGCCGGCACGGGACTGATCGATACAATTTTGACTCGGGGGTTGAGAGTCTCATTCGAGGTGATAATGTGCCCAATGTTGGAGTATATGTCGATGGCACGTTTAGTGATGGCGAGTGTCAAGCTGCCTTCAGATCCAAGATGGAAAACACGAATTGTTGACGCCGACGAGAGTGTGTAAAGCAAGTTGCGACTCTCGTCGAGTGCCATCTGCACTATGCTCTCAACGGAGCTCTGCGCAAGATTGGTCAAGCTCATTGATGGCCTGAAAGCCAACAGACGCGAGCTGGTGTGATTCACTCTGCCGCATCGTCCCTGGAACCACCTTTCCTCCTGTTGGTAGGTAACCTCGTGCACATCGGTATCAGAGGATCCTCCGAAGAAAATGCGCCCAGTCGAATCAGACGCCGCGAAAACATTGATATCCAACCCGCGCACCGAAACCGACATCCCAGTGTGGTATAGGGAGACTTGTTGGCCCCCATTGGGTGTCTTTTCATATCCCATTCCCAGCAGAATGATATCTGCCGTCGTGGAAATCACCAGCAAATGGGTGATTGCAGGCAAAAAGACACCCGGGCGAGGTTTCGTCAATTTCACGGCGTTGATACTGTTCGGCTGGTCCTCAAAGCCCACAAGTTGCGGGTTTGGGTGTGTAAAATCCCAGATATACAATGCGTTGTCAATGGCCACCCACGCGTGGTTCAGCTCGGCAAACAAGCCCATGCTTGTCGACACTTGTGCGCGATTGTATTGATCGAAAATTTGGTCGGGAATGTCGTACATCTTGACTTTTTGGAAGGGTGCCCATGATTGGGCCCCAGGGATGTTGTACTCTGAAGAAGAGCCCTCTGTTGGTGATCAGCTTGGTCCAGGTGGTTCGAACGAATGTGCTCTTACGCGACAAATAACTGTCCAGGTCTGGGTAATTGGATTCACTTTGCAACGCGCTGTTGATCGTACGCGCCCCGCGCTCCTCAGTGCTCACTGTCTGATTTTGAGTCTTTGATGCTGCTGGGGGAAGCTTCGGCATGGGGGTCTGGGGGGTTTGCGTTTGCGACTGCATTGACGATAGCGGCGACCTGGCCGGAAGGGGTCTCGGTCCAGTAGGCGCTGGAGTCTGAAAGTAAGCTCCAGGAAGGGGCTTCTGCGGCGTTGCCGGAGGAAGATTTGTTGGAAGAGTCGGATACGACATAGCGGCGGTTGGGGAAAACGGAGAATCCCCCGTTAAAAAGTCACAGGGAGCTGCAGTGGAGGTCGGACGAAAAAGATAGAGGAAAAAAAAGGGTGGGCTGTCGCGATGAATATCGGTCTGGGGAGTGAGACTGGATTTATTGAAGGTCTTTGCGAAAAGAGAGTCAACACCGAGGACGCACAGACCATTTGAGATCTTCCGCCTTTTGCTTTCTATTGACGTTTGGATCGGCTCTCTCCCCAATTACTTCATTTCTCGCTGTCTCAACGATGTTTCAATCAATCCGTGTTGCTCTACCGGCTCGCATTCCAGCTCGTCTGGTCAGGTGGAATTCCACTGGTCCGGTCCTGCCACCTTTGATGGCCACTCTGCGGACTGATTTGAAGACTGCTATGAGAGCCAAGGACACCACGCGGTAAGGTATCTGGTACATATTGTAGATTCCAAGCTCATGATTAGACTCAACGTGCTTCGCGCCTTGATCTCCGAGACCAACAACGCCGCCAAAACCGCCTCCCCGATCCAGACAGATATCCAGCTCTTGTCCCTCATCCGGAAACGCTTGAACGCTGCTAAGGATGCCGCCAAGGAGTTTGAAACCGCCGAGCGACCCGACCTGAAGGAGAAAGAGGATGCGCAGGCTGTAGTACTGGAGGAGTACGCCGGTCAAATCAAGACCCTTCCCTTGGCCGAGATTGAAGAAATTGTGGCTACCGCGATCAATGCTATGGTCAGCGCCGGTCAAAAGCCCAACCAAGGAACTGTGTTCAAGACCCTTTTCGCCGAGGATGGTCCGCTCAACGGAAAGCCAGTGGATAAGAAGAACGAAGTTGGTCCGGTGGTGGCAGCAGCACTCAAGAAGATGGCCTCTTGAGTTCATCATTTAACCCATCATATTGTATTTTAGTGTGTCAATAGCCTCAGAGGCATCCAATTATCTATATAATTCACAGAAGAAATAAAGCTAACTCCAATCAAACGCCAGTCTACCGAGAATTATGAGTAGAAGAAAGCCGCTCCTCCAAGAGATGTCATCAGAACACCCAGCCACAACCACCGGTCTGGGTTAATCAATTGATCTCTGCTGACGAGATAGAATCCGGTGTCGGATTGGACATCTCGCTTGGCCTTGTTTCCTGTGGGAGTGGGGTTCAATGTCTTGGTTGGAAGCATCTTCGGTTGCTCGTAGGCAATGAACATGGGATGGACCTTGGAGCCGTCTGCCCTGGTCAATTGAAGCCGCTTTTCATCGTGATACTTGTCGATGCCGACGGAAAAGTCCTTTAGGGTGTCAGAAAAGCGAATCAAGAGTTAGACCGGCAAGTATTCACCTTGAAACGCTCAGTGGTGTTGAAGCGTGTATACTCAGCGATGTCCTTCCGGCATGGATCCGACAGCAGCTGGCGGCCATCCACCGCGATCGGAGTCAAGGTCAATGACCCGTTGGCATATACGGCGTACGAGCCGTGTTGCCACTGCATAATGCCTCCGGGGCAACTCGGGTCGGCGGCTACTGCATGTTAGCCCACGTTCAACGCGGATCTATACGGGAGACTCACGGTTGGAGATTGCTCGATAGTAGGCTGATTCGTAGTTTCCATCACTGTCGAATGAATATGAGATGCCGGTTAGACTGGGCTCGAGTAACCTGTCTTCTAATGGATCGTAGAATCCCTGATGCGCGTTAGTGCCGTTCGGACCCAGTTGTATACTTCGACCTACCGGACCGGTGATAACCTGACGAGACTTGGTAGTCCATGTTCCCACCAAATCATTGACATTTGCCAAAGCAACAGTCGCCAACAAGCTCCAAATCCAAATCATCTTGGGGATTTACAAGGGAAAAGTGTCAGAAAGGGCGTATTTGAAGGGCGCCCTTCATTCGGGTGGAGACCACAACAGAGCCCAGCAATGCCCTTATCATTATCGTCAGGAATGGGACTTCCCCCTCACAACCACCAAATGGCCTTTCAAGCAGCAAAGCGCGACCTGCGCAAGAGGATGCGCTCGGTTCTGTCGACGTTGTCAGCAACCTCTATTACTCAACAGTGTCAGAGCCTTTGTTTTTCGCACTCGTATTCCTACTGATAGCCTCCAGCTACTACCGCGACGAACAAGTTCCTGTCGCTGCGTGAATACCAGAACGCCAAAAGCATCGCGGTGTACCTTTCCATGCCCAGTGGAGAGCTTTCTACAACTGGAATTGTGCGCGATGCGTTGCAGAGTGGAAAAAAGGTTTACATCCCATACATCTCTACTAAAGACACGGTCTCGGTGATGGACATGCTTGCGCTCGGATCGATGACGGAATTTGAGTCACTACAACCAGATAGGTGGGGAATCCCGTCCCTTCAGGCGACGCAGATTGAAGGTCGCCAGAATGGAATGGCGGAGGGGTTGGATCTTATTGTGATGCCGGGCATGGCCTTCGACCACGAATTCCGACGTCTCGGTCATGGTAAAGGATATTATGATCATTTCCTAACGCAATATTCAAAGCAGACCAGCAAAATGCCATTCCTGGGTAAGAAAGTCCAAACAACCCGTTTATTTCCCGACTGAACTCCATGGTAGTTGCCCTATCTCTCCAAGACCAATTGCTCTCCGAGGTGATTCCCGTGGTGGAGCATGACTGGCTGGTCGATGCGATCGTGGTCGGCGATGGTCAATGCTTGGATCGCAGGGTGTGCAAATAGAACGAAAATGAGCGATACTTCAAACGGCTTGAATCAATGAAACATTGTCTCCCTTGAGGAGAATCTGGCCTGCGCGTGGGGTTAGCTTGATTCCGGTACCGTAGCTGTTTCATGCGTACCGAGCGGCCTGCGCTTCTCCTCCTCTGTCTTAGTCGCCAGGCGCACCTCCACGGCGTCGTCAATAACCAGGTTCATGAACTCGTCGAATCCCTGTAACGTAAAACGGTCAGCTTGTCGAACGGCGATAATGATTCTCGGAGCCACGTACGCGGATCTTCCCCTCAATCCGGAAGGCAAGCTGCTCATAGAGCCATACTGATACAGTACTGCGCTTCTGCAGAAGACTGAAGATGAAGTGGATAGGAGCCAACAGAGTCTTTCGGCCAGCCATGATGTGTGTTGGTTGGGTTCACTGCTTCGGGGAGGTTGTCGGAGTGAAGAAAGCTCTGGCGGGCGGTCTGTGATTTGATTACCGTAATACGGGTTATCTCGTCACGGCCACCATCCCACCTTCAACTCGCCCTCTTTGCCCACCACTCTCCCTTGAATGAAATATTGCTGAGCCTGTTTCAATCTAATACAAAATGGCCAGCAAGGAAGCCGGGCAGGCATTCGCGCCGGTCCTGGCGGCTGTCGCGACAATGCAGGGGAATGTGTCTCGGTCTGAGAAGACTCAGGCTCACGAATTCCTTGAGAAGTTCCAGAAATCGGTGAGGTATTCGGGCTTGTTCTGAGAATTCTGGGCTAACCGTTTCATAGATCGAGGCTTGGACTACTACCCACGCTCTATTACAGGCACCCGACGTACCAGTTGAAGCCAAGTTGTTCGCCGCAACTACACTGAAGGGAAAAGTAAGCTTACTCTGGAATGGGTGATTCTGGCTCGCTCTAATTGCGCAGATTATCTTTGATCTCGATCAACTTCCCCCCGATTCGGTACTGGCACTGCGAGACTCTGTCTTGAACCTCCTAGTCGCATTTGCGCCGGGCCCGCGCCCCATCCAGACCCAGCTATGTGTTTGTTTGGTCAGTCTGGCGATCCAGATGACCGCATGGAAAGACGTTCTTGCGACTGTCGGTGCTGCTTTAGGAAACAACGCCGGAGACTGTGTACTTGAGTTCTTGAAGATCTTGCCCGAGGAAGTCACTGAGGGGCGCAAGATCAACCTCAGCGTGCGTGTAACCTGGTGCCTGTCCACGACGGGTTGGCTAATGATATTTTTAGGAGGAAGAACTACTCGAGAGAACCGTGGAACTTCTTGAAGGCAATGCAGAGCAAGTCCTACAACTGCTGATCCAGTACTCGCAGTCGTCGCGTAAGTTTTGACCAGCCATCGCTCATACTCATGGAGATAAGGGGCTTGAAACTGACTTTTAAACAGCCGCGGCCGCAACCAACCCCCGTCTTATCGACTGTATCACATCGTGGCTCCGTGAGATCCCCGCGGGCAGGATTGTTGAGTCACCCCTCATGGATGTCATCATCAAGGCCTTGGACGACGATGCTTCCTTCGATGCCGCTGTGGACTGTGTCTGCACTCTTTACCGCGATACTAAGGATGTAGACGAGTCAGTACCAACCATTCAAGCGCTTTACCCGCGACTCATGGCTCTTCGACCCAAGATTGCCGAGACCGCGGAAGCCGAGGATCTGGAGGCCTTCAAGGGAATCACAAGAATATTTGCCGAAGCTGGTGAGGCTTGGGTTGTCCTTGTTGCACGTCTGCCAAGTGAATTCCGAGGCCTCGTCGAGGCTCTCCTCGAATGCTGTGCGCGCGATTGGGAGCGCGACGCAGTGTCTTTAACCTTCATTTTCTGGTTTGAGCTCAAGCAATATATCACCCTGGAGCGGTACAATGACGCGCGCTTGAACCTTCTACCTATCTTCTCGCAGTTGGTTGATATTATGGTCAAGCACCTTGAGTTCCCCAGCCCCGAAGAAGGCGAGACTGATCTCTTTGCTGGAGACCGTGAACAAGAGGAGAAGTTCCGTCAATTCCGCCACGCCATGGGTGATGTTTTGAAGGACTGCTGCGCTGTCGTTGGCGTGAATGATTGCCTTGGTAAAATCTACCAATTGATCCAGCAGTGGGTTGCCAAGTATGCCTCGCAAGCCAGTAATGAACATGTTCCTCACTGGCAAGAGCTGGAGGCTCCTCTGTTTGGTCTTCGCGCAATGGGTCGTATGGTTGATCCCGAAGAAAACACCATCCTCGGACAGTTGATTCCCCTCATTGTCCAGATTCCCGATCAGGAGAAAGTGCGATTCCAGGCAATCATGGCGCTGGCCCGCTACACCGAGTGGACCGCTCTTCACCCCGAGACCCTGGAAGCACAGCTCAACTATGTCATTTCTGGGTTCCATCACGCCTCTCAAGAAGTTGTACAAGCCTCCGCTCTTGCCTTCAAGTTCTTGGGCACGGATTGCCAGAAGCTTCTGGGTGGCCACATTGCCCAGCTTCACACCTTCTTCGAGTCCGTTCTGGACAAGCTGAAGCCCACTAGCCAGGAAGAGGTTGCTGAGGGTGTTGCAGCCGTGGTTTCGGTCCAGCCCCAAGAGAAGATCTATGAATCCTTCAAGATGTTCTGTGACCCAATTATGACCCGTATCATGAATCTCGCCAACAGCGCCCAGACTGAAGAGGGCCAACGCGCTGTGGCTGATCACTTGCAGCTGATTACCATCTTCGTGCAAGTGGTGACACCCATTGTTCCGCATGGAGAGGAGAACCCCGCCGTCAAATACTGTGGGGAGATTCTTCCCATTATGACCACGATTGTCATGAACTTTACGTCTTCCACGCCTATTCTCGAGCGAGTCTGCCGATGCTGGCGATACATGATTATCTCTTACCGCACTGGTATGATTCCCTTGCTACCGGCTCTGGCCGAGAGTATCGCGAACGGCTTCCAGGCGTCGCGGGAGGGCTGTTTCTTGTGGGCCACAGATGCAGTGGTCCGCGAGTTCTCCGACGGTGCTGAATACGTTGACCAAGCCACCAGCGATGCCGTGTTCCAATTCTACGAACAGCAGGCTATTGCCTTCCTGCGTATTCTCAACGACCTTCCCCCTGAGAACCTGCCCGACGTGATTGAAGATTTCTTCCGTCTGTCCTCTGATGCCGTTCGCTACTACCCCAAAAAGTGCATCAGCTCGTCGCTTTCCATTCCTATCTTTTCCGCTGCTCTCAGCGCCCTCACCCTTCAACAAGTGGATCCCCTCATCGCTACCCTCCATTATTATCGGGATCTCTTCGGATTTGCATTCGATAAGCCCATGGTTTCCGAATTTACCAGCCCTGAAGGCCAGCCCTACATCACCCCGCCTGAGGTTCGCGAGGCTGTGAAGGCGCTGATCATCTCCCAAGGTCAGCCCTTGGCGCAGCGCGTTTTGACCGGCATGATGTTCACTTTCCCTGGTGATTGTTTCCCAGATGCGTCTGGGATCATCATGACCATGTTCCAACTCTTCCCTCAACAAACCGGTGTGTGGCTGCAAAGCACTTTGCAGATGCTTCCCGCCGGCTCTATGAAGCAAGGCGAGGCCGAGCGTCTGCTCAAGAATGTCTCTGACAAAGTACAATCCGGCGAAACCCGCAAAATCCGTGTTCTCCTGCAAGGTAGGTTTTTCTTCTTCCCCATTTCGCATATCCTCTAACTCCGAACAGACTTCACCAACTCCTACCGTCGTCGCAACGTGGCACCTCGGGATGGACTCGGTCGACTGGAGGCCACGCGATTCCGATTCAGCGGCTGAGATCCCGTATATTTCTTACCTGTGCCTAGCGGCACTCAAAAGAAACCCCCACGGGAGCATTTGCACATCCAGGTGTTAGTCCTTTATTATTGACGCGCCATGTGGTACGATGGCACGAAACTCGGTCTCGTGATGAATTATGATCTGCCGGTGCCCCCGGCCTGACCAGTAATCTCTGGCTTCCACCGTAACTACCAGTAGGGTGCCAGCTCAACTCGGTGGACATTCATAGATAGTCGGAACTCATATCTGTATAGAGATGCGAAGCAGTCTCCGCGTGCGGATGTGTGACGAGCAATGAAATATTCAATGTTGATAGCCTGGTTTATGCAGCACTTCTCTTGTCAAGGATTGGACTAAACTGATGAGACTGCCACTTAAGAGAAAGCGGGGCTGATATGACAACCTTAACCCGCGATCTTGCTGACCTCAGAACGAGGCGTTTATTTCCTCGTCATTTCTTGGGTAAGGCCCCTAAAGTCCCCGAATATACAAGTATATCTGCCATTAACGGGCTTGGAAGGTGAAAATGAAGGAAAGTTGCGGCTCAGCTCAAGGTGGGGCCAGATTAGGTACCGGGCGCTAGTCCCAACAAGGCTAAACTCCATGGCTGCAGGTACCATGGGCGACTAATATAGACGCAGCTCTGTAGCCCTGGCCTATCGAGCCCATCTTACATACTATCGTTTTGATGCCGGTCTGCTCAAAAACAATGCGATGAATAAAATGTAAGCAAGAGGAGGTCATACTAGGGAGAAACCAATGGAGCGAGCAACCTCTTACCATGCGATGATCTATGGATGTAAATCGGTTTACTGCAGCTTTGAACTTTCCTTCTTCGTTGCCCTTCCTTTCCTGTGTTTCTCGAGCCTTGGAAATTTCTAGGATATTCTTTTTCTTGAAAATTGCCCAGGTGTCTCCATCAGCTTACCAAATGCCAGAAAAGACAACCTTGGAAGCCAAGGCTCGTAAGCACCGTGAGCCCACGGAGATCACCAATTTGAATCTTCTGGGTCAAAAGTTTGCTTTTGAGGGTTGATGTTCTGATACTGCCAACACCCAAGGTCCTTGCCGCTGCCTTTATTCATCTTTCTGAGCGCAGAGTGATCACCAGTGTTGGCGATACGGACTTCAATTACTGCACCTTACCACCTAGCAGGATAACATTGATGGCTCACTGAAAACAGCCCTGGAGGAACTGGTTGCTGAAATTGTGACCACGGGAACTCACACTTTGACATTTGTCGACCCTCACGATAAAGTCTGCTGAGCTGATGGGGCCGATACAGGCCATTCCCGAAGGCAAATGCCTACTGCTCCAATGATGACAGCAAGTGTGCTTTATATGATGGAATAGCACCACTGTTCACCACTGTGGGAGTCGGAACCGTCGCCTTTACCCAATCACTAGTTATGCCCAGGTGGTAGGTTTCTGATTGATCTAGTGCTGGAGAAGGCCGTGGACGCCATGGGGATAATGGACGATGAGCCAATACGCTAACGAATTTCAAGAAAACATTGGCGTATACCTAGGTAGGTATCAAGCTATGGCGTGAATGTCCATACCCAAAATTTGTCGTTGGGACTGATTAGGCAAAGACGCTGCCTTCCAAGGTTGATCGTGGGCGTCCACGGGTTTGTGGAGTGCGCATTCCAGGGCTTCATGTGGAACCTTGGAAGTATAGGAAAGGCTGCCGATCACAACTATGGAAGTATAGGAAAGGCTGCCGATCACAACTATGGAAGAAAGCGACGAGGACAATTCCTCTCGCCATTTATAGGTGCCTCGATATCCGGTCATCACTAGGTGTTCCAAGCTCCACCTAAGGTTCATAATGTTCAACTATTCCAAGGTTGTAAAATCCATCCACTTACTACCTACCTAGGTAGTCTACACACTCCATACTTCGTAGCCGCCAAGACTAAAGATTGGGGCGCCGCTCACGCTACTCAACATCTTACCTAGTGCCTGGGCAGAAATCTCACCAACCTTGAATTAGGCATTCCGACTATGCTGGATCTCTCTAGATGATCGTGTCATACCTTGAATCTTATAAAACCCCTATAATACGAGTCAAGGTAAATCCATGGATGCAATATGCTTGGTCATGTGACCTTGATCGGTCAACCTTGGAACTGGCCCGGGGTCAGTGTCTAGGGGCTCAATTGTGCTTGACTAGAGGATAGCCAGGGAAGAGGAGCCCTTGGGAAACCATGACACTATCCATACACAGCTCCACGGGTACGCCCATGTAGAAGATTGAGATCAATACTTGCACATGAATATTCACAGGTTGAACTGAAAACTGTTGAGTAGCGTGACATATATTTCACTGCCCTACCCCAGGAAGTATTACAATCCAACCTTGGAAGACCTGAATGATTCCAGCACAAGTGTAGCCCAAGCACCATCAAGAGCACACTGGAACGCAATTTAGATCACACCAGAGGCAATGCATGCAGAAGTAGCCATCGGCTTTCTCACCAATAAAGTCACTTCCGCCACCCCACCGAGTCTCCGCACTTCCCCCGGACATCTCTGACACAGTTTGCGAGTCTTCGCTGGACGCCCCCAGTACTGTGCTCATGGCATGAGACATAATGGAGGACGGTCAACCCTCCAAGAGACGGCGACGCAGTCGCAAAGTCCTCTCCGATCGCAAGTTCGAATGCACCTTCGAAGGCTGCGGGAAGAGTTACTCGCGCGCCGAACACCTCAGTCGCCATGCGCTCAACCACACCCCCAAACAAATATATCGCTGCGATTTTCCAAACTGCTATCGCTCCTTCGTGCGTCAGGACCTGTGCGCGCGTCACCGCGAGAGACACTCCACCAGCGGCTCCCAGCTCCAGAAACGCGACCAGTTCGAAAATGACTCCAAAACCTCCCCTTCCTCATCGCCCGCGATCACCTTACCAGAGTACTTCGTGAGCTCTGAGGAACCGAAACCGGTCTCGACCTACCCTCTCACAACCGGCGTGGAGAGTGAGATACCGGGACCGCAGTACTCCGATTTCCCCGCCGTTCTCGACCAGCCGGATAACCTGATCGACCTCGACTCCATGTCGTACCCGATATTTGGCGGGGAGACCTACAACCGCTCACCGTTTGCCATGGCCGATGATTTTGCAGCCTGGCTGTTCAGTGAGCCTCTGGCGCCGATGGGGTACGGGATGGTTCCGCTCGTGCAGAGCCAGTTCTACATGAATGAGCCTCCGTATAGTAATGACAACTTTTGTGCGGTCATTCCACAGCATCCGATGAGCGTGACGAGTATTTTGGACTCCGGAACACCACCAGCCCTCATCTCGGAGGAGAAGCGCCAAGAACTACTCGTGCTAATGTCGAGCCGGTTCAACGAGGCTGCATATGCAGCCGGCGCGAAAAGAAAAGATGCCCTTTTGGACGGGGATCTGAACAACGACCGGCATGTGCTGAGCTTGCGTATGATGCAGATATATATTGGTTCTTATTGGTACCACTTTCATGCACAGCTGCCGCTCCTGCATCAGCCTACTTTTGTCGCCGATCGCACCCCGAATCTATTATTACTGGCTATCATTGCTATTGGCGCTGTCACCTTGGATAAAATCCATGGGCAGGCGGCCACAGAGGCCGCGGCGGAATTGGCCAGCTTCATCGCGTGGCATCTGCGCTGGGAGATTTTCATGGATGCCGACTTCCGGCCTCCAGCCCGACTTTGGGTGTTTCAGTCTCTGCTACTATTGGAAGTATACGAGAAGTTGTTCTCCACGCGGGCCTTACACGAGCGTGCACACATTCACCACGACACAACCTTAACCCTGATGCGCCGAGGCAGTTCCCTGATTGGCAACTCGTCATTCGACACCCCCGAAACAAAAGAAGAAGACGAGTCATGGTCGACATGGATCAAAGCAGAGGCTACTCGCCGGGTCGCCTTTGCCGCCTTCGTTCTGGACTCCACGCACGCGACGATGTTCGGTCACTCTGCCAAAATGGTCGCTCACGAATTACGCCTCCCGCTTCCCTGCGACGAGGCCCTGTGGGCAGCCACCAGCGCGGCAGAAGTCGCTCGTGTTCAGTCCAGCTTGCAGTCCCACGGCGTTCGACCAACCATGTTCTTAGACGGTCTCAAACGCACCTTGAACGGGCAGCCCGTCCGAACAAATGACTTCGGTCGAATCATCCTCATGTCCGGTCTCCTCAGCGTCTGCTGGCATTTGAACCAAAGAGACCTGCAGATCAGTTCCCTCGGCGTAGGTCAGACCCTCGGGGGAAGAGACAAATGGCGCACATCTCTCCTTCGCGCATTCGACAACTGGCGTCGTGATTTCGACGAAGCCCTCGGCCCATCGACCTCCGAGTCCCGCGATGTTCTCCACGGACTCGCACATATGGCCTCCCACGTCGACATCGTCGATCTGCAGATCTTCGCTGGCGCAGGTCGCCTCATGGGCCGCTCCATCACGGCCCGTGACCACCGCGCTGCCCGCGAAAAGACCGAACGCTGGGCCACCAAAGCCTCCGCTCGTGACGCCACGTTCTACGCCCTGAAATTCCTCTCTGTCTGTTTCTTAGACCCCACGACGCAGCCAGGCGAGTATGCCGCCCGTGACGACTACCTCCTCAATCGCCCCTGGGTGATGTATTTTGCTGCATTGGTAGTCTGGACTTATGGGTTTGCGTTGGATGGGCCGCTCCGCCCACCACCCGTTCTGGCGACTGTCGCCGACCGCGAACACGATATGCAGACCTTCCTCCATCGCGTGGGCGAAATTCAGGAACCAAATGAATTGGAGGCTATGACGGGTCGTAATGGGTGTCTTGGTTTGCTGATGATCTTACGAGACTCGTTTGCCAAACCTCGCTGGGAGCTGCTGGGGGAGGCAGCGCGGCTGCTGGACAGCTGCATCGCGAAACTGCAGTCGTAAGGCCCTATTTTGTGTAAATATATATAGATATCATGTTCATATACGCAATACCAAGTACATAAACTTGGAAGTACAGAGTACTCTGCACTCATACAATAAGCCCACCTGGCCACTGTAGAGTAAGAGCCCCTGTTGTCGTTGCCCCTAACAACCACACGTCGATCCCACACCGATTCCCCCCCAGACCCTCACTTTCAACTGCATTCGCATTCTTGCTTCCATCATCAATTTCATCCCACTCACAATGGTAAGAATGTCCCTGATCTCGCGATGTCCAATGCTATGTAATCCAACGGCCCGTGACCGGGAACCTTGGAACCCCCCTGGCCCTCACAACATTCACCACCTCCACATCCACCATGGCTAATCACGACCAGGCCTCTACAAACTACAAGGAAGCTTTCTCACTCTTCGATCGCCGCGGCACAGGTCGTGTCTCGGGCGATCTCCTCGGTGACCTGCTTCGCGCCTGTGGCCAGAATCCCACTCTGGCCGAGATCAGCGACCTCGAGAAGTCCGTCGGTGGTGACTGTATGTCCGACTCTATTCTTCTTGCATTTAATTCACGCGCTAATTGTCGCAGTCGATTTTGATTCCTTCCTTAAGGTCCTCAACCGCCCTGGTGGTTTCCGCGAGCCCGGCGAGCCCGAAGAATACTGTCGCGGATTCCAGGTCTTTGATAAGGATATGACGGGCTTTATTGGTGTTGGTCAGCTGCGATACAGTATGTGATGGGACGAGAACGACATCAAACCTTGGAACGGTCGCTAACGAATGTTGCCAGTCCTGACGAATCTTGGCGAGAAGATGTCCGACGAAGAAGTCGATGAGTTGCTTAAGGCGGTTGATACCAGCTCCGGCGAGATTAACTATACTGGTACGTTTCCATTTCTCCAAAGCATCGAAACAGTGTCGCTAACCGGCTTAGATCTCGTTCGCACCATCCTCGCCAACTGATACCCGATATGATTTACGTTCGACATGGATATGGCTAGGGACGGCGTAGTGTTTTATTATCGAAATTCGAAATTCAATTGTATTCTTGGGTATCTCGCACACGTAACCTCGCAACTGCCTTCTGTATAGTACTCTGTAACTCAATTTCCGACGATCCACTCCCTCCACCGACCCTCTTCTTCCTGGCCCATCTTCTCAGTCTCAACCACCGACCCCGGAAGAAGGTATACCGGCTTCGGTTTCTGGTCTTCGTAATGCACTGCGTCGAGATGATATCCGACTACGACGCGACACCGTCCACATCGCAGGAAGAGTCTCTTTTCGATCCCGTCTTCGCGGCGGATGAGCGTTGGTCGCCGATCGGGAAGTAACGTTGATAGAAGGAGTGTTGTATGCTGCGTTGGTGTTTCTGAGCCCTCGTTCTCCAATGGTAGGATTATGGCTTTGTCTTTGGCTTCGCCGCCTCGGCGGGGGAGGGTGGATAGCGTGCGCGTTGTCGCTAGCAGGAGGTGATTGCAGAATTGGCAGTGCTGCGTGCGAATTGGGAGACGTTCTGCCATGATTTTTGCTCTTTTGGTTGTTCTGGAGCTTGGTGGGGGATTGGAGGCTTCGGTGGATGCAGGGTATGCGTCTTGTTGCTATTCTGGGTTAGCGGTGTTAATGTAGTGGTTAAGATAAAGCTCACTTGATATACAGTTCTAAATTGTTATTTCAAGAAGGGTGAGGTGTGCTTGGTTTCTCCAGGCCAAAGATCGAAATGAATGAGCTCGGAGAATTGCAGAATGCGAGGGCGGTGGGCTTATCTATAAACATCTTCTCGAGGTCGTCTCCAGGACTTGAAATGGCCATACCTGAGCGAGGAATTGAACGAAAGAGTACGAAAACAACGAAATAGGAGCGGTGCCAAGGAACTACATGAAATGGGTGCCTTTGATATACTCCAGGGCTGGGGCATTCGATTAGGCGATATACGACCCAGGCAGCAATTTCCCTCGTCATCTCATTGAACTTTGATATAGATTTGTTTTGCCTGATTATAGAGGTTTAGTCTTCTATCTTCAATATATTGAATGTAGCAAGCAATCAAGCAAGACCCATATCCCTGTAGAAGGCATCGGTCTGTGGTTCGCGTCCCAAGAACTCAGTCAGCGTCTTCATCTCGTCCTGACTGCCACCCTTCTCAAGAACCTGGTATCTGTATCGGCGACCGGCAGCCTTGTTCATTGGGTCGTCCTTGAAGACCGTGTAGAACATGTCGGTCGAGTAGACTTGCGAGCTGTAATAAATTAGTATCGATTAATTAACCAAGGCATCTGAAATCTTACCTCAGGTATCCATAGTATCCAGCGTCGTAGCCACCGATCAAGTGACCGAACGTGGCTTCACCATGGCCCCAGTCGCTACCGGCGCCGAGTGCTTCAGGTCCATCCATCTGGGTGATCTCTTGGCGGAGGCGGTTGTAGGTTTCGGAGAGAGGGAGAGCCTCGATATCGGCGTGGCTCTTGGGTTCGTGGATGGTCATATCGAAGATACCGAAGTGGAGTTGGCGAAGGTTGAAGAGGGCGTCGTTGACGTGCTTGGTGCGGATCAAGTTCTCAATGATCTCGTCGGGGATACGCTCAGATGGCTTCTCGGATGCAGTCTTGCCGTTGCTGGCTTGCGCCTCTTGCCAGCTGGAAAGGTACTCCGGTGAGAGGGTGGAGTAGTGTCTGCTCAGGGAGCGCAGCTGGGAGGGCGTCCAGCACCAGTTCTCGAGCATTTGACTGGGTGCTTCGACGAAGTCGCGGACTGTGCTGGTACCGTGGAAGCGGGAGTAGATTGTGCGGGAGACGAGATCGTGAATACCGTGGCCAAGCTCGTGGAAAAGAGTAACGACCTCGTCGTGCTTGAGGAGACTGGGCTTCTTGGGCTGTGGCTTGGTGAAGTTGCAGACCAGAGCAGTGGCGGGGAATCGGCGGTTACCGTCCTTGTCGATGAAGCCGGGCTGGAGGTTGAAGTTGGCAGCGTGGCCGTACTTGCCCTCACGGGGGAAAAGATCGAGGTACAGGTACCCGACGAATCCACTTCCTTCGCCTTCGTCGTTCCAGACGCTGAAGACCTGCACATCCTCGTGCCAGACGATGTCATTGCCCTTTCCAGTAGGGGCAATTGATGCGCGGTCCTCGCCGGTGACCTCGACAAATTCAAGGCCGAAGAGCTCCTCGAAGATCTTCAGCATGCCTTCGATGGTGGTTTGCAAGGGGAACCACTCGGCAATGTGCTGCTGGTCAAGAGAGTAATCCTTCTCGAGCATAAGACGGTCGTAGTATCGGTGGTCCCACAGGTAGTAGCGACCATCGGCCTTAGGATCAGTGGCATTCTTCAACTCCAGCAACTTCTGGGTTTCCTTCTTGCCACCATCGGTCAGTCTGGTTCGCAGATCACCCAAGAACTTGTCAACGGTCTCAGGGGTCTTGGCCATCTTATCTTCGATGCGGAATGCAGCGTGGTTAGGGTACTTAAGCAGACGGGCCGCCTCATCACGGAGCACAATTGCTTCACGGAAGAGTGGCACATTCTGGTTACACTTGTTCTCATTGGCGATCATCACCTGCTTACGGGTGTCTGGGTCATTGGCGTACTTCATGGTAGGGAAGAGGTCGGGGTACTTGAACGACAACCGAAGCTTGCCGGCATTTTCGCCCTCACCCTTCTTCAACCCTTCGAGGACGTCCTTTGGTACGCCGTCGAGCTGCTCAGGCGTGAACCAAATACCGCCGTTCTCCTCGTTCAGGTTCTTCTGGAACTCGATGCTCAGCTGGCTCAGACGCTTCTTGATTTCCTTGAAGCGGAGACGCTGAGGTCCATCAGGAAGACCAAGGCCGTTACGGACAAAATCCTTGTGTTCCTTTTCCAGCAAACGACGCGATTCCGGGTCGAGAGTCTCGTTGCGGCGCAGCACGGCGTCAACCAAGTTGAAGACGTCCTCACGCATGACTGCCTCGATGAAGAACTCGTCCATCAGCTCTTCGGCCTTGGACGAAGCATCCCGAAGCTTAGAGTCGGTGGACACAGCTTGGTAGAAGCCCAGAATGTGGGCTTCCAATCCCATCACGTTGTCATTTTGAGCGAGGGGGCGGACGATGTTGGCGAAGGTTGCGGCCTCGGGCTTGATCTCAGCGACCACCTTGTCCTGGATGGCGCGCGAGCTGGCGATCAAACGCTCGGCATCAGCGACCAAGGACTGCGGGGTAGCCGTGAAGACTGGCGGGGCCTGGGGTGGCTTGCGGAGGTGAGCGGGAGCCATGCTGGAGGTGGTCAAGAATCGTGCTGGTGCTGGTGTACGTAGATGGCCCAGCACAGAGGTGAGGCGGAGACGAAGGAGGGGCGCCACAATGATGGCTAGGAGGAGAATGAGCAGGTGACGAGCGGTGAAGGCAATGATGGCGGTATGGTGTGAGGGGAATTGAGCTGCGGAGTCCGTGTCTTTGCAGGTCTTGGCATTGTCCGAATCGTCAGGTTGTTTGTGCTTCGGAGACTATGAGTACTGTACACATGAAGTTGGTTTGATTCCACCAAAATACCCGAGACATCCTGTTTGGAATGGTCATGATCAAAAACAAAGAGGGCTTCCAATGTTGTTTTTGTGTACGTTGTATAGATGCGTATGACGTCAATAGCGCAACAATGCGTTGTCGACTTGTTTTCGCTATTGTGGCCCTTCAGCAAGACAAGTGAGCCTGATTGAAGACAAACTCAATGCTACCTGACCGTTGAATAAGTTCTTGTTATATCGTTGTCTTACCATCGACGAAAGATACACAGGAAGCAAATACTGAGTGCTTTACGAACTATAAGGCTGAGGTGCCAGTTGACAGCACCTTCACGGTACTACCCGAAGGCCGCGGGGGTTTCTTTACAGTTATTCACGTTGTTGGATCATTTTTTTCAAAAAAATCTGAGCGGCGAGTAATTGAGACGCGCCAAAGGCCACCGTGGTGGAAGTTTATGATATCGAGCGGTCGTGCCAGGTGTGTAGAGTGAACTGACTAGCCGTCTCTGTGATTGGCACGAGGCCCTTTCCAAACTTGTCAACGACTCCGTCTATGTTTGTGTTTCCGACTGGAGTTCAATGTTTCTTCATCACTCAGAGCCATCTGCCCATCGCCCTGATGCCTTCGCGCACCCCCAATGTTGAGTCTCATACCACCAGAATCATCTGCTGGAATGTTGATATACTTGCCGGCAAATTTCTCCTGAGTAAAATCGATTGTCAATCCGTTTATGGTCAAGGTCATGTTCTTGTCTTCTTCCGTCCGCGAAGCTGTGCCGCTACTACTGCCGCTGTCGCTCCCATTGCGGTTAGACGTCTTACTGGTGGGCAATACCTCCTGCGAAAGAGGCAGTGCGGCACTTGAAGTCCGGCCCGACTGAGCAGCCTGGTAGTTTTCGACTTCACGTTCAAGATCCTCAAGGTCATCTGCAGTGCTGGATGGTTCGTAGTACTCAGTTGGTTTGCGTCTGCGTGAGCTGGCCACAGCTACATGGGCCGACCGCCGCTCGTCTGCATAGCTCACCGATCTGCGGACATCTCGTCGAGTGCTGTGGGTTCTCTCGGGCGAAGTATTTATAGACACTCGACGAGTTCCACGTTCGGATACTACAGGCAGGGAATCCCGGAGGTCAGCCATGTCCATTCGATCATAATCAGAGTCCGCGTCCCTGTTAATGCCCTTGGACACGAGACGTTGAGAAGGGGCGGCTGCCGCACTAGTGTGCGCTTTCCGTATTTCTGGGCGCTCTGTGCGGCCATCCTGATGGACTTGTGGGACTCTTCCCCTGGGTTTGAGTATAGGTGGTGCCAGTGGTGGTACCGGTGGGCCTATGCGTTCGCGGGGGTAGTCATCATGCGACGGCGAAAATATCTCTGGGTCCATTGCCTGACGCGGAGCTGTATATTCTGGGTTGGATCGACGCCAGGAATCCCAGAATTGCTCCTCAGCATGTGATCGCTCCGGATATTTCGTGAGGGGCTGAGACTCCGATGTAGCATGGATAGAGGGATTAGTGTAGGGAGATGAGAAGTATTGTTCCTGTATGTCGGCCGAGTTGAACACTGGGGGGACATGGCCGTGGGGGTATGAATGGTAGCGGCGGCTTCTACCGGGGGAGTTGACGTGAATTTTTTCAATGCATTCATGTTGAGAGCTAGTCTCCGCTGTCCAACGAGACTGTTGGTCATCCGATGAAAACACTGATGAAACCACGCTTGGGGATGGAGATCGTCGCGGAGATTCGTGCCTATGGTACCCTGGCGTATGTTTGCCAGACTTAGGAACAACCGAGGCAGCGGCATGGAAATCACTGGCGTTTTCAAAGAAGACTTCCGGGCGTCGGTCTTCATTATGACTTACAGCCTGGCGGGACTTGGATTTTGCACCCGGACGGCTGCCCTTGGATGAGTGGGCTCGATCCTCGAATCTCACGCTCTTGGAATTTGGGTCACGGGTGATCATAGGCTCTTTGGATCTAGGAGCAGATGGTATGGAAGACGCTGGGTCTTGTAAGAGGTGAGTGTCTGTGGCGCTTTCGTGTAGCGAGGGCTCAATATTTGCTTCCTTGTGCGAGCCCAATAATTCTTGAGATGTGTCTTGTTTGAATATTGTCACCGAAAAAGACTTTTCATTGTCATCTGTGTCCGATTGTGGCCAAGCATGGAGTGCAAGCTCTTCGAGATGTCGCCCGAGATGTCGCTCCAGCGGGTCCCCGGAAACAACAGTCAGAAAACAAAGAGGACAGGCAATAGAGATATGGCTGTCACTAGGAACTGAATGCTCAATCTGTAAATGAATGTACCACTCGTGACGACTATCGAAGAGACGATGTGGTGTTTGGCAGTCGGGGAAAACACATATGTAGGGCATTAGGTCGTGAAAAACATGCTCTGCCCATGAATGGTCATTGTCGATCTCGAGGAGAAAAAAGCAATAGGGACACTCGAAAGGCTTGCCAGTTGAGACTTCTTTGGGCGCTGGGAGAACAGCTACACTGTCCTGATCTTCCAATAAGGTCTTTGCGTAGGTATTTTGTGAGGAGACAGACTTGGGCTCAAGGATCCCCGATGAGTCTTGCTGTAAAAGATCTGTGGCAATTGTCTCTGAAAGTGCCGTAGACTTCATCTCTTCCCCTTCATGTAAGACTTTGTTAAGACCTTCTGCGGGCCCGAGATAGTGTCGATAACGAGATTGCAGGATCGCCCGGCGCTTTGATATTGCAAGACCTAGGCTCTGTTGGATAGCCCGGCGCTGTGATATTGCAAGACCTAGGCGCTGTTGGACAGCCACGTCTGAGTCGGGAAATCTGTGTGCCACATGCTGTCGATCATATGGCTCGAATGCGGCAATGTCTGATCTTTTGACGCCACGTAATCTATCATGATGTGCTGGTCTCCGTATGAACATCGAATTATGAAACAGGACATTGATTGTGTCTCGCAACGAATGAAATATTCTTTGCATGTCGGTTTGGTCGTCCTCGCTGTCATCCGAGTCGCTTGAAAAGTTAACTGGCTCATCAGTCCCGCGCAGAGCATCTTGAATATCCTGGATAGTTCTATCAAGTCGACCGAGGACTCGCAAAGTTTGGTCCCTCAAATGAGACGCATCGCGCAATCGATATTCAAGAGACAAATGGCCTGTCTTGTGCGCTCCAATATTTGCCGTCCAAACACGCAGACGCCCAAGCTCATCAGACCATAGCTCTGGTAGAACCTCGGACTGGTACTTTTCAAGTTCTCGAGAAGTGATAATGTGGTCGAGCTGTTTGAGACAAGCTTGAATGATGGATGAAACTGGGCCTATCATGTTGAGTGAAGACGGCACTCATATCGTACATCAACAGATATCAAGAGGCAGTTGATAAAATTCCAGGCTGTTGAGTACTGCTCAACAAAAAAAAAAGCGAAGTGTTGAAGCAGAAGAAGCGCTTGAGCGGGGTTGCGGCTGAGGGACATGGGCGTGATAAAACCCCTCTTTGCATCTCTTTGCATTTTTGCTCCAGCATTCGTGTTCAAGCTCAATCTGGGCATTCAGTACATTCGATTTCAGGATATGTCTGGAATCGAAATTGCGGGCCTTGCCCTTGCGGTCTTACCGCTGGTGATCAACCAGCTGGACAACTACGTACAAGGCCTGGAGACCCTTGGTGATTTTCGCACCAAGCGATATCGAAGTAGGTTGGACCAATATGCCTCAAACCTTGGATCTCAACAGGCGGCATTCATCAATACCTTAGAGCGATCTCTCGAGGGCGTTATTGAATATGAGGATGGTTTTGACAACCTAGGACAGGACGAGCTGAAGGCGATATGGGAAAGGCCAAGCGTACAGTCATTTTTACAGAAGAAACTTGGGCGAAACTACGCACCTTTCCTTCGTACCATGGGTCAGCTTTCAGTACTACTAAAAGAACTATATCGGAAGTTGGGCTGGGACGAGATACCAGCAGAGGTACGTTCACTACCTTGGCTTTTGAACCCGAAAACAGAAGATCATCTTGGAGTATGTGGGTGCTAAATAACCTATTCACATAGGCACAAAAATCGTGGGACGACTCAAGCTCCTTCAACAAAGAAGTCAAGAAGTTCAAAGACGTCTTCTCGAAGAGAACCTACGAAGCCCTATTCAACCAGATAAATCTGGCAAACGAACAACTCGCCAAGTTGATGGAGCAATCCGACCATCGCAGCAGGATACAGAAGAAACGAATATCAAAGCGACCCCCGCAGCGTCTCCGGCTAAATCGAAAACATGCTCAAAGCCTACACAAGGCCATCGTCCACGGCAAATACTGGGCATGTTCCTGTCGTGATCAGCACATGGTTCACTTCCTCCTCGACAAGCCGCATATCGAGAATACTTCGACAAGTCATCAGTCATCTAGTCCCGAATTTCGCATGGTATTTGTTTGCTCTCGGGGTATCGAACATAACGAGGCCCTAGCCAATACGCACGAGATAGAGACCAGGTCGATCTACTCTCAGCCTACCCCGGAAGGATCAGTACCAACGACCGTTGCAATCCAGTCAACTGAGGTCCAATCCAGCAATAGCAAAGGCAGAGGAAGATTTTACTCATCGCAGAACGAATCTGTGTCAGTCATTACTGAGACACCACCTCTGCTGTCTCCAATCTCCGACATATGCCTCGCACTATCCACAATAGCAACTAAACAAGCCACACTCGCCGAAAAAAGATACCTCGGCTGTGTCACTGATGGATCACAATGGCATTACATGTACCATTTGCGAGAAATATCCGAATCCCCCAAAACGCAATCTCTCGCAGAGCTCCTTGAGTCATCTTCGACATTCCTCCAGGCCCAAATGAAAGGTGCCTTCTTCTTCAGCCAAAGAGAGCGACTCAACCTGGCCGTCAAGCTTGCATACAATGTTCTAGAGCTACACGGAAATTGGCTCAAATCTCCCTGGCGAGCCCGCGATATTATGTTCATCCGGGACCCAACAAGCGAAATTGGACACCCTGCGCTAGCTCTGAGCGTATCGAAAATGAACTCACCAACAATGTGCAGGGATAGAGCGTTTTCAGCACTGATTCGAAATGAAATCCTCTTCCCTCTTGGACTTGTCCTTGTTGAACTTTCCCTTTGCCAACCCTTGGAGTTACTTCGCTCAATAGAGGACTCTGATCAGAATGAAGCGACTGCGAACCTCAAGACTGCTGCTCGTTTGTTGAAATATGTCAACTTGGAGAGTGGGCTTGAGTATGGCGATGTTGTGGAACAATGTTTGTTCGGATCTTGGAATGCTGGGTCTTCGTTAGAGGATGAGACCATGCAGGATGAGATCTACCAAAGAATTGTCGCCCCACTAGCGGAGAACTTGAATAGTTTTGTTAGTAGGTCTCAAAGGTACTGACGGGACAAATTTGTGATTGAGATTCTCTACTACAGTACTCGCCGATCTTGAGTAACTCAAGCCATGTATACGACCAGCATGGCGAGCCTGAGTTTGGACAAAACAAGCCTACTGTAGACAGTATCTATACTAGTACTACGGAGTACTACTACTAGTACACTTCGAAGCCCACCTGGGCAATTAGCCTGGTGGCGAGAAGTGGATGTGATCGCCGCGCACAGACTACCCTCGACATGTGAAAGCCAAGGCTCTCCACCGTATTTCAACGTCGAACTCTACCAACTACTTTGCTTGACTGTTTACTGCGATGATGTTCGGAGAAATGATGCAAGTTCGTTTCTAATTCATAAAGTATTATCTTGTGCGCCGAAAAGCCGCTTTTGAAAAGAAAAAAGAGAAACACAAATGACGCCCCCACCAATGCAAACATCGTTTTCGCTTAAGCGGCATCCGCAGTGGGGATGGGCTCCGGGATCTTGGTGGCTTGCATACCAGCGCGGATGATACGCTGGCCTGTCTCGTCACGAACGTACTCGGAGTTTTCCTTCTGAGCACGCTTCCAGATCTCAACCTCACCACCGCCACGGATGACACCGACACGCATGGTGGAGAGGAGGTTGTGGGCTCCGTTGGAGTGGTAGTAGACACCACCGTTGAACATGGCGGTGGCATCTTTGCCAAGTCCAGACTTGATCATGGCCTTACCACCGGGGTGGTCCTTGATGAAATCGGTGACATCGTGAACAACACCGGCGATGGAGATGAGACCACGGCCGTTCTTGGTCTGCTCGACGTAGTCATCCCATTCCATGACGGGGAGCTGGTCGAGAGGAGTACCCCAGTCGAGCTTGGCGCGCTTCTGGTCGATCTTCTTCTGGAGCTGCTGAACACGGCCCTTTTCGATTTCGTTGGAACGGAACTGCTTCAGGTCGAAGGCGAGGCCGAGCTGCTTGCAGGTCCAGATGGTCCACTTGGTAGGGTCGTACTGGTGCCATTCGATAGCGTTGCGGTAGTCGGAGGGGAACTCGTGGTGGAAGTTGTGGTATCCCTCACCGAGGGTGACAAGGGCGGTGATGACGTGATCACGGGGAGAGTTGCGGTCATCGAAGGGCTGGTCACCGAGCCAGTGGGCGAGAGAGTTGACGCAGAAAGTGGCCTGCTGGACGAAGAAGATACGGAGGATACCGGCGTACACAAAGCCACCGTACCAGTCACCCCATCCGAGACCGGCAACCAGCATGGGCACGATGAGACCCATGAAGATGACGACCTTGAGGTAGTTGCGGTGCTGCCAGACGACAACGGGGTCTTCGTTCAGGTCGCTGATGTCGGTGCGGCCGATACGCTTGGGGTTCTGCTTCATGACCATCCATCCGAGGTGAGAGTACAGGAGACCCTTGCGGACGGAGTAGGGGTCCTTGTCCGTGTCGGTGTAACGGTGGTGAGCACGGTGGTCACGAGCCCACCAGCGGATGGAGCCTTCGACGGCACCACCGCCAACAGCAGCGAGCCAGATACGCAGGGGGAGAGTGGCAGAGTAGGAGCAGTGAGCCCACAGACGATGGTATCCTGGAAAAGAGTCAGTTCACGCTCGAATACCTCCGATTCACAATTACTTACCAGCTGTGATTCCCAGACCAGTGAAGAAGTAGTAAATGACAGACCAGATGGCAGTCTTCAACTGCAAAGGCACCCAGAAAGCCTGAATACATCCGGAGAGAGGAACTCCCAGAATGAGAACGACGTTCAGCCAGTTGACATGCTTGTACCAGTTCTTGCTGGTCAACTGAGTGTCGGCAATGTGCACCTTCTTGGTGTCAGTCGCCCGAGGGCGAGCATCCTTCGACGACATTGTGTGTGTGTGTGTATGTGTGAGAAGGAAGTGCAGGGAGGCGCCACAGGCTTTTTTATACTTGGGGCCCACTTCGGACCAACGTTGGGGAAGACGATGCACTGATCAACGCGATATGGGGAAAATTGCACCACAGCGCGAATCAGAAAAAAGCGGGAATTGACCGTCACAAGATCCCGAGGCACAAGAGAGAAACCTGAAAGAAGAATGGGTCGATTATAAGTTTCTTCTGATAGACATTTCGCCCCTTCTCGGGAGTGTTGGGTCCGTAATCCCAACATTTTACGGCTTATGTCAGCATCGCCACCCCCGATTGCGACGGGCATTTTATGTACATGTCAAATACCGCAGGAACATTGCATATTGTGTACTGATGCAGCTTAAGCCGGTGAAATGATACTCCGTAGTAGAATTTCGTTGCAATTTTTAATATCACTATATATTGGTTACGCTGTATACTAGTACTCCGTACTAATACTCCGTAGAGTTGTAAATCAGTAATTTCTACGGAGTACTACAGCCTCCCTTGGTGCAAACCTTGAGAATATTACAATGGTTGATTGTGTATTGAAACCAATTTAGTACCCCACAGAGCCGCATGCTGTCCAATGATAGCCGAGACATAGGTCAGTTCGCCACATTTGAAAAATACCTTATTACAGTACAGTAAAACCCCGTGAACCCCTTAGAGACGCATCTGGCCCCACCGACAACGGCAGGGCTGGACCTCGGAATTTCTAGGGATATCATTGTTTCCTGATTGATGCCCTGGATTGGCTCATTATAGTGGCCTGAGGCGTCAAAGGCGGGTTCCACTTCCGCATTCTCGGCCTTTCCGGAATAGTCGTCGACTTGCTTCAGACTCCATAATGCATGTACAGTACAATGTGTGCGACCTGCCACAAAGAAAGGGATCGAATCTGTTTGAAATTCACTTCCAAATCACATGGTGCTTGCAGTCCTCGGAGCTGTGCAACCCCGGGGTCACATGCCAGCATAATACTCGCGTCAACACTCAACAGCCCTAGCAGAATGACACCACTCTGCAAGAGAAGAAATGAACATGACCATGAGGTACTTATAGTACTGTGCAAAACTTCCATGGAAGTCAAGAGCGATGCAACATGCCTGGAATGGCCGATTCGGACCACACATGGCTCGGGTGACCTTGAGTCGCTGTGAGTTGCCAGATGGTTAAAAGACCATTGCGACGCATTCAAACCACAGCGACCAGATGACTTGGGACCTTGGAAATATCGACCGAGGATCGACCTGCTCTTTTAGAGATGCGAGATTGCGGGAACCCGGAAATTCCGCGTCCCGGTCTCATCCATGGATGCCACCGACTCCGTGTAAATGTACTCGGGACACAATGACCGCCAGAGAGCAAACCAAACAACAGATCCACACGGAGCTCAGGGCTTCAATCCACGCCACGCCGGACAGCTGCGATGCGCGAAATAACTGCAGCATCCGATCCATTTTCGAGATCCTGTGTCACATACCATGGACAGATGCTCTGATAAGGATGGACATGAGTATACAACTCATCGATGTCTACATCGGAGTCTGCCACCTCACGGCACCCTCCGGACAGATCTCAGATAAACCCCAGACAGATAGCCGAGTCCGAACCTTTTGTGGAGGTCAGCCACCGAGTCCGGGACCAAGTCAGCCTGTCAGCTTCAAACAGGACCTGTTGGCCGACCAATCGCGATACAGATTTCGATCTATATACAGTACTTAGGCAGTGGAAGATTCCAATGTCCCAGGAGCGCTAGAAGCGAGCTGCACTTGCGTAACTGGTCCTTATCAAAGTCCACTTTGATAGATGTCTCGGCATCCCGTGATTGGACGTCAACACGAGATAAGACGGCAGCTTAACCCCAAGGGGTTTAGAGGCTCAGGCGGTTATGCGATCCTCTTGCTAATCCCTCGTGGACGGAGTAGCCATTCGCTACTGAGTTATCGGGCATTTAATTGGATGCTCCGCACTCTGCATTAGAGTTAGCGACTTCTGATATCGTCGCACTCGACTTTTTTTTTTTGATCGCATCAAATATAAAGCCTTCCCCAGATCTATGTACAGTCTGGAGTCACAGAATATACCCCAGTTCAAAGATTGAACCATGGACGGCCCAGATCAGATCGGTCCTGACCACACCCCGAAGCGATCGCTTTCGGACAAAGTGCGAAATGTCGTCAAGGCATTTACAACTCGGCATGTGGCCTGACATTCTATTTCTATCTGGAAATACAACTAACAATACCAGTGAGGGCTTGCTCGGCGACTACGACTATGGCTACCTCTTTATCCCCCGTCTCCCATTCACCAAACGAGCCCGCAAGACCGCGCCTTTCTTCGGCCTCGACGACCGCGTCCCAGTGGTCCTGGCTCTGATCCTCGGTTTACAACATGCACTCGCTATGTTAGCAGGTGTCATCTCGCCACCCATCCTCCTAGGCGGCTCCGCGGGCGCCAACTTTGGCGATGAACTATATCAATATCTCGTTTCGACTTCATTGATCGTTTCCGGTCTGCTGAGCGCCATTCAAATGTTCAGATTCCACATCAAAGGCACCAAATACTACATCGGGACCGGTCTGCTTTCCGTCGTCGGAACTTCTTTCTCGACCATCACGGTTGCGCAGGGCGCATTTACACAAATGTACAAATCGGGCTATTGTCCGACTCTCGAGGACGGCACGAAGCTGCCCTGTCCAAAAGGATACGGTGCGCTACTCGGTACTTCGTGCCTTTGCGCACTGCTGGAAATTGGTATGAGTTTCATGAGCTCGCGCATTTTGGCAAAGGTCTTCCCGCCACTCGTTACCGGTCCGACTGTTTTGTTGATCGGGGCTTCGCTCGTCAAGTCCGCCATGCAGGATTGGGCGGGCGGCTCGGGCTGCGGGTCTGATCCATCCGCTAGAGCTATGTGCCCCAGTGCGGATGCCCCGCATGCTCTGCCTTGGGGAAGTCCCGAGTTCATTGGTCTTGGATTCTTGGTCTTTGTCACCATCATCCTGTGTGAGCGGTGGGGACCTCCGATTTTGAAGAGTTGCTCTGTCATCGTTGGTTTGCTTGTTGGCTCTATCGTCGCCGCTGCATGCAATTACTTCGAGTCCTCTGGTATCGCGGCTGCACCGGTTGCGTCTTTTGCTTGGGTGCATACTTTTCCCTTGTCCGTATACCCGCCACTGATTCTTCCGCTTCTCGCACTGTACATTGTCATCATGATGGAGTCGATTGGCGATATCACGGCGACTTGTGATGTTTCCCGTATCCAGGTCGAAGGCGCGACCTTCGACTCTCGCATTCAGGGTGGTGTGCTCGGCAATGGACTGACGTGTCTGTTGGCTGGATTGATGACAATCAGTCCGATGTCCGTCTTTGCGCAGAACAACGGTGTCATCGCGTTGACGAAGTGCGCAAATCGTACTGCTGGCTACTGCTGCTGTTTGTTCCTTGTTGTCATGGGTATCTTCTCCAAGTTCGCTGCTGCCCTCGTTGCGATTCCCAGCCCTGTCTTGGGAGGCATGACTGCTTTCTTGTTCAGCTCTGTGGCGGTTAGCGGTCTGCGCATTATCGGTGTTGTTGAGTTCACGCGTCGCAACCGCTTCATCCTCACTGCCAGCTTCTCGATCGGTATGGGTGTGACCCTTGTTCCAGAGTGGTTTGGGTATTTCTTCACCTATGAGGGTGATAATCATGCGCTGGAGGGGTTGATCAACGCTGTCAACCTGGTCATGGAGAATGGGTTTGCAATCTGTGCACTTCTGGGTATCTTCCTCAACTTGTTCATTCCTGATGAGCCTGATGATGTGCCTGCTGCAATTGACTCTGCGGAGTCGGAAGATGACCGGATTCAAGTCCAAGTTGCTTCTGAGCCGGCTGGAAAGAAGGAGGGCAGCTCTGCTTGAGATCGTTTAATGCCTTTGTCCTTTGTATTTATTGAGCGTTAGTGCATTTTGATTCCCAAATGAATTTCGTCAATGTGATTCATCTGTTTTAGCAATGACTGGAGAAGCCCTCAATCCGGCTTCTATCACTCAAGACTGTGAATAAACCCCGTTGTTCCAACCTCAGCACCTCCAGGGCTGTGCTGAGCCACATACCACGTGACGCATGATTTCCCGACCTCGGAGGCTGTTTTTCTTTTTTCTTCTTCTTCCCCTAACTAAACCTTCACGCACATAACGAGCCACACCTGCAGTCCCAGGGAGCAAACAGGAAACTGGCGGGTGAATCCGAAAACAATGAGCCCAACGACTTTTCTTCTCCAGTTGAACCGCGAGATCCGAATCTCATGACACGCCTGAGACCCTGCAGAAAAGTGGAAAGGGAAAATATATCCAGCCCAATGTCCAAGGGGTATTCGCAGATTAGTTGTCCAAGCAAAAGCGGATACGACTTGCGAGGTGGCGGTCTACAAGGTGTCAACTGGCGGCCCCACATCTTGACAGTCCGAAGTCGATCCGAGTGGCAACCGCCATGGAAGCGAAGAGCTCTTCTTCATCTAGACCGAGAGAGGAAAAGTCTGATCAATCGCCTGTAGAATACAAAGAGACAAAGGCCGACAAGTCGGTGGATATTCTGGCCCCGGATTCGCCAAATCTCCGGACCGTCTCAAGACCCACGGAGCGGATGAGGCGGATACTGGCTTGAAGCAGGTAAACGCGAGAGCGAACCACGAATGGATTCTCGTGATGTTACTATCCACCTAGATCAGGAAAGCCGTGAAATCAACCTGCTTGATCCGGGACACGGACTAGACCGAGGAGAGCGAGTCCGGATGAACCTCAAATTTGAGTTGTTCGGACTCTAAGTATAGCTCTGGTTCCAAGGTTCACTCGGTGGCGGGGAAACCCTCCCGTCAACCTTGGGAGACTGCGACCATCGAAATCAGACGATACGAATATGCAAGTATATCACGCTTCATCGATCGGTGATCGACAACTGGCTTGCCTACTTTTGCGGGGTGAACCTGCAGCTCCTCTATCCTCCGATTGGCTGGGTTCCGCAAATGTCTTAAAATACACCAGGAATTTATCTTGGAAGCCATGTGGGGAAGCATGGAAGCAGAAGGAGTGAAGAGTGCACAAGTCATAGCTGTCTCACTCGTACATGAGTCCGCACATGAGTGTAAGACATTACGGTGGAGTACTCATCCCGCCCACGGACCAGTGTTGACGTTACATCCTTATAGATCTATTTCGAGAATGATGTTATCGAGCTTCGAAGGTATAGGAGGCTGTCGGGGAAAGCATAAATAGCTTCACTTCTCCCATCGATTCATCTTCATTCTCATCATCTCAAGCCAACCCAATCCACCTCTCTACCAATCTACCTTCCAATCAACCTCCATCATCATGCAGCTCACCCAGCTCCTCCTCGCTACCGGCCTCTTCGCCTCCTCAGCCTTCGCTGCCCCTGCCGCTGAGGGCAAGTCTATGATGGCTGCCGGTCCCCAGTGGACCATCCAGAACACCAAGCGTGTCTGCAACGCTGACGCCTGCACCTGGACCTTCGGCATCAACCCCGGCTCCGGCAGCCCTACCCAGTGCACCTACGTCGTGAAGGGCAAGAACGCCGCCCATGCCAACGGCGGTCCCTCCAACTGCGGTGCCTACACCGTCACCTCCGGCTGGAGCGGCCAGTTCGGCGAGGGCCAGGGCTTCACCACTCTCTCCGTTGTCAACAACAAGGCCCGCCAGATCATCTGGCCCGCCTACACCGACAAGCAGCTTGCCGGTGGCAAGGTTGTCAAGCCCGACCAGAGCTACGCTCCTGCTGCTCTCCCTTAAGTGGAGTGGACGAGACATATCGGGTGAAACATTGTATATATCAACCACTTTCCTTAATGACAATAAATGCAAGCGATTATTATCTCAGCCACTTTGCTCATCATTTCTCTCCTCATTCTACCGATTGTCATCGATCGATCAAATACCTAGGTACCCAGGTATAGACACTAAAAACATCACTATCAAGGTCCGAGGGCACTGTGCCTCATCGGCAAACTCGGGGCGTATACGACAGACGCCCTGCACGCCGCCTAGAACCTCAACACCAAATACTCACCGAGAGCAATTCAACAGCAAAAGTGGCGTTCTAGTTTGCATCAAATTGTCTCATAGCGGGAGACCCTGTAAGTGATCGTCCCGTCCCGACCCTGAGCGTTGACCCGCGTAGTGTGGGGAGCACTCTCAAAATAATAAATCCAAAACAACATGGACCAAAATAAAATCCTCAAGTGATTGAAGTCTTAGCTACCAAAGAGGGAACAAGGGTAAATTGGACAGCCCCACTTAGGGTCCTGGGCTGCATGGCCTCGGGGAAGACCCTGAATCCGTCCGGGAAGCGGGCCAAATCGACATTTCCCCTCAGAGAGATACATCGGGGGAAGAGAGTCATTCTGATGCAACGCGTTTGCATGGCAGCCAACGAGATTTGCTGGTGTGGATCTGCATGATGTGCCTGCGCTTGTGCTACGTAGCACTTTGTGCCTGGGTGCATGTGGACTAGGGCATTTTGAGTTATGCTTGGCATTCGATGTGGGCAAGATTAGTACTTCTAAAGTATCAACCCAAGATGATAGATTCCAGCATACTCAGGTGATTAGCAAGTGTGTACTCCGTATGTCGCTGTTGTAAGCCTTTGAAATCAATAATCCTTTGCGGAATTTATGTAGCAGTACCTAGGTAGATGCTATTGATTGGCCTCAATGAAGTACAGTATTGTGAGACAAAGGCTACTAGTTACAGTATATAGTAGTATGCTCGTATAACTCGCGATAAAGATCGCCGTCGTTTCCTACCCACAAAGGACGTCATACTGGTGTACAGTATGACCTCGGACGAAGGTCAGGAGCGGTACAATCGTTGTACCTAGGTAATGGCCCAATTATTTGACTGTCGGTCGAAGAGTGAGATTTACCGAGGTAGGAGAATGTGTCCCATGTAATTCGCAGGTTGTTTTCTGACTAAATGGGTCCGTAATCGTATTCATCTGCCCAGATGGAGAATTGGTGTTTGAGGAGCTTAATTTCTCTTCAACTCGTGGATTTATATCTACAGGTTAAATTAAAATTCTCCAATACAGCCTACGAGATGTAAGGGCGAGCGTTGTGTTATGATCTGCCGGTTCCCTTTTTCTCTCTCTTTTTTTTTAAGCAAAATCCCTGTTCAGGTCATTTCTCTCCTGACGCAAAGAGGGAATGGGCATTTCACCCTATCCCGGCTTGGCTCGCAGCGCAATTTAGGGGAGAATACAGGAGGGAGGGAGAAAATATCCCAGGACAACGTGGTTGACATGGATCTGGATCATTTGAGTCTTGACATTCTTGGACCCAAAATTGTTCAGACTGAGTCCCCCGGAGGATACTTTAGCCGATGGGTGTTGTTACGATTGTATCTGAACCAGAATTGAACGTAGACGATTGCCCAGATGGATATCACACCTGGGCACCTGGGCGCAAATTGTCACTAATGTGATCTCCAAAACTTGGGATCTTCCCAGCTCTGGACATCACGGTGGCCATTTCAAACCTTGACAGAGGTTCCCCTTGAGAGCAAACAAAAAGAATCCTACAGGAAGCCCTGAGGATTTCACAAACACGGAAAGCGGTGGCCCGGGGTGCGTATTTACACCACGTGACACCGACCTTCTCCGAGGCCCGCAACCCCTGTGGGGACTCTTTAACCATAGCGTGAATCGGACATGCTTCTCAACAGCTCAGTGAAGCGAAGAATCTGATGATAGCCCGTGCGAAATGCAGCGGACTACCTGGAGTGAAGGGCTCCAAGGGCGAAGGGCCTAAATACTTGCTCTTGAGCTCGAAGTACTCCGTACACCGTACAGAATGCAGGACTTGGACAAAGAATTCGGGATAAACGGCGAGGGAAAAAAGGGAAAATAGATAGTTTCCTCGTACGTTGCATAAAGTATTGCACGAAGGGCCGCGTAACAAACTCTAGTCCGCACGTTTAATTTCCCATCCTCTACAGTACATTCACGGACACATCTGTGAGGTCCGGGACAATATCAATTTACCCTTCAAGCGCGGGCGCAAGGCTGGGGAGTAGGGACGGAATGAAAATCAACAAAATGGATTGACCCCCAATCCCCGCCTTACTGTGCGACATAATCGGTAACCAAAGGAGCAAGGCTTGTATGCATGGAGCTCATAGCTCTCTCACTGTAATATAACTGGCCGTTCCCAGTGGATTACATCACGAGCCAATAGATCGGCATCTGGGTATTCCGAGCGGAGCAAGGAGCGCGATATTCAGCCGCAGAGGAGTTCGCAAATTGAACATTCTATTCCCTTTACACTCCGTACCTAGCCAAGGCACGGCACTTATGGGAATCGCAATTTAGGGAGAGAAAGATAGCATAGAGAGTACATAGTGAGCGTTAGATTGGTTTGGCCCGTTTGCCGATCTGTGCATCAAGTATTGACCATGCGTGAGCCTTCGGTGCAGATATTGAAGATCCACCTCTGTTTCGGGTGATGAGGGGAGCCGAACTGGAGGATTAAGGAAGAGAGTTCGCACACGGACTCTAGCTTTTTTTCTTCACTCATCGAACAGCACATACTGTAGAATCACTCAATATGTTCTCAACGTTGTCAGGATTTCGGATATTGCTTTTGTCCATGGTCTTAGGCGCCTTTGCCTCGCCTGTTCAGCTATCCACACGCGGTAATTCCACCTAACTTACTGCGGTGTATTCAACAAGCTAACCCCACTAGAAATCTCCTCAAATCTTTTACAGCAGTTTGAGCTATTCTCGCAGTATGCTGCAGTAGCTGCCTGTGACCAAAATATCAACTCCACGCATAACAAACTGACATGCGACAAAAACACGTGTGGACGTGTTGAAGCTGATGACACCGAAACCATCTATGTCTTCAACAGCACATCAGGCCCAGCAGGATACATCGCTTTGGATCACACAAAGAAGCTGCTTGTCCTGACGTTCCGCACTTCTGTCTCTGTGAAGGACCTTGCCATAGATGAGAAGTCCGACCCAACCAAGATTGAAGACATCTGTCCTGGATGCTTGACGCATACCGGATTCTGGGGCTACTGGCAAGATGTTGCCGATGACTTGATTTCTCAAATCGAGCAAGCCACCAAAGCAAACCCAGCCTACCACCTTGCAGTAGTCGGACACAGCATGGGCGGTGCTCTTGCGACTCTTGCCGGAACCGTGCTTCGCAACAAAGGGTTCAAATTGGACATTGTGAGTTATCTTTTCTATGCATTTGCACTGAATGTCGGCTAAACGGATACCGTATAGTGGACCTTCGGAAGTCCCAAAGTCGGAAACTACCAGCTAGCCGAGTATATCACGAAGGCGAAGCCTAACAGCGTTTATCGTGCCACTCATTATACCGATAGTGCGCCAAAGGCCCCAGAAAACGTTCCTGGCTTGGAATATGTCCAGAGCTCTCCTGAATACTGGATTAACAAGCCCCTCAAGGAAGAGGTCACGGCTGAGGATGTGATTTTTCTTGAGGGAATCAACAACCAGGAGGGAAATGCCGGCCATGGACTTAACGCGACTTCTGGTATGCCCGATGCCAACCATGTATGGTACTTTGGGCCAGTGCAGGTTTGCGAATATCCTGCTGATTTCGCGTACGATGCGCTTCCTTGAGCTCGCGGGCTTTAACGCAAAGCTAGGATCTTTTTGTATAGACATTATGATTATTTTTTTTTACTGTACTCTTGAAGTGCCTACGGGTCATATCATAGGAATGATGTAACTCATCCGCCAGGACGAGTAAACTTGAAAGATAGCTGGAATGTGATTTGGGCGCTGTGCGTTGCATATGCAATGTTTGTGCCTGCACAACGATTTAGCTGAGGGGTCACCAAAGGCTTCGTGCCTCTCAGCACGTTGCATCCATGGATGAGTGCATTTGCCTGGTTTCCGCAAAGGGTAAGCTGACCGTCGGGAGTTGCAAATCCCAAAACCGACCAGCATGATTTGTATACAGTGACCACAATATCATAATATTGCCCTTGGCGCCCAAGTGTGGCGTTGCAATCAGATAATGCGGCAGTATGATTCCAGATCTACAAGGCAAGCTAGTATGGTATCTTGATTTGGGATCTCAGTGGTGGGGTTGAACTGCAAGATGCAAGGAGGCTCGAGGGAAGAATGAGAAGCTCTTCACAGATAGACATGAAATGTACCCTCAAAAGTTTGCCCAACGGAAGACGTAGTATTGGCAAGCAGAATGTAAATGCATGAGGGTAGTATATTCATTATCACCAGGATGGCGGTAGTGAAGAGGAATTACACCTTGAATTTGCTCGGCTCTCGAAGTACTGGAAGTGCAACCTTGGATACTGGGCAGCCTGAATACCGCCCCTCCACCTCTGTTCAGCTGCTGCATTTCCAATAATATTCGTTATTTTGTTCAATCAGATTCACTGATTCCCTGGAAGTAAGCCAAGGTATCACATCACCTCTCTACATGCATTGGGGCCAAAAATGTGATCCAAGATGCCACCGACTTCTCGACAACATCCTAAGTAGGTGACGCGCTTAGAGATCTACCTCCACCAAGTGAGGCATCCCACCGAAGATAATCTATAAAAGGGGTCGCACTGAAAGCGAAACTTCAACATTGAAAACAGAAGGACATACTCGAACATGCTTTCGTCGGCCTTGGGACTGGGGGTTACCCTCTTAACCCTCATTATGGGTGTCATTGCCTTCCCTGTTCAACTTGATCGCCGAGGTTAGCTAAATCTGAGCCTGGGCCGACAGAAATCAAAAATACTGACACGTGCAGCGATCACTTCCGATTTGCTGGACAACTTCAAGTTGTACGCCCAGTTTGCTGCTTTGGCTGCCTGTGATCAAAATATCAACGGGACGAGAGGTGAATTGACCTGCGATCAAGGCCCATGTGATATTGTACAAGCGGACAAGACGGAGATCATTGAATCCTACCATAGTGACCATTCCGCGACTGGCTACATTGCATTGGATCACACCCGAAAATTGATTGTTGTGACTTTCCGCGGGACTATTTCGACGTGGGACGGAGATCGCGATAAGGATTTTGTGTTTAAAAAACACTTGTCAGAGGTTTGTGACAATTGTTACGTCCATCGGGGATTTTGGGAGTATTGGAAAACCGCCGAAGAGCAGGTCACTAGCAGACTGCAGCAAGCCACGAAGGAAAATCCAGACTACAGCATTACAGTCGCTGGACATAGTCTTGGAGGAGCTGCTGCGACCCTTGCAGGAATGGACCTGCGTCTGAAGGGCTTCGATTTGGACATTGTGAGTCTAGGATACCCTCACCGAAAGTCATTCTGACTGAACTTCAACTAGTGGACGTTTGGAAGCCCCCGAGTAGGGAATCGCAAGCTTGCTGCGTTTATCTCGGGGCAAAAGGAGCCAAGCGTTTACCGCGCGACTCACGGCAAAGACATTATACCGGCTCTCCCACCCGTGTGGTTTGATTACAGCCAGCTTTCCCCTGAGTACTGGATCAACCAGGAAAGTGGCCTGAAAGTCACCCCGGAAGTTGTGCAATACATCGAGGGATATGATAATAAGACAGGGAACGCAGGACAAAGACACACGAACCTTGGTGAGAGCCACAGCTGGTATTTTGGGAACCTGAGCATCTGCGCCGCGCCGGCTGATCTGCCCCCGAAAGAGAAGCAACCGAATCTGTTGGATGGAATGGGATTAAATGAGACATGAGATATTCGCTATCTTATGTGTATCGAAGGGTACTAGGATACTACGTGAACTACTAACCAAGCAAAGAATCACCCGTTGGAGAAGATATTCTCTTAGAAGTTTGAAAACAAAGTAGAGCCTACAGAAGCCATCGCAGAGATGGAATACCCAAAAAAGATGATATCAAATTCATCGCTACTCAAGAAATCATACCAAGACATCGTTTACTCACTTTCACGCAAACATCGACTTCACCACAGGCCTCGGCTGGACACCACAGGAAGCCGCCACACTAAATCCATTGCCAAAGTCATAGCACTCCTTCTCGAGCTCCTCGATATTAAGGTGCACTATTCCTGCCCCAACAAGCATGTGCAAGACTCTGAGCAGCCAGGTCCGGCAATTAAGTCCCGAAACCATGTTCAGCGTGTCATCGTAGCTTTTCAAGATCTGGTCGACACGCCCATAAGTGACTTCGTCCTGACGAATGGTGGCAATTTCAATCAACACGCAGAGATTATGTCCCGACATGATATTGTGAGTGAACTCATGGGCAGGCTCCCAAATGCCATTCGTACCTCGCACATGGTACTGATAGCCACCTGGATTATCGGCGTGTAGGTAGAGTGCCCAGTGGAAGTCGTTGGGGACCGGAGGATCAGACCGGAGGTAGAGCACGATGAAGAGGGTGCCTCTAGTGAGCATGTCGCGAACATGGGCTTGCTTTCGCCGGAGGGCAGAGGCCCTTTGTCTGGCTTCGGTTTCTTCGAGGTTGGACATTTTGAAACGAGGATCAATGCGATTGAAGGTGGAAGAGAAGATAGAAAAAGACCCGAGAATTTAAATTAATCGAGGCTCAGAATGGACAGGGATCATGGATTGGGTAGGACTAGACCCAATGGCCTTGACGAGAAAGAATGAAATCGAAAATGCTTTTTTTTTCGGGCTATTCGTACACTGTAGATTTGCGTTAGAAAAGCACAAGTGTGCTGTCTCTCAATGATAATGATGGTACAGATTTTCCCAATACCTGATTCCTTCACACGCCCTCGACCTTCTCCCCCGGAGCCAACATCTTGATGTACTGGTGCAGTCCGGTCTCAAGAACATCAAGCTTGTCCCCAACGCGCAAGATAAATTCTCCCTTCGACGGAACAAGCTGCATGCCCAAGCATGCGTTCGTCGGGTCTCCCTCGTCGATTCGCCGATACGACTTCAGCGTCTTGTCCGGCTCAGCCTTGTGTCTATCCCCGGAGTCCGGGTCGACATTTGGCAGCCGGCACCGAACAGTCCGACAGGAAGTATAGATTTCAGTACCTCCTATTGAGACCCGCTTCCAGTGATCTTCGTCGAAGGACGATGGCCCTTGAACAATGATGTTTGCGCGGAACCGCCGAATGCTCAGTCGCGGAATGGCATAGGCACAGCGGGACGCCACATCCCGGTGACTCGACATATTCAGTAGGTGAATGGGATACGCATCTGCAAAGGCAGTATTGGGTTGGAATCCTATGTCCTCTTTGGTCGGGGCATTGCGGAAGATTTCGCGCGTGTGCGATGCGCTCGCACGGAACAATGTTAATTCCCGCTTTGCTGGGTCCGATTCCAGATACTCGTGCAGCGAGGCTGGGAGCAGTTCGCCATAGTCGAGAGCGATGGGACTGTCCTTCCAGATCTTCACGGGAACTTCGGGGAATTTGGACTCCGCAGGTGGATGCAGTGGAACTTGGAATTGACGTCGCTTGTCGCAGATGTTGAGCGCCATGCCGATTTTCACAAGTTGCCCTTGTATTCCTGCGGGTGCGATGCGTGGGTACGAGATGACCAACACGCCGTGGGATTGCACCTCGGTTGAAGAGGGATCATAGTCATGGGCGGATGGATCGGGGATCCAAATCTCCGGCTCGACCAGTGCCAGGCGGTTGAAGCCTTTGTTGCGCAGGGTACGGATGTTCCACTTGTCGTTGTTGTATCCGGCAAAGGTGAATTGCCTGTCGTACTCGAGTCCAGTGGGGACTACATTTGAGGCTTCAAGCTCAACTCCGCGACATGATTTGAGAGGATAGCTGAACAACGCCTTGACGCGCCACGATGGGCGACCTTGATCATCCTGGGTTTGAGGCACACCGGATGCATACTTTGAGTCGTATTCATCGTCCAAATTGCTCGTTCCTGGTGGAAGCCCAAGACGCCGGCACCCTTTGGGATGGATGGGGGATGTTTTCAGCGTGAAGAGAAGGAAACAGACAGTTAAGACGAGAGAGATCAATGTTCCCTTAGAGAAAATCAATTCCTCCCACTCAAAATTGACTGGCATTTTGGCCCTCGAGATCGCGGAAGAAAAAGAAGAAATCTGCCCGATCTCGGATCGGATCACCGCCAACGTCGATTTCCCACTCGACTCGGCCAACGCGATCATGTCTATATCGCATTTGTAATCGAGTTTCCCGTTTCTGGTGTATATTGCCTCGCTCTCTCGCCCTGTTCTCTTGGTCCGGCTTGAGCCATCCTGATGCGCTCTCCATGAGCGCCAACATGGACCTCCTTGGTCTTGACGGTCTCGAGGGTTTATACAAAGATGCGCGTCAGTAGTCGAACTCTCATCAGTGGATTGAGATATTGACATATCGCAGTACCAATTGTCTCGATCTCGGCATCGCAGTCCCTCAACGCGTCGGCCGTCGGACGCGACTCCATCGCGACGGGACTCCCGCACCTGGATGAGGCTTTGGCCATCGATCAACAGCCAGGGGGTATCCTGCGCGGGGGTGTTACAGAAATATTCGGACCCCCAGGAGCTGGGAAGACCTCGCTGGCGTGGGTGTTCCTTTCTTCACCGCTAGAGTCCCAGCTGATCCCGAATGCAGGTTAAACATTGCCCGCAATGCGCTGTGCGATGGGAAGGTAGTCTGGATTGGTATCTCATGTCGCTTCCCTCTTGATTGCTAGACTGACAATTGTCAGACACTGGGTTTCCCTTGCCAAGTCCACGGCTTCAGGCCATGTCCATTAACGCTAAGGACTTTATTCATTTTCAAGTGCATACCCTGGCACACCTTGTTGCCCTGCTGATGCGACCACCCTCGGGGTTTCCACCGCCGGAGACTAATTTAATTGTCATCGACTCAATCTCGAACCTTTTTCCGTCTCATTTCCCACTCCCAACAGAGCTCAAGGAAGATCTTGCCGAGGGGAAGCTTGCGGACAAAGCTCATTACCAATGGCTTTCAAGCCGAAAATCAAACGTCGCGAACGACCTCGGTGCTCATCTCGCACGACTCGCTGCGAAGAATATTGCTGTGATTGCTATCAACCAATTACAAACAAAAATCAAGGAAGAACGGGAAGCCACCTTGTTACCGGTTATCGCGGGTGGAGCATGGGAGAAGACAGTACAGACGCGCCTTGCGGTCTATCGGACCCTACCAGATGATAGGCTCGTGGAGATCGAGAAGCTCTCAGGGAAGCTTGTGCCCGAACTGGATGAGCTCGCTGTTGCCTTCCACATCGATTCGGTATGTCGCAACATTTTCGTTTTGTTGCTTTGGGATTCTGACCTGCCTAGACTGGCGTCCGAGAGAGGGAAAGTCATGTTCCTGTATCCACGACGCCACCATTCAAGTCTCCTGACTTTGAGTACTCTGACCCCCCTACACCGACCCCGTCGCCTCTGTCTTCAATATTGTCGTCTCCACCACCATCCCTAGAACTCAACTCTCCCAAATCCGATACACCAGATCCAGAACCCGCGGCTCAAGATCCACTAGCACAAACACCTTCCCATGGCCCCTCTCCCCAGTTACCCCCGAAGCCGGCATCGCCACAGCAGGCTGCTCACACTCCAACCAAGAAACGCAAGGTGGAAGAGGTAGCCGACAGCCAGGATGAAGACTCAGAAGAAGAGTCTCCCTGGACAGACGAGGCAACACTTAACACGAATTTACCATGAAGCTATGAATTTTTCACGATATACAGTTATTTTCAACAAATCTCAAACACCGGCCCTCTCGGGCTCGGAAAACATTCTTCTCTGTATAGTTCGACCTCGCGCTTCGGCCAAGAAGTCTTTGGGCTCAGCCTCCTCACAAGGATCCTCACTCTGATCCGGTGTTCCAGGCGGTCTCGACACAGAGCAAAGCGGGAAAGTGTCCGCAATGGCGATGGATCTGGGGTGTCTAGACCCCTGTATAAGATCCACCAGTCGTCCTAGAACCGCAAACTCGAGTTTCAACTTCAGCGAGTACACAAAGCCCTTCAGCGTGATCTGCAGGGCGTAAAAGTCCGCATACTCCAGACTCAGCAGCAGCAAGTCCATCCCCATGATCGCACAATTAATCCCAATCAGTTGATACATGATGCTTCGTGTATCCGGACGGACTGATACGTCCGCCCCTAGGCGAAGTAATTTCACCGTCTCAATGACATACAGCGTTGACAGTATGCTTTCTTGGATCGTGAATCCAGTCAACTGTATCTTTTCCATAACATTGTACCCTCGCACCCAGGCCACATCACCTCCGTGAAGGATGTTTGCCCCAAAAGTCAAAATCGTCGTCGGGATATGCAGCAGAAAGACATTGGCAATGATCAAGCGAAACACCCGTCGCAGAATGCGCTCGTCCCGCAGCACAAGATGTAGCCGCGAATACAGAACAACTGATTGTCCTGTTACCATCGTCCACCATCCGATGCTGAGGACGGTCACGGAAAGCACGGAATCCGCGCGCGTGAAGAATTTCAATAGAAAGCCCAGCGAGTATGGTACCACGCCCAGACAGCCGGATATCAAAAGCGACCAGAAGTACAGTCCACGCCAGCGTCGGAATGTTCCTGGTACTAGTATGACTAGTTCGGCGATATTGTAAAAGGATAAGCCGATGAAGGCTAGGAGGATCATCTGTCGCATGTCACCTCCGCTGGCGAGGGCGCCTGATATCCCGTCCAGTAAGTCCTGGGGCACAGGTACGGTCGCCATTGGGAGTCATGTGGACTTGAGGTCTTGGTTCTGAAGATCAGACATTGAGAGAGGCGAGGATGTTAAGAGAGGTATCGTGAATGCCAGTTGGACAGGGCATGTGTAAAACAGGTTTTGTGCGTGGATATTGTCGAGGAATTCGTTACGGTGTGAGGAATCTGGGGTAACCTTAGATGAGGTCCTACGCCCCTCTAAATAGTAGAGGCCTCGCCTGGATCAGATCGATCGAGAATGATACCTTACATATAACTATATCCACTTGACGGGTCATATCAAACAAAGGGCCTGGACCGGCTGTTTATCTCTTTGTTTTCGAATTCGCCACATTCAAGGCAGTGGTTGCGTGGAAGTAATACGCCGTTAGCCGCCTGTGTCCTTGTGATATGTGAGTGAGACCGGCCAGAAAGGAAATATTTCATTCGAGTCTACATGAATTATGGGTTCTCGTTTATAGGTTGGTCAAGTAGTCCTCAATCTGCTCCTTGGTCAACTTGCGGAATCGGGGTCCCTGGGATCCCTCCACACCCTCAATGCCCAGCAAGTGATCCGCCGGTGGGCCGACAATGCCTAAAGATGGGGTTAGCTTGGGGCCTAGGACTTGAGACCCGCCAGACACGGCAGTACAAACTCACCAATCTCTATTGTGTCACCGTTCATCTCGCCCTCAATCGTCTCCTTGAGCGTCAATAGCGCAATGTGGATAGCATCTTCCAGCTCAAGGCCCTCGGTGTATCGCTTCTCAAGGAACGTCTTGGCGCTCGTTGCGTGTTTGCCAATCGCTGTGGCCTTCCACGGGTAGTAGCTGCCACTGGGGTCGACCTGGTAAAGACTGGGGCCACCCTTTTGAATACCACCGGTCTTGCTAGTAGTCTTCTCCTCGGGGTCGTCCTTCTTAGACTGCTCCGACTCGGGCTCAACGCCCTCGTCCCAGCCCGCAACCAACAGACTGACACCGTATGGCCGCACACCTCCGGATTGCGTGGCTTCTTGAACTACCCGAGCGACGTCCTGCACCAAGATTCGGGTGGGTGGGTATTCGTTGTAGATGCGCTTGTAGTTTGTGTGCGAGACCTTGCGGGCCTTGTCCACCAGTACACGGTAGTCGGGGCCCATACCGGCGTAGACCATGCCGATATCAGGTGTAATCAAGGAGATCTTGGACAGAGATGGGGGGTCGATGAGGGGCGATGAGGACTTCTTCTCGGTCGCGAGCACAATGCCGTTGGTAGCTGGGCGGTCAGCTTGTCGTGGGAGAGCTTAGGCTGGCTATCACATACCTTTGATACCGAGGGCCGTGACACCCTGGTTGACTGCGTTCAAGGCATATTCTGATAGTGTTAGTATTGATGCTGTCATCGAATGTGATGGTCCATACCAATCTGCACCAGCTTTCCGCTGTGATGGAGCTGAGTTAGCGTCAATTCCACAGTAGGATTCGGTCTGCCTTACCTGGGGGAGAATGTGGTCAGAGAGAATGAATATCGGTCGGCCATGGTTCGCTGTCAATGTGAACACAAACAGAAGAGATGGAAAGGTCAAAAGAAGGGGAGCTGTGTAGGCAGAGATGGGTGACGTTTGGCGCGGTAGAGCTCACTGAAGGCGGTGACCCAGTCGGGACTAGCTGTGGGTGTGAACACCTTCAGCCAATTTTTTGCTTTTCTCCTCTTTTCCCTCCCAGTTCTCTCCCCGGCCAAAGTACGCGGTCATATTTGTTTCTTACCTACGGAGTTGAGCTTCGGTTCCTCTCGATGTGAGCCTCAATGGAAGGCACTGAGCATTACCCTCCACGGGTCTGTCGCATCTGTCTAGAATCCGTACTCCCAACCTTCCAACCCTCGGAATTCCTTCAGAAGCCTCGAGTGGTATATGAATCCTCCGATCCAGAATCTGGTCGACTCCTAAGTCCTTGTCAATGCAAAGGCTCTTCGCGTTATGTCCACGAGGGCTGCCTGCAAGCTTGGCGTCACGCCGACCCAAAATATGGGACACGGAACTTCTGGGAATGTCCCACCTGCGGTTTTCAATATCGACTCGAGCGTTTGACCTGGGCTCGATGGATCAGTAGTACCACGATGCAACTAATTTTGACCATCGCCATTCTCTTATTGACCGTTTTCCTTCTTGGATTCATTGCTGACCCCATCATTGATTTTTACTTGGGCCCTGTGGAGGTTTACACCGAACTAGTGGACGAAGATGGGTATTGGCTGGCACACTTCACCAAGGGCTTGGCATCTCTTGGCCTATTGTCCTTCCTCAAGGCATTCTTCGCACTGTCTCAATTCCCATGGAACCTGCGCTCTCTCGCCTCTGGTCGGAATTCTGGCCGCAACCGTGCCGCCCAGCTGAATTGGCTGGTCATCCTGGTCGGCATCGGTACTTTCTTATGGGTATGTATTGCATTGAAATGGGTTCCTAGGTGTCACTAACCGCAACAGGGTGTCTACAAAGGTGTTCGCTCGTGGAGTAGGCGCACTTTGGAAAAGGCCGGCGCAAAGGTCATGGATGTGCCGTTGCCCGGTGAAGATGTCAACAGTGAAGCAGTACCCAACGATAGTCCTAAACAAGACTGAACTCGCACTACTTAAGTTGCCGTACTCCTCTGCCCCATGAGACGTCGATTAGTCAATGTGCGAAGAACCATAACTACCTTCGTTAACTCTCAATGGAATGCCTGGGAGGCAGATGAGTGGTGCTCGAACGTCTTGTTCCTGTGTCACTGGCTGCTTCATCTATCAGGGATTCCATTTTGGGGAAGGTAGTCCACCTCTCGATTCAATGGGACGTTCTGACCTTGGAGTCTGACCAATTGACGTTTTCCGGATTGAATGGCGGTAAATTCCTGTCAATAGCTTCTCAATAAATGACATTCTTATATTGCTCTATTGCCTCTGTTGTTCATGAGATTGGACCACACCTGGTTCTCTACTCTCTGGTTTCTTTCTTTTACTTCTCTCTCTCCCTTTTCTTTCCATTCCTTTCACTTCTGTCTTTCTCTCCAAACTCAATTGCCATGGATGTTCTACCTCCTGGTTCCCGCCTTGCGGTGGTTCGGTCCCAACTCGCTCTGAGCTCGAGCCCCGAGAGCTCAAGCCCACCAAAGTGCACTCCTCCATTTTCTGACAAGGAGCCATTCCCAGATTACGACGAAGCTGAGTGCGATGAATTCTCCGTGACCGCAGCCGAGAATGCAGAAGCTTGGGCCTATGCTCTCGGCAAAGCTGTCAGGAGTGAAATTCGGCAACACCAAATTAATCCCAACATCATTCCTCATGTTCAAACTGACCCATCAGAGCGCAGTCAAGCTGTGCTTGAAAGGATGAAAGAGCTTCTTTCTGACCCACACATGCGCCAGCAGACACGCCGTCAATTTATCACCCTTTCCAACATCACGCTGCAGGTCAATCAAGTCATCTTCCATCAGAGCCCCGAGTTCTTAGCCCCGGTGGAGACATCCGACGCAAAGCTGCTTACGGAGACTATCTTGGTCCACATCGCATGGGTGGATAATATGCTGAGCGAGCAATGCCACAGTGTCAACTACACAGCCTCTGTGTTGAGCCAAATTGAGCAAAGCGACGTCTCTGCGTATGAGAAGCTCCGCGAGATGGCTAATGTTGTTGCTGGGTAAGACACAACTTGTAGTTCATCTGTTCAAATTACGCTAACACTCGAAAGACACTTGAAGAAGCCACGCCCTCTCGAACGCGATCTCCTCGAATTATATCTCGAACTCTATGAGGAATGGGTTCATACACCTTTCCTTCATCTCCGAAACCGCCAAACCCTCACCGAGGAGACGTTGCGTCTTGATCGTGCCGAACTCTCCCGCCACGTCATTGCCATCTGGGACATTGTGTCGCGATGTGTTGAGAGCTACGATACATACATCTGGGGCACGACGACCATCCGCAATGAGTTCTTTGCGAAACCAGTAGTGAACCTAAACGGGGTCTCGGATATCTGGGAACAGTGCTGGAATACTGAATTGACGATGGAGCCAGACAGCACTCAGTCTAACCTTGAAGTGAACTCTTCAACTTTTTACGAATAATGAGCAATCTATGGGCCCGGGGATCTTGACGACTTACGAATCTCAAATACAGTATCCAAGCGAACATGCAAGCAACCAATCCAAACAATAATGATATTTATAATTATTCTAAGCCTCGCTGTCCTTGTAGGGCCCCAGCTTGAAAAGCTTCTTAGCATTCTCCCTTCCAATCTTCACTCGGTCCGTATTCGACATCTCCGCATTATCAAACCAGTCACAGGCATCCTCAAAGGTCTCGAAGGGGTAATCAATCGAGAACAGAATGCGATCAGCTCCAACCTCAGCCATACAGAAATTGAGCGTAGTGGTCGAGAAATGACCACTGGTCGTAATCCACAAATTCTGCGCAAAGTATTCCCGAATGGTCTTCTTGCACGTCTCCTGCAACCCGAGCATCTTCTTGCGATCTTCAAACCAGTGATTAATCCGCCACATATCGAAGGGGATTCTCTCTCCCAAATGGCCCAGAATCACTTGCAGCTTGGGGTTCCGATCAAATGTGCCGTTCGTCACCATTCCAAGAGCATGCAGACTGACTCCGTGTGCAAATGACAGCGGTGGCCCAATCAACCACTTCCGATCAGCCCACATCTTCTCATAAATGGTGCCTGTCGGGTTGCGCGGGTGCAGATACAGAGGCACGTCGAGCTCCGTACACGTCTGCCAGAAGACATCCCACTTCTCGTTATCGTAGAAGATCATATCTTCGCCGTCCTCGCCTGCTCGCTGTGTGTCATTCACCAAAGCCCCGAGGAACCCATACTGTGTCACGCAGCGGCGCAGCTCGTCGGCAGCTTCTTGTGGATCGTGCATGGATAGCGTACTATGCGTTCCAGATCAGTCGGGAAGGTCAACAATTCACAATCGGAACAACTTACGCGAAAGCGGCGAAGCGATCCGGATGAGCCTGCACCTTTGCAGCAATATAATCGTTGATCTCAACGGCGAGACTCTGCGCATCTTTGGCATCCCAGATATCTTGCACACCGGGTGCGGTGTAACTAAGGATCTGGAGTCCGACGCCGTGTTTCTCTGCAAAGTCCAACCGAATAGGACCGACGTCGTTGATCTCAGCTGTGTGTTTGGCTGTATCTGTGGCAAATAGCCCGGCCCACCATTTGGTCTTTTCAGCGAATCTGGGAAGCGCGAAGGCTTCTTCGAGGGCGATTTTGCCAAGCATTTTTCGAGTCTATACTTGGCTGTGTTATAGATGTGGTTGAGACATCTCGGTTCCTGCGTCTGTTGACTTCTTTATAGCTATGCGGGGACCCCGCATAGCCGTATTACGCAGCGTTATGCGCTCGGAAAGCTCGTCGGATGTTGACCCGACGGCGGTCCGCTGTGGCGGGGCGGATGCGGGGAGCGGACGGCGGGTGTTGTACTACAGCAGGTGGTCGGGTACTTCTCTCAAGGTAGGATAGCATGGTTTTTATGCGATGTAGTATTTCGGAAATGAAAATACATAGGTGTTCCGAAAAGCCTGTGATGTTCCGGGACTCGTTATATTGGAGCTCCAGACTCCAGAGCTCCGCCTTGTTCGTGGCTCAACACGTCGTCTTTCCTTGCTTCTCTCCCCCAATGTGGTTTTTGAAATTTTGACTATTTCTTCCCTGTCAATTACTTTCCATGTCATTGATCTCTAGCCTTGTCAACGGCGGGTGGCTTGACGCGAGGAAAACAGAAGATAGGTCTTCCGCCTATTTCACTTGGTGATCCGCGAAGCTGATTCAAATCACGGTGCTAGTTATTCAGGTCTTTACGCCAGGGTCTCTCGAATGATATTATCGAGGTATTTCCCGAGGTCATTCATTGACGGGCAGACCACTTCGATGGTCTGCGAAATTGCCAAACCGATCTGCAAGGCTACAATATGCATTGTGGACCCTCCCCACTTAGGGCCGGCACTTAGGCCATGATCTTCCTGATGCGAGTGTGTATGTCAAGGTTGATGATTAAAGATATAGGTAGCGAAATAAGTGGTACACGATCATGTATATGGACAACATCACCCGGAAGGAAAAGAATACATCTCGCCACTCGTCAGCTCCCGAGAATGCGAGCGCACAATGGTCAGCAACATGCCCAGCACGACAAATTCCATCTTCAACTTGATGCTATAAACAAGCGCCTTGAGAATGATCTGCGTGAAATAATATCCCAGGAACTCCAAGATCAGTAATGTCAGGTCCATCACGATGGCGACAATATTAATCCCAATCAACTCCCATAAGATTTTATGCCGTTTCTTGTCTTCCTCGGGGCTGATCTTGATCAATCGCACTGTTTCCCAGATATAAACCGAAGAAATGAGAATCTCCTGCACAGAGAACCAAGTTATCTGGGCGCGCTCGACTATCGAGAAGCCATGCACCCACGCTGACCGTGGGAAGTATTCGGACCCGAAGTTCATCGTCACAGTTGGGATGATCAGTATGATCGAATCAATTATGATCACCCATTTAATTATCGCAAGTAGGCGGAAGTTTTGCGATATCAAGTGCAATCGTGAATATAGAACCACTGACTGCGTGGGAACCATGCATATAAACCCTATATTAGAGAGGGCGAGGGAGAGCCATAGAGGGACTAGGCCAAAATATTGAAACGATGTTCCCAGACTGGTTGGTATCAAGCCCATTGTAGTCGAGATCAGAAGGGCCCAGAAATAGAGGCTGCGGTAGGTCTTGAAGCTGAATGGGATGAGTACGGAGAGCTCGACTGCGTTATAGAGTGCGATCGAGATGAAGATGATCACCGCAACTCCCATGGCCTGGTCCTGGTCGAGGGATTTCGGGAGTTGTTTGAAATTGTCCGCCATGGTGGATTGGCCATGGTGTGCCTGCGTCTCGAGGTCGCATCGAAGAGGTGAACAGGGGAGAGAGTCGAGCTTCGCAGGTCTTGAATGCCCAGTCCACGGGTGGAGGCAATTCAGCCTCTCTGGTTCTATGGTTCGCAACGTCACCAAAGTGGGATTGACCAATGAGAGAGGGAAGATCTACTTGCACCTTCCCCTTTCTGTCCTCTGCAGAAAGTCAAATATGGATGACGTCTCGTTATGATTGGTCGAGCCGAATCCTTTAAACCGTGGGGAACCCTGATAACCGTGTAAACGGTCTATGCGTATCTAGGACTATTTTCGGACAACTCGAATGCTAGGATTCCCCCGCGGTCGACAAGTCATAAAATCATTATAATCAGGCTCCAGGTCTGTGGCCTCAACCACAACATCAAACTGCGTCAGCATCGATACCACAACCAGCTTCATGTTCAACATCGCCAGTCTCTGCCCCTTGCACCCGTGTTTCCCCGCGCCCCAGCAAATGAACTCCTTTTTAACTTCCCGACTCGGGTCCCAGCACCTCGGGTCAGGGTAATATGCGGGGTTAAGGGAAGTATCCGAAAATGGGTAAACCACAAGGGCTCCAGTGGGAATTGCGTACTCTCCCACCGTGAATGCAGGTCCTGTATTGCGACGCATCGCCGAGTAAGGCTGGGATGTTCGGAGGGTTTCACGGATACAGCGATCGAGCATTGGGGTTTGAGTCTCCCACTCTTGGAGGGTGATGGAGGAAAGAGAAGTCTGAGGAGTACGCGAGAGCAAGGTTTGGATCTCCGCTTGGATGTTTCGGGCCCACTCGGGGTTGGTGGATAGTCGCATGATCAGCCACGATACTTGAATGATATTAATGAGTTGTTTTCTAGCTGTAGATGGGATTATTACCTATTGTTCCGGTCGCGCGGGCTCCGGCTAGCGAAAGTCCGAGGATGAACTTTGGAAGTGTTAGTTGTGGGTTGCCAACTCTATGAGGTGAAAAGACCTACCGCGAATATTTGTGTAGTACTTTCTCCATCATCCAACATGTGTTGAACCGCATCATTCCTTGTCACTCCGCTTGCTTTCCGCATTCTGACTTGCTGTCGAACAATAAGGTACATACGAACCGCTGATATAATTTTGCGGAACATCAACATGTTAGGTAGCCAAGAACACCAGGTTGCGTATGGATTGGCTGGTGAGTCGACGATATCGACAAGTGATTTGAATTCAGAGCATAGTGCTATGTCGTTGGATAGATCGAAAAATCCGGTTGTCATCATCGTTTGAAATGTAACCTGATTGATATGAGCCATTAATATTGTCTTCCTTGTGATCACTAATGGCATAGACATACTTCATGAATTGAAGAGCATGGATCAAGAACACTTTCAGTACCCCACGAGTCCATAGCGCGCTGGCAAGTAGAGAGTATCAACGGGATCACTAGTTCAGTTTAGATTCAACGTGTTTCTTCATCAAGGAGACGCTAACTTACTCGACTTTAAGAATTCAGGCCGTTGCATGCATATTATTCGCTTCAGTATAGCACTGACCTGGTGGGGATTCAGCTGAACACTCTTCTTCGAGGTCATTAGTACCTTCAAATATCAAATAGGACCCCGGAAAAGGTAACACACATTGCCCAAGAGCATAAAGAAAGAATCATATATGTTCAATCCTCTTTCTCTCATAAAGAGTTGTCGGGCTTCTGCTCCCGAGAGTACGATGGTTTTCCGTCCGAGCAGCGTCAACTGATAGATAGAAGACGATGTGGCCTTGAAACCATCATTGATGAAGTTGAACCTTCTCTCAAAAAACGATTGGTTGCTCTGCAGACTGGGTAACTGTAATTCAGGGATATCCTGATCATTATTCCCTGAGGACGGCGGTGCCACGTATAAAATTTTGAGCCAAAAGGCATATAAAGATAGAGCAACAAGGACAAGGATACCCGGAAATCTCAGCGAGACTAAAGTCTCAAAGGATAGGGCCAATATTGATGTCGATAAATAGTGTTGTAACATATTGAGTATAGAATTGAGGTTGACTTGGACCCTCCATCCCAGGCCCAACGCCTTTTATAAATCAACACATAGTTCACCTGAACTCGATGACGCCCTTGTATATCCAGGTAATGACAGCGACAATACTGAGCCGGAGTCCGAGACTGTGACTCTTCGACTCTCAAACCCTTGGGGAAGAGCTTTTGATTCGCTCCTCGAGTATCAACCTGCTCGTACGCCCTGGGTGCCTGGACTGCGCCATTGGTGGCCCACCTTGAGATACATCTAACCCACCAATAATGGCAGAGAAAAAGAAGCACCAAGATTAATTTAGTCTACATGACTAGACCCCAATCTACAAGGCTGTTGGAAATCGACGCACGCCGCCGTTGGTTTTTGTCTTAGCTGTGGTCAGCTTCTATCCAGGAACAGCCGAATTTTTAGATCGAATCTCACCGAGGCGGACTACTAGCGTCGAATTAAAGGTGCGGCTCGTGTTGGCTCTCCTCGTATTCCGATGACATCGTGGTATTCTTCAGCCCTCCTTGACACTCCTCTGATGCTTACACCGGGACGGGCTGCTCGTTCGGGTTAGCCTAGGTTGTTCAGGCCAGCTGTTGCTAGACTTACAGGATCTACAGGTAGTTTCTTGTTCGATCATTGGCTCATTCTATTTGAGAATGTAATTTCTTCAGTACAGGCGATCCATGGATCGAGTCACATATTCATTGTTCTGCGCCACACTGGGAACATGTGACTGTACGTTCAGCTTATTTTTGGCTGAGTCGGTTGAGTGTCGGAGTCGGGAATTTGGGGGCTGGTATTGATGCCGAACAAAAACATTCCAAGTTGTCATACCGAGTTCAATCTAAGCCAGTATATAGCGTAATTTGTCCCTTCAATGTGGGCTTGACATATGAACCCTACCCCCGCTTGGGCAAGAGTCTCCCACCAAATAGCAACCCCACCGATCAGCAATCATGTTTACCCAGGTGTGATCGGTGCCCAGGTGAATAGCCGCAGTTAACTTCTCTATGTACCACTCGACAACGTTAGGGGCCTTGTTTTACAAATTCGGAATCAGGCCCGCTTCCAAAGATGGCTCGGCGATGTGCCTGCCCAAGATTTGGCCTGGGATACCATTCAGCTTGATGGCCTTGTTTTGTTTCACTAGGACTTCGGTAGCGGATAATTAGTTATTGAATGCAATCCTTCCGGAGAAAAAAATATCCACAGTACATTTTAGGGCCAACATTAGCATTGTTTATTGTACTCCGTACTGGACACCCATCGTTGTTGGTATCTGCATAATTCGAAGATGGCTAGTTCTTACGGGAGGGCGGGAAGGATTCCAACCGCTCGTGGGATGCAGGTTAAAAGTTGTTGGTATGCAGTGGCCCGTGTTGGGGGGCCGAATTCATGCAGTCTGGTTTTTTTTTGGCCCCTGTTTGAGAAACATTACCCGAGTACAGGGATGCATGGCCATTTAAAGATACAGATTGTATAGATGTTTCGTGGTTGTTTGCTATGTGTAGACACAATCTCTCTGTCTGCTAAGAAGCTAGAACAGGAAACTAAAGCTGATTCATGAAGGAGTGTGCAATTGCTCAATCTCTCTGTAGAACTACAGCCACAAATACTCCATAAGACTCATTTGATGCCTGAGGCAACAGACATAGGCCAAAAGTTTGACACTCCATTTTCGGGACCTCAGTATGTAACTTTCCAGTAAATAGATCATAGTATATTATATCCGTGGATCAATCAGTCTTTCAAAGCTGTATCGAATATCTAGGTAGTCCAACTCTTTTGAAGGTTCCTAAAGAAGAGGGAGTCTTGAGAGATAAACGCCCTGGCGACCTTCCGAGCTCTGGTAGTAGACTACATATGAAAGAAATGACGATGAGAAATATGACCAGGAGGTTGCAAGACGAGAACCTTGGGACTTTTCTAACGGCAGAGCTTCAAGGTTTGATCAAGCATTAAAACCCACATCCTGCGCCAAACCTTTGTCTTGCCCGCTATCGAGTTTCTCCGGTTGAACATCCTTTCGCAGTAAATAACGCTTTGCAAAATATGGAATTTGCCTCAGACCATATCCAGCATGAAGCCTAGTCGGCAATGCAAACACCTGATCCAGCTCCTCAAGCGTTTTGCCCTTGGTTTCGGGCATGAACAACAGAACCTGCCACCACCCAACCACACACCAGCCCGCATACCAAGAGAATGCTCCTTGGGGCGTGAAGGCAGCTTTCAATGCTGGCCATGTTACTCCAAGAACGAAGTTGAAAAACCATGTCGTTGCGGTTGCCAGTGCCATTCCGTGCGGTCGCACGTATAATGGGTATGCCTCGGCCGAGTATGTGAATGCTACCGGTCCTTCGCCGGGTGAGTAGAAGACGCCGAATAGATATGTGCCGAGGACTATGCATGCTTGTCGGGCTGTCTGGCTGGTCTCTGGGATCCAGAAGCTGAATCCGGTGAAGAACATTGCCATTGCCATAAGGGGGAATGTGAGAAGTAGGAGATTCCGTCGACCGAAGGTGTCGATTGTGTAGATCGCTGGAATCGCGAAAAGCCAGTTGATGACTCCCCATCCCAGGGAAGCAGAGAGTGCTGCTATGGGTGTGAATTTGGCCTTCAATTTCGTTAGTTTTGTCTTGGATGTGTTGGATACAAACTCACCTCTAGAAAGATCTCTGCAGAGTAGTAAGCGATAACATTGACACCGCAGAACTGTTCCAGTTAGATTCTGGTTTCAGAGCTCGTAGATTCAAAGACTCACTTGCTGCATGAACATCACAATTTGAGATGCCACCATCGCACGCCGATTGCGCGGAATGGTAATCAACTCTAGCAACTTATTCTGACCCAGTTTCATACTGCTCTCGGCTTCAAGCAGGGTATGCATGTAATAGAGATCTCTGGCTGCCTGGATCTTATGATGCCGCAACGTACATATTGACTGGTACGCACGGTAATACTGCTTCTGGCTCATGTACCATCGCGGCGACTCGGGGCAGGCAAACACAAAACAACAGACCACCAATGCCGGAAACATTGCGGATGCCATCATGCATCGCCAGTTGAGTCCCACGATAGCGGTCGAATCCACATTATAGAAGATCAAATCAGATGCATACCCAACCATGATCCCAAATGCTGTCCACATCTGCCACTGCATGACCAGTGCGCCGCGAATGGCTGGAGGCACGGTCTCTGCCGCGTACATCGGCACAGTGGCTGACTTGGGACCGATGCCGAAGCCCAGCATGAATCGGGCGATGAACATAGCCCACCATGTCGAGACAAATCCTTGCCATAAACAGGCTACCGCTGAGAAGCAGCATGTGAGGAAGATTGTGCCCCGACGCCCAAACCAGTGGTTGAATGGGACGGTAAGCCAGCAACTGATGAAGGCGCAGCAGAGGTATGGTGCCGAGTTCGTCAGGCCGACGAGCCAGGTGCTTCGAGGAGAGTGGTCACCGATGCCGAACTGGTGCTTGTAGAATATTTGGGCGCCGTTGACAACCGTCTCATCTATTTTCGTCAGATTCGCCGCTCGTCTATGCGTGAGCTAGGGATCGCCAGTCCCATACTGACCCATTCCTTGTACAGCCGCCGAAAGAGAGCACAGAGCAATCACGGCATACATCTTCCATGGCTGAGCCCATTTGTTCGTCAGTTCTCGCCGTAGGACTTCCTTTTCTAGATTCGTCAAGTCTGTGATATCAGCATATCGCTCTGGTGATTGCGCGAGCACAGCGCCCAGCTCGAACGCCCGTGTGTCGGACTCGTCGCCCATGACATGAAATTCGGCGAAGGCGCGCCCCTGGCTCCTCAGCTCGGTATGGCTGAGGCCAGCCAACGGGTTAGACAGTTTTGCATTGATGTTACGCCGTTCTCGTTCGGCAGCTTTACCGAACAGCTTGTGCGACACGGGTTTGTCACCTTGCGCTGGTTCCATTCCTTCTCGTGACCGAAGCGTTGGTAGAAGATGAGATCGAGGGATGTTCGAGGAAGTCCCAATGTTTGGTTTTTCGCCAGGGAAAGCCTCGAGGGAACAAAGAAACTCGACATCGCCGGACAATAGTACGGCTGTGCCGCCCTGGCCATACTGATTGGGTGGGCGTGAGCATCAAAGAACGCCTGGTCTTAGCGGTCTCCAAGGCTATACCTCGAGGGCTATACTTCAAGCTAGTGGTCATGCTTGAAGGTGATTGGAAGATATTGCCAGGGATTCGTTCACTGGCCTCAGGATCTTCGACATCCGCAGCTCCACTTGGCCTTGGGCTTCATGATCGACAGCTCCGGGTTTAGAGCCCAAAGAAATCCCGCAAGTGCCTATGCTCAGGTCAGGTTTGCATTGTGCTAGCTTTGATCCTTGCGAGACGGTCGCATACGGAGTACGGATGTGGGCGTTTTAGAGGATATTCCACACAAAGTGCAGATACAAGATGGTCTAAGGTTTTCAATATCATGGATGTGTGGTTCATTCGGTAATGGTATATAATATTGGCAGTACATTGTCCCGAGCTTGGAGCTGCTGAACGTATACGATGTGTAGCGAGACATGAACCTGTGAGACACTTGGATAATTGTTAGCGATGATCGACTGAATTCATGAAGAAAAACAAGTCAAGAAAGCTCAATCAGATAGCAGTTGGTACAATTTTGAGTCCACATGGTTATTCAGAACAGGTCTGTGTGAAAAGGTTGCTTCATCATAAGAGAGCTGGATGGAAAAACAATGGTCGACTCACGTTAGAAAAATGAAGCCATCCCATGGATCAGACATGGGACAGCGGGTTCAAAGCCAAAGCCCTCTTATGGCAAAAGCCAGACACAAGCATTACTGTGAGCTGGCTTGATGCGAAGATCTTGGCTTGTAATTGTCCCACAGACGAGGCGAATACCCGAGGTGATGGAAGAAGAAGAAAAAAAGAAACCCGCAGCGTCGTTAAATACCGAGGAGTGGATCACGCTTTGCATCGTTTGCACTGACAAACAAAAAAAAGTGGTGGTAATTTAACGGTGGTCCAATTTCTCCCTTGTTTCTTGGATCTTTTGCTGAAAAGTCCTTTTTATTCAGTGAGTAAATCTCCGTGCATGCACATGTTGTGTTTGACACTAACCAATCCTAGTACAAGATGGCCGATCAAGAGATCCCCTCGGCGGAGCAAAGTGAGATCATAGCCAATTCGCCAATGTCAAGCAAAGACTATTTATACTAATACTACACTTAGCTCCTACCAAGCCTCCCTTCGAAAACGTTCGTACTGATGGCCGAGCCTTCGCCTCTCCCAACTGGCGCACCAAAAGCAGCCCTGCTCCCGATAGCCCGAATCGGAGCAACCCAAATCTCAATACAACCCGTGCGGCATTCAGTCGGCCCGGCGCCCATGTCCCGCAAGCCATCAATGATGGTCGCCGGCTATATGTAGGCAATATGCCTTACACCGCGAAGACCGCGGATGTGGAGGCAATTTTCATGGCCGCGCAGATGCCGATGTATGTCCTCGTTTAGGGCTGGAAGGCACGGACTAATCTTTCGACAGTGAGCGCATTGATATCGCCATTGATCCCTTCACTGGCCGCAACCCTTCCTACTGCTTCGTGGATCTACAGAACAAAGATCACGCGGAGCGTGCTATGGTGGAACTCGATGGTATCGATATGCTGGGTCGACCATTGAAGATTAAGCCTGGTGTCGCCAAGTCCCAGGAGCGGATTGATAACCCTCCTTCGCCACTGAGGATGGGTGGCTGGCGCCAGCAGGGGAAACAACCCAGCTTTGCCAAGGTCAACAGTGATTCCAGCAGCCGTGTTTATGTGGGTGGTTTGCCACGGTTGACAGAACCCGAGATCGTACAGAGCAACATTGCGACCTTCTTCAGCGGTTTCAAAGTGTAAGTTGATTGGCAAACATCTAAACGGGATGATGATTAACGATCTTTAGTGAGAACATCAGCAAGCTGTTTACTCCCCACCCCGCTAAGCGATTCGAGCCCGGCGAGCACTACTATCTGTTCGTCGATGTCGGTTCGCCCGAGGAAGCCCAACGAGCGATGGACACCTTGAACCACCAAAATGGCCCCTGGGGCGCTCCGTTGCGTGTCCAATATGCTCGTGGCTCTAAGACCGAACGAGATACTTGAAAAGGGTAAAGAAAAAAACTATTAATGATGAGTTGCATTGCATGAGCTATGATTGAGAAAATAACAAATACTATATTTCACACCGCTTGCCCTTCTTAAATCACGCAGATGTCTCACTGTTCTTGGAGCCCCACTGAGACATTATTTCTTAGCATCGGACTGTGATTAATTTAACTTGAATAACTGTAGCTTTGAAACTATTGCTCCATTGGTACTAGGTATGACTTCATGTACGATAGTTAATGGTAGCTCTGTACTAGTAGAGATTAGTCTAAACTATACTTATAGGTCAAACATCCATCAGCGACAAAGACACAGTGTAGAAAATGTGATATTCTGACATTCTAGTGTTTAGTGCTTCATCTTCTACTAGTACTAATATACTCTGACAGTATAGAGTGTCTAGAATGCATCGAAAGACACGGGTAGATCCAGTTCTCCAGGGAAAAAAGTGGATAAATGGAATGACGTTAGTGGGAGACTCACCGCATCGCCTCCCTGTTTCTCTCCTTTCTTCTTCAATGTTTTTCAGTTGGATATTTGGTGACTATATACTTCTTCTATGAAGATCCTCTTGGCTGCAGGTCACTGTCTCCTACTCTACCCGCTCTAGGCCTGTTCTGTCCCTCGGGATCTAGCCCCTAATTCTCCCGAGATCCTGATTGCTCTTCAGACCATCAACTGCACTTGGCCAAAATGTCTTCAAAAAGCGTCATCCGGAGTCAACAGCAACACAAAGTGTTCATTGCGAGTGTGAGTGCTATTCCTTACTGTGTGACCCCGCCATCCTGCACTGTTTGATATGTCCGCGGGGTTGATACCCTGTGCCGAGGTTACCCTGGGGACGACTATGCTTGCACAATCCAACGACAAGCGATGCAATTTCATGTGTCTAGGATGTATGGCGGATGCAGATGTATTATCCAAATGGTATTGGCTTCATGTTGAGGTATACAAGAAGCAACTTGCGGCGCCATGATCCACAGAGTGGGCAATTGTCCCGAACCAAATGCGAAACGATGCGATGCATCGTCATGGGAAACTATTGCATCCCCGTGGGTAAACATTGCATCGTCGTGGGCAACTGTTGCATCGTTGCTCCATTTCCTTTTGAGTTGATTTTGTTTGCTTTCCTGTGATTCGAACCTACGCTGGTCGCCTCTCTGGTTTTCTCTCGATTTTCTCCGATTTATGACACGATGGGACAAACATTTTCAGTTACTGACTTCCTGCAGTCCGATGACTCCAAGATATGCGTTGTCATGGTGGGACTCCCTGCCAGAGGCAAGAGTCTAATTGCGGGAAAAGGTAAGCATCCCATTTCAAGTATAGACCAAAAACAGCAATTAACGAGAACAGCCATGCGTTACCTTGGCTGGGTGGGAATTCCCGCCCGTGTCTTCAACGTGGGTAGCTACCGTCGCTTCAACACCCCACAGCCATCGGCTACCTTCTTTGATCCTCACAATGAGGAGGGTGAGCGCATGCGACGTGCTGCTGCGGAGGCCGCCATGTCTGATATGATCCAGTGGTTCAATGCTGGCAAAGGTGTTGTGGCCATTCTTGATGCCACCAACTCTACCAAGGAGCGTCGCCAGTGGATCTATGAGAAGTGTCACGAAGCGGACATCGAGACTCTCTTCGTCGAGTCGATTTGCGACGACGAAGATCTGATCATGACCAATATCAAAGAGGTCAAGACTACCTCGCCTGATTACAAGGGCCAGGACCCAGAGGAGGCCGCCCTCGATTTCCGCAACCGCATTCGCAACTATGAAATGGTGTACGAAACTATCGGCGACAGTGAGAAGAGCTACACCTACGTCAAGTTGATCAACGTTGGATCTACCGTGATCATCAATCAGATCAAAGACTATCTCTCCAGTCGTCTGGTCTACTACATTCAAAACCTGCATATCAAGCCTCGTTCGATCTGGCTCTCACGCGTAAGTGCACAGTTGACGAGTCCTCTCTTCCATTTATCCCCGTTCTAACATGATATAGCATGGCGAATCCGAGTTCAACCTGAGCGGCGCCATTGGCGGCGACTCCAACATCTCCGAGCGTGGCGAGGCGTATGCCCGCGCTCTTCCCGAGCTTATGCGCAAGTCCGGCATTCCCGAGAACACTAAGATTGTCATCTGGACTTCCACTCTCAAGCGCACTATTCAGAGTGCCCGTCACTTAAAGGCCGAGACCGGCTACGAGAAGCTGGAATGGAAGGCCCTGGACGAGCTTGATTCAGGCGTCTGCGACGGTCTGACCTACGAACAAATTGCGGAGAAGTACCCTGAGGATTTCGCTGCTCGTGACGAGGATAAGTACAACTACCGCTATCGTGGTGGCGAGTCTTATCGCGACGTGGTTATTCGTCTCGAGCCCATCATCATGGAGCTGGAGCGTTCGGAGAACGTCATCATCGTCACTCACCAGGCGGTTCTTCGTTGCATTTACGCCTATTTCATGAATGTGCCCCAGGAGCAGAGTCCTTGGATGGAAGTTCCGCTTCACACTCTCATCAAGTTGACCCCTCGTGCTTATGGTACCGAGGAGCAGCGCTTCAAGGCAGATATCCCCGCCGTGTCTACCTGGCGTGGTAAGGGTACCTCGGCCAAACACCAGGACTTCCCCACAAAGGAGGAAGCGAAGGAAGAAGCCAAGAAAGAAGCCAAGGAGGAGGCCACGGAGGAGGCCAAGGAGGAGACTAAGGGAGAGGCCACGGAGGAGGCTCAGGAGGAGACCAACTAAGATTGATTGATCTGCATCGGCGGCGCATGGATGTGATCGGATTTGGGGCGTGGAATTTTATACCAAAAATATTTCGACGGTACTTCATTCTTACTATTCTACTACATATTTTATCAATCACAAATGGAGTTTTTATTTCGGTGATCTCTTTGGGTACTTGTTATTTATACTCACAGCTAGAAGTAGAAAACATCAGACGAAAGGTTAGGAGAAAGATCAGATGAAACATGAGATCAGGCAAAGCCACAGAGAAAATTTAACTGTCACGTTCCTGCATGTGTATTTCTTTCTAAAAGTCCAATAAGAACACCTCAATCATAACAGCATTTGTAGGACTTGAAGTCTTCAGGCCTAAGATAAATGCACCTTCACCGCCCACGGGCACTGGTGTTCGGACGTCATGCGGAGAGCTCCAGCCACGCCCCTCGCCAACCCGGCAATTGAAGACACGCCGATGTTGTCAGCATTCACCGCGCGGCCCCTGGTCGAGCTCAAGCCGCGCGACAAGTCCCGCATCGACTCCGTCCTCGCATATGGCGACCGCCTTCTCGCCGGCCTCAACAATGGCAACCTCCGCATCTACCGCGTTGACGAAGGCCGCACCGAGCTCCTCCGCGAACTGGAGCGTTTCTCCCGCTACAAGATCGAGCAGCTGGCCTTGATCAAAGAGGCCAATGTGCTGGTCTCGCTCGCCGGTGGCTATGTCTCACTACATGACGCCCAGTCTTATGATCTCATTGAGCAGCTTTCCCAGACGAAAGGTGCCTCCGCGTTCGCTATCACGTCCAATGTCGTCAATGACCCCGATACCAACGTCCCGGCGATCGTTTCTCGATTGGCTGTCGCAGTCAAGAGGAAAATATTCATGTGGGCGTGGCGGGACATGGAGCTTGAGCGAGATACCGTGGAGCTGAGTCTGACTAGCGGTGTCAAGACCCTTACCTGGGTTGCGGCTACGAGGCTAGTTGTTGGGTTGAACTCGAGCTTTGTCATGGTCAATGTGGAGAACGGTCAAGTCACCGATCTTGCGGGGCCTGGGAGTATCGAGGAGTCAGGTCGATTTACGGGTGTCGGTGCGGCGAGTATGAGCTATATTGGCATGGGCGGCATGGTGCCGCGACCACTTGCTACTCGGCTGCGAGAGGGTCAGATTCTCCTGGCGAAGGACGTTAATACAAATTTCATCGATGTTGATGGTCAGCCGCTGGGAAGGAAGCAGGTTCCCTGGAGTCATGCTCCTGTTGAGTTGGGATACTCATATCCGTTCCTTTTGGCTTTGCACGATTCCGCCAAAGGGGTGTTGGAGGTACGCAATCCAGAGACTTTGTCTTTACTGCAGTCTATTTCACTGCCCTCGGCGAGCATCTTGCACATTCCGCAGCCGAACATCAGCCTCGCGCACGCTGGCAAGGGCTTCCTGGTAGCCAGCGATCGTACCATATGGCGCATGGAGGCTTTGAGTTACGATACCCAAATTGATGCACTGGTGGAGCAGGGCTATTTGGACGAGGCTATCAGCCTGCTCGGTATGCTGGAGGATGCTCTGCTACGAGACAAGGCTGGTCGACTGCGTTCGACCAAGCTAGAGAAAGCCCAGAGCTTGTTTGCTCTGAGCAAGTATCGTGATTCTTTGGACCTGTTCACTGAAGTCTCTGCCCCTCCAGAGAGCGTCATTCGCCTCTACCCACGACTGATTGCGGGCGATCTTTCTGCGGTCCCAGAGCCCGATGTGCCAAATGGAAAGGCGAACGGTGATCAAAGTGACGGGTCATCTGATGACGCTGCACCTGGCCAGACCTCCACCAACGCACCCTCCGTTATATCTTCGTTGCGAAAGCCTGACGAGGGTAGTGAGTCCAGTAGCACCCGGGGTGACGAAAAAGGGTTGAGGATTGCCGTGCGCGAGCTACAGGGATATCTGGCCGATGTGCGTCGACGGTTCCAGCGCTTCCTCAACCCCGATGGCTCTCTTAAAGCAACCGCGACTACGGGGGCCAAAGATGAAGCAAGCGATTCCGTTCTCAAATTGTTGGATTTCCCATCGTCCGATGAGTTTTCTGCCCAAATCCGCGAGAAGGCTCGGATGGTAGACACCACTCTCTTCCGCGCGCACATGTTTGCGACTCCATCGTTGGCCGGTTCCCTCTTCCGCATTGCCAATTTCTGTGATCCAGAAGTGGTGATGGAAAGGCTAGAGGAAACAGGCAGATACAATGATCTCATTGATTTCCTATATGGCAAGAAGCTACATCGGCAAGCCCTCGAGCTCCTCAAACGCTTTGGCCGGACAGACAACGGTCCTCTAAGCGGCCCCACGCGCACAATTGCCTATCTCCAAAACCTCCCACCGGATCAGATTGATCTGATTATTGAGTTCGGCGAGTGGCCATTGCGTGCGAATCACGAGTTAGGCTTGGAGATCTTCCTCACTGATACCGAGAATGCGGAGACACTGCCTCGCCCGAAAGTCCTTACCTTCCTTGAAAGTATCGATGCTACTCTTGCCATCCAGTACCTTGAGCATGTCATTCATGAATGGAATGATTTGACGCCAGACATACATCAACGATTGCTCGTCTTATATCTAGATCAGCTTGTTCTGAACAAATGGGAATGGAAAGACAAATTCCTTACGATGTTGAAGGAGAGCGAGCAATACTCACCGGCAAAGATGCTAGACCGACTTGATCGAGAAGGTATGTTGCCATTGCCGCGTTGTATTGATGTACGCTCACATCTCCAGATCCAAACTTCTACGAAGCCCGAGCTATTCTTTTCAGCAAAATGGGCCAGCACCGGCAAGCACTTGAAATCTACGTCTTCAAGCTCGAGAATCACGAAAAAGCTGAAGAGTGAGACCATTTCTATCCACAAAGTTCTTGCTCTTGCTAACCCTAACAGATACTGTAATCACGTCCACCTTGCCGAAAAGCCCGAAGAAGAGAACACGATCTACCTCACCCTCCTCTCCCTCTACCTCTCCCCGCCACATGGATATACCCCTCAGAACGATCCTGCAATAGATCTTCTCGCCAAACATGGCTCCCGACTGCCCGCTGACGCAGCCCTCAAACTGATCCCAGACCAACAGGCTGTGCAGAAACTGGAGTTCTACTTCAAGGGTCGCATGCGTGCCGCGAACTCGAGTTTCAACGAAGCGCGCATTGTTGCCAACCTCCGCAAAGCAAGAGATATGCAGATTCAGGCACAATTGGCACTTGGCGATGGCGTCAAGGGTGGTGGCACACGTGCAAGACATGTCACTGTGACCGAGGAACGCATTTGTGGAGTTTGTCATAAACGACTCGGCGGGAGTGTTATCAACGTTTTCCCTGAGTATGTCTACCCCGCTTCTGTGATTGTTCTCGCTGACTTTCTAGTAACACCGTTGTTCATCTGGGCTGTGCGAATCGGAGATCAAGTGCACTTCGGTAGTGTGTGTGCTTTCGTGTTTTTGTTTTCGGTTCGCCTCTTTTCTATCGTCGTCGACTTTGATACCCATAGCATCTTTATTCTTCCCCCAGGTCTTGTTCCTCATGCCTCTTCAACAACCTCTTCGCCGTAGTTCGCTTCCTCCTTGGCTTCCTGGGCAGAGATTTGTCCCGCCTTCTTGTCTTCCTCCATGCGCTGAGTGAGGAAGGCGTTGATCTCGTCTTGCAGCTTGGGCACCTGTGCCTGCAGGGCAGACAGGTGGGCTTGCTTGGCTGTGAAGGTGCCGTTGGTGGTGGGGATCACATGCTCGAAGACCTTGCTTGAGTCCGGGGCGGTGTAGATTGCTTGGAGGTTGGCCATCTTGAGAGAATTGTAGATTGTCTCTTGAATGAGAAATGAATGCGCACAGGTGGAGTTGAGAAGTTCTGTGGATCCGTACCGCCTTGCTTACCGCCCGTCCGCTCGCGGCTTCGTCTTCGCATCTCTGAACCTCGGGACTTGCCCAGGATCGTATGTCGTTGCATTTCTTGGTCCTTCCCTTGGCCAATCTCACTCAGTCAAATCCTTCATGCCGTGGAATCAATGAATGCAGCATACAAAGTATGTTCCCTCGGTGTTTCAGGCATATGGCGTAAGCGTGGAGTCACCATGCAGCCCTGGACACCACCAACGTCAACGGTCTAACAGAATAGCATCTTCAAGTATATTATATCGTCGGAACATGCTTCAGACATTGGCGAATCCCCATCCAAAGGCAGAGCTAAGCTATAGATCTCCATCTCCACTGTAGATCGATATTCTGCCAGGGTTATAGTTTAGTTAATCTCACCGTACACAGAAGGGATCGGCCAATGTGGCTTTTGTTTGTAGGCACAATACCACTGCCTAAACCCTGAAACACACCACCCGACATGGATTGTCCGTAATGAATCCAACAAGATCCCCAAACTCAGGGCGTCGGGTCCCTCCCACTTACCCTCGCCCACCCTCCGATGACGAGGAAGACGACTCCGATGAAGACGAATTGGTTCGCCCCGGATCCTCCGGCAGTGACGCCTCCTCCAATGTGACCACCGTCTCAGCGACTCCTCTGACGCCTCTCAATACTCAACTGCCTGGCAGTTACTTCCCTCCTCAGTCGCGTTCTGCGTCCGCGACTACCTCCCCTCCCGCCTTCCCAATGCCGAACACCAGAAGGCCATCTGGCCGCCCCTCTGTCGAGCTGTCTAGGCACCGATCGCGACACCATTCACAGGGGTTCTTTGAGCCTACTCTACCGACAGCATCTTCAGATCAGGTACCTACCGTGTCAGCGTCTCGGATAGCCGCCCAGACAGCCATGCAGCAGAAACGCCCTACACCAGAGGAACGCCCGCGAAGGAGTGGCAGTGCCTCCCCGCCGCTGATGCCAGCACCGTTACGACTGAATCAATCATCTTCCCCGCAACCGCCTCCGCCGAACGTGGCGACCACGGCTGCAAATGTAGTCTTTCCGAGACCGGGTGTGCAGCCCGAACCGCCCGAGAAACAAAAGAAAAAGAAGCTCTTCTCGAAGCCGAAACATATCGGTATCAGCCGAGATAAAGATTCAGGGAAGGACCGTGGCCTTCCTTCGCCCAGCAAGATCGTGGGGCTATCGCGCATGGTCAGTGCCTCAACTACCAATGTGGCTGATTTGCCCTCGAACAACTCATCCATGTACAACTTGTCCAATGCCTCGGTGAGCACGGTCGTTCCATCGGATCGTCAACCGGCATTAGAAAAGGACAAGGAGAAGGAGAAGGAGAAGGAAAAAGACCGACATAAGCACCATTTCCTATCGAGGCAGAAACTCAAACTCAAAGATCGAGTCGACGATCACTTCAATCTCCCGCTCTCATCAGCATCGAGCAACTCGCGGCCTGCGGATCCCAATGCCCCAAAGTCTTTGTATTCGTTTGTGAGCCCTGCGTCGCCTGCCCCGGGTGCTACGTTCGGGAAATCGGTCAGTGGGTTGGATATCCTACATGGTGGACGGGCCTTGCGCGAGAAGAAAAAAGAGGAAAAGGCTCTCGCAGAGTCCGAACAGTTGGATTGGATGTCTCACAATACCTCCGGGCCCACGACACCTTTCCCTGGACCACCTTCGGCTGGAAGTACGAACCCAGGGTCTGTTCCTGAATCGATTCTGAGGGAGACACTACAGGGCTTTGGGTTGAATAACATGACCCCCGAAGACGCGTGGGACTTCCTCAAAGCGAAGCTGCTGGTCATATTTGATGGCGAGGACGTTCGCATTGCTATCGAGGATCTGAACAAATTGGTACTTGTGCATTTGCAGCGTTGTGTGCAAAAAAGAGCACCCACGTCCATTATCATGGACCTGCAAGAGTTGTTGGAGGCTGGATTTGCGACACTCAACCACAGCTCCCTACTCGGCATTCCAGATGAGAAACTCGTCCCCCATTTGGTGCAGATCTGGTTGCTGGTCTTTGGCACTATTCTCCCCTTCATCCAGGCCGTCTTCCTTCCCCTTGATCTTGAATTCAAAGGCTGTGGCTCCATCATGACCAGCCGCGAGGCAGGTGAATTTTGGGGGGCTTTGCCCGCAGGTGGCACCCTCGATGTGCGGAACCTCGTCCTCATCTCTTTCCGTGACCGAATCATCCTCAACCGATACGACACGCTTAAGGCAACGTTCTCCCGCCTCAGCCTAGACTCTATTAACACGGGCTTCCCCACACTCAGCGTCACGGCCAAAAGCACCGGCGCAGGAGGCCGTCCCGGAACCGCAGCCTCCCTCGACGCAGGGTTTGGCAGCTACAACTCTCAATCTTCTATGTTTCCCAGCAACGTCGCAGATAGCTATTCTTCCGATGGTATCAGCGCCCTCGCCAATCGCCCTACAAGTAGTGACTCACGCAGTCGCGCAACCTCAAACACATCTTCAAACGCGGACGTCTTCTTCAGCTCAGTCGCCTCCCCTCAAGCCTCGAACGGTCGCCCAACTATCATCCATCGTGCTAACCCCGCTGACACGTCTCATGTCATCACTGAAACCGTTGGACGAATGCTCCAGTGCGTCAGCGTTCTCGCGAGCATCCAAACTGACGACGCACCCCAAGAACGAATCGAAGTTCTCAGCAAAGCTCTTAAACACAACTGGCTTGGCCGCGGCCGCACAGGTCGTGATCGCCGCGGTTTCGTGGGCGCCAAGATCCGCCCTGTGATGGTTGGCGGTCCCCCCGTCATTGACGACGCCGACTCTCTTACTACGGCTGGTATCAGCATCGGTGCTAGCACTAGCACGGGTGGCTCCAGGGGCCGTGGTGACTCTTCTTCCTCGGATTGGAGTTCTGGCTTACCGGGTCCTGGTATGAGTGTGAGGAGTGGACGAAGGGAGTTGAGTGCTCTTTAGCGTTTTATGACTGTATGACCTGGGGCGTTATGTTAAAGGATATCCTCAATGTTGTATACTGTGTTTTGTTCTTGAGCCTACTAGACCTCCACCAGGCTGTTCGATTATGTATACTGTGCTGGTTTTTGTTATTGCCTAGATTCAGTCCTATTTGAGTCCTAAGCTTTTTTTTCCCTGACCATACTTTCCACAAGTATCTCTCTTGATTTGGGGCTCCACAGATCTCAACCTCACCCAATCGAGTACTAGTAGTCTAAATTGCAGGTTATCAACCATCGCCTAATCCGATGGTATTTTGGTCAACTGGTAAGCAAACCATATTACATCATCGACCTGTTTGACAGGACCTCGTGACAGCAAACCGTATCTCAACCTCGCATTCTCTCACTTTATCACTCACTCCATGCTTTCGTGTCTCTACTTCTAGTCATAATTGAATTTACTTGAAGGTTTTTACTTTTCAGAAATCGTATTCTTGGGCCTCTGCCCCGGGTATCTCAACAAGAAATCAAACACGCCGCCAAGCGGCACCGACACTGGCAGCAGGCCGCAGCCTGCAATCTCACACCCCCGCCAACTTGCCAGGCTGGCGGGGGCACAACCGCCTATTTGCGGCCCATTCCCTTCCCCTTGCCGCGGTTGCCTGTCTGAGGCAAAGCCTCCAAGACAGCAACCCGCGCGGCACACTCCTCACCGGAAACCTTGAATTTCACATCCGCGGACACTGCCGCGGCCACCTTGTTCCATTCCTCAGTTGTCCACTGCGAGCCGTTATTGGCGACTGCTCGCTGAAGGGCAACTCAAAGCATGTTAGCTTTCTCTCGTGCTTATACCGCCGTCGCATATAAGGCAGTGATGCCCTAGCGACTGGGTGGTCGGTTGATAGAGACTTACATCAAATCCTTGCCATCGTCCAATACTCCCCTTGATCATTCCTGAGCGCCGGGATATCTCCATGACGGTCTTGTTGGATTGGGCTTCCTGGTTCCACGCCTCTGTGATCTCTGCCCATCCTTTGTCTGCATCTCTCATGTATGACGCACGTTTGTCTGCCACGCACGCACGCTCCCAAGACTTCGGGATTTTCATGTCCGGCGCAGCGATGGCTGGGGGCGCAGGCGAGGCGGAAACGGATCGGGAGGCTCTGGTAAAGCCGCGGGTTCGACCGAACGCTGGGTCCGAGTCCGGGAGACTTTCTGTGAACCGCACACGTTTTCTAGCGCGGGGGGGAGAAGGAGGTTCAGCGGATTTGATGGGAAAGAGTGGGGTTTGCTGGTATCTGTGAGCTTGTGTTCATCTTTCATTTGGAACTAATTCGCTTCTTACCGAGGTCGTGATCTGCTCATCATATTTTGCGATGGAGCTCGTGGTCTTTTCATCTTTCTTTACGATGAAAGCCGTGGTCTGCTCATGATCTTTTTCGATGGAGCTCGTGGTCTTCTCATCATCTGTTGCGATGGAGACTGTGGTCTGCGTGTATTCTCGTGCGGGTGGGGTATGTCCGCCGAAATATTCGTCAATCTCTTCCATGGTGACTGGGCGCATTGCCTCTTCTTCTGTGGTGCTCATGCACATTGAGGGGTCCAGACGTGACTCTGACATCTGCTCCAGGACTAGTCTTTCAGACAGCCGGAGAGTTTCCTTTTGGTCTTCGATCCAGGATTCTCGGGAGGTAGGTGCAGTCCAGTTGATGGCTCGCAGTTTCAGCTCTTCGCGGAACTGATCGTCCAGCATGGTAGAGGGAGGAAGTCCTGTGTCGAGGTATGCCTTGAATGGGGCGAGACGCTCTTCTGAACTGGTGAACAATGGAGGAGGTCTTTGAGGGATATTGAGTGGATATGACTGTGTTGGGAAAGCCCAATTGCCCATGACAAGAGGAGGAGTTAGGTTTGTTATCATGATCTCGTCTTCCGAGCCACTTGATTCATTCTGAGAGTCCTGGTCTGACTCTCGAGTTAGGGCTGGTGAATCTTGAACGGTCACAGACATGTTCTCTCCACTGCTAATTGAAGGGGCTTCGTGGTCACTCTCATCTAGTTCTTCGCTGCTAGAGGATTTGTGACTTGGAGGTGAGACGGATGAGACTGTGGATGGGGTGTCCCGACGTTGGGAGCGAATTGAACGTAAGTCGCGCTTTTGAGGCACGGTGTGAGGTGAGGCGGATGAGACTATGCGTGGGGTCTCGCGGCGTTGGGAGCGGGTCGAACGTGATGTACGTTTTTGGGGCATGGTGTGAGGTGAAGCGGATGGGACTTTGGATCGAGTGCCCCGACGCTGGGAGCGGCTTGAACGTGAGTTGCGTTTTGGAGACATGGTGTGAGGTAAAATTGATGGGAGCGAAAGTTCAAAGTGAGGGGATGAGAGAGTGGGAATGAGTGGAAACGACAGGAGGAATTGACTGCAGGGGAGCTTTGTTGACGTGGTGGAGGTGAGGATGAGAGTGACAGATGACAGAGAGGTGGTGGCTCCAGCTCCAGTGCTCAACAATTCAGTGTCAATGGAAGGTCCGCACACGAATGTCCGCACAAGATCAAGCGAAACTTTCCAGCAGAGATTGAGGAGTTCGACTCAGCGTCCCAACTCGACCTCTGCCGGCTAAGCTTCTGATCATGACGACTCATCCGCCCATGCCTCTTTCCTTCCATCGCCCACTTTCTTCTTCTCACAACCCACAGCCTATTCTTCGGTCTTCTCGCAGTTTGGGCTGATGGCCCCTTTCTCCCCCGTTTAAGAGGGTTGGGAAAAGTTGGCCGGGTTGAAAGGGTTGTTTGCCCAGTCCTCCTGCTCGGCCTTGAGGAAGTCCTTGTCGATCTTCCCATCTCGGTCCAGCTTGATGCGAGTCCGGGTCTCGCTGTCCGATCGAGTGCGAGTTGAATATCGCAACTCGCGCAGCGCGCGTTTGACGCTCGTGGATTGGTGGTAGGGGCCTTGGCTTTCTTTGTACTCGGCCACGGGCTCCGATGAGCGTGGCCTCAAGTACAGCCACGACTTCAGCGCTGAGCTGCGCAAGTTGCTGCTACGCTCAGGCTTCCGACCGAAAACAGAGCATGGAACATTCTCCTCCTCCCATGGAGGCAGTCGACCTAGCAGGTACTCGTTTCGAGCCCTGCGCCCGGGTTGGGTCCAGCAGGTGCCATCGCCCACATCTTCGGGGATCGTTTTCTTGATGTCCATGGCCGCTATCTTTCCCCAGCGGCTCACGGTTGCTGCGTTGCTCGCAGTCACGATCTGCTCTTGTCGAGAGGCCATTGTTTCTGCTTCTGGACTGAGACTTGTGGGGTGTGTGGTGCTCGGGGAAGGGGGTTGGGAGAACTCAAAGCGTTGGGGGTGCAGTCGTCGACGGCCTGAAATCGTCGGTGTGAATGAGGTCGTCGCCCAAAAAGAGCGTCCCGGGGCATAGCCCCGACGATGTCATCAACACCTCGCCGGCGACCCTCGGGGGAAACGCCCAGGCGGCGAGCCACGCTAGCCCTAACCGCCGATCATCCAGACCCGCTTCCCCATACTTCAGCACTCCACCCTGCTTGTCAATCGCTTTGGATCTATTGCAGCTTTCTGGGTATGGGGATTTCTGGATGAACTGGATGGTTTCCAGAGTCTTCGGCTGTAATTCATGGTGAGAGATCTATAACAGCATCTAGCATGATCATGGCTAATATTGTCTATCAGACAGTTGAAGATCTCTTAGATTATTCACAGTTTTAAAATGACTATTTAAATGAAATTCAATTCCTGCTTTACTTTCATATTACATGGTCAGAGAATCACTTTAGAGTGAACTAAACCAGCATTGTTAGATCACTGTAGCCACTAGGGAGCCTAGTTGAGTTCCGAATCAGCGAACTTCTCCATATGTATAGAAGCGGCTCAGTTCAGCTGCCTCTAGACGAATAAGAACTGTAGAGAAAGTAGAGACATTCCCAACAGTCTCAAATAATTAAAATTGGGTCTACATGCCAGCCCAAAAGGAAGCCGCATGATATCCCAAATGTGACTTATATGCCTAGAGACCTGCAGCATCTGCATAGAATAGACAAAAAAAGAAGGGGGAAAAAGAAAAACAGAAAGTACATGGCCAACACAGCTATGTGTCGTGGGAGCAAGTGATTGGTCTCAGCCCGGCTGCAGCCTGCGTCGTGATGGTTCGAACATAAAATGCGTCTCACCCACAGTGCTATTCTTTCTTCTCTTCACCTGTCTCGGATGTGAATCTTTGTTTCCTGCCCTATATCTTCCTATCTTTCCTTCTTTCTGATTCTCTCCTTTTCACTTCTACTCACTCCTTTTTCTCCACTGCATAGTGCCATGGCGGAACCGGAGCATGATCGGGTGCTACCTACATCTGAAAATTTGAATGGATCTATCCAGATCCCTACTGAGAAAGAAATCAAGGAGCGAGAGCCTGAGGTGAAAGATGGCAAGGAGAAGGAGAAGGACAAGGACGTGAAGGAGTCGGAGACTACGAAGCCCGTCTGCAAAAAGCACGAGAAGAAAAAGAAGAAGGCCACCAAGAGAGAGGAGTCTGAAACGTCGGGGACTGACTCGTCCTCCAACTCCGACAGTGACGCTGACTCCGAGTCGAATTCGGACAGCGAGTCGAGCACCGACAAGCGCAGACGTCATCGCCTGCGCGCCAAAACACGGGCTCGCCGTACACTCAAAGACAAGAAGCGTCGCAAGAAGAAATCCCGGTCGCGCAAGGTCGACACTTCCGACTCGGAGTCGGACTCGGAATCTGAGTCTGACACTGACACTTCGGTGGAATCGGATGAATCTCTGGACGAAAAGGCACTGAGGAAATTGGTCACCAAGTTGAAGCTCAAGAAGCGAGCGAAGAAGCTCCGGGACCAGACTTCCGATGACTTGACTCCTAGTGATCCACTGGGAGATGGTCGTCAGAAGCGCTCGAAGAAGAAGAAGCCCGCTTCCAAGGTCGCCTACAAGCGAGTCGATCAACGTGAGTGATGAATCCTAGAGATGCTTCTCATTGGCTAACCTCTGTCTTAGTATGGGATACAACGATCCACAAATACAAGCTGACTGAAACGGTCGACGACCCGGATGCTGACGAATGGGACCAATACATCTTCAACGTCCGTCGCAAGTTCAACTGGGAAAACAAATATCTCGAAACGGTCGTCGACATCAAAAGCAAACACCTCCGCGATGCCCTCTCCAAAATTATGGACGGCGTCAAAGGTGTGAGTCTCGTCCAAGAGCCTGCCGTCGTGGATCCAAACATGCTCTTCCTCTACCTCGAGGAGACCCGGCAATACATGAAAGATCTGAAGAAGCAGTCCCGCAACGCGAAGAAGCGCAAAACCCGCAAGACAGCCGCTGCAAAGGCTGCCCATCTGAAGGTTCTGATCAAGTACCTCGACACAGACTATGCGGATATCAAGAAAACGCTTTACCCTCTCCTCGAAGCTAACACCATTACTTTCGATCTTCTTTGGGCCCTTTTCAAGCCCAACACCATCGCTTACACCCCGACTTACGGCAACGCCGATGAGCCGCGCGCTTTCAAGATCGAGTATGCCGTCAAGGAATCTTCCTTCATGAAGGGTCAATGGTATAGCGTCGAAGGTCGCTATTTGGAGTACGATGGCAAGGACTTCGGTTTCGGCAGTATGTCTGCCGAAGTTGAATCTTTCAAGGGCGCTCGCAAGATCACCTCACTTGCCTGTTATCCCCTCAAATACCATCGTGATGCAGATGCCTTGCGTGCCAGGCTGATCGAGCGTGGTAAGCGATTTGTTGCCCTGCGTGGCATGAACTACCGCTTCCACAAAGGCATGGCGTTCTACAAGAAAAAGCGATCTTTCATCATCAAGGTCAATATCAATGGTCGTGTCATGATCGATCCAGCTATTCACCGACGAATCAATCCCAATTACATCATTTCGACCGTTCGTCCGAAGGACCCCGATCTTTTGGATTCGGACGACCTGGGCCTGAGCGACAACGACGATGACAGTGAGGGTTGCTGCTGTGGTGGCTCTGACTCAGAGGACGAGCATGCTGGAGCTTCGGATACCCCGCGAACCGTTTACAAGGTCGTTGAGGATGCAGAGGGCTTGCCTCGCGTTGTCGAAGTGGAGGTTGATGAGAACGGCAACGAAATCCAAAAGGAGAAGATTGATCGCATTGGTGACGGGACCAAGGAGCGCGAGTTCACGGAAGAAGAGCTCCTCGTTGCCAGCCCTGTGGTCCTTGGCTTTGCTTTCAGTGAGAAGCTCTGGTTGGAGTTCACCATCTCCGGTATCAGTGATATCGAATGGGACCAGGACGCCTTTGGATCTCTCGTTCTGCCTACGAATCAGAAATCTATCGTCAAGGCTCTTGTCGAATCCCATACCTTCCATGCCGCGGAGAACATCGACGATGTCATCCAGGGCAAGGGTAAAGGTCTGGTTGCTGTTCTGCATGGCCCTCCCGGAACAGGAAAGACACTCACTGCAGAAGGCATTGCGGAGCTTCTCCGCCGCCCTCTGTACATGGTCAGCGCAGGCGAGCTGGGCACTGATTCAAGAACACTTGAAGCCGAGCTGAACAAAATCTTGGATATCGCTCACTCCTGGGGTGCGGTTCTGCTTCTCGATGAAGCAGATGTCTTCCTTGAGAAACGTACTATCCATGACATCCATCGCAATGCCCTGGTCAGCATCTTCCTGAGACTTCTCGAGTACTTCCAGGGTATTCTCTTCCTCACGACGAATCGCGTCGAGACATTTGATGATGCCTTCCAATCACGTATCCACGTTGCCTTGCGGTACGGCGATCTGACCACCAAGGCAAAGAGAAGTATTTGGAAGATGTTCTTGGAACGCGTTCGTGCTATTGAGGGCGTGCGCACTGCTACATTCTCTGAGGCTGATTACGATATGCTTTCGCGGCATACTTTGAACGGTCGACAGGTTCGTCTACGTCCCCATCAATATATACATCGTGTCCGGCTAACCAGTCTCAGATCAAAAATTCTGTTCGTACCGCTCAAGCTCTGGCTGTCAACGAGAAGTCTCCTTTGGCGATGGAGCACATCAAGCGGGTGCTTGAAGTGGCCGAAACCTTTGACCAAGATCTTCGTGGTGGAACAGGATACCTGGATGCTATGCGGAGCTACACTTGATTTCTTTGGCGCTTTTCCTGAATTTGGGGCTTTCGGAGACTGGTGCAAGGGATTTAGGATCGACTTTTACTAGTTTTTTTGTTTGGCTTACTTGCTTTTACTGTTTTCCCCCGGCTCGGTGCTTTACTTGGGTGTCGACTCGGGACCATACGATGAGCCGGTAGCGCAATGCATACTGGAGAATAATGAGAAAAATACACGAGAAAGTTTTATCAATAGACCGAGTGTAGATTAAAGTATCGATCTTTTAGCGAACAATTCACACGCTTTCATTCAAAAGGGCATGAGATATGGTTGTTGTACATGGAACATTTTAAGGGTTGGCCTTAACGAAGTCAACACCCTTCTGGATGTTCTTCTTAAGGTCAGCCAGGCAGGCATCGAGAAGACCCTGCTCGTACTCGTTGACCTGGCCAACGGGGTGGATCTGCTCAACACCGTTGGGGCCGAGCTCGACCTTGGAGGCGAAGAAGTCGATACCCTGGTCCTTGTAGAGGGGAGAGTCAACGAAGGTGGGCTCGATGACACCCTTCTCGCCCTGGGCGGCGCGGAGGAGGGACTCAGCGAAGCGAGCACCGGCCATGGCCATGGAGAGGGTGGCGGAACCGGCACCGTCCTTGGCCTTCACGACCTCATCACCACCGAACTGGATGCGGTTGACGAGGGCATCGCGGGCCTCACCGGCGATGGAGGAGTGGTTGGACTGCGAGAGCAGGGGAACGATGGTGACACCGGAGTGACCACCGACGACGGGGACGGCCTCGCCGGAGGGGTTGGTGCCCTGGACCTCGGAGATGAAGCGGGAGGCACGGACAACGTCAAGGGTGGTGACACCGAACAGACGCTTGGGGTCGTAGACGTTGCGGGCCTTGTAGACCTCGGAAACGATGGGGACGGTGGAGTTGACCTAAACAGTGAGCGAGGGTTTCGAATCTCGGACCCTGGTGCTACTTACGGGGTTGGCAATGACCAGAACGTGGGCCTTGGGGGCGGCCTCGGCGGCGGCCTTGGCGAGGTCGCGAACGATGGAGGCGTTGGTGTTGAAGAGGTCATCACGGGTCATACCGGGCTTGCGGGGAACACCAGCGGGGATGAGGATGATCTCGGAGCCCTCAAGGCAGTCACGGAGACCGGAGGCATCGGGGTTGTAACCCTTGACGACGCTGTGGGTGTTGATGTGGCTGAGATCAGCGGCAACACCTACAACGCGTTAGCTATCATTGAGCTGTGTAACCAATTGCAGTCAGACTTACCGGGTCCACCACGGATATCGTAGAGAGCGAGGTTGGAGACACGGGGGTTGAGCTTCAGCAGCAGGGAGAGAGGCTGGCCAATACCACCGGCAGCACCGAGAACGGCGACCTTGGAGGCCTGCGCGAGAGTGAGCTAGAGGTTCAAGAGGACAGGTCTGAGATACGCACATTGCTAGCGGAGGCCGAGAAGGCGCGCTTCTGGAAAAGGTTGACAGAACGACGAGCAGCAAACATGATGATGGTCTTGAGTGATGTGGAAGAAGAAGAGAAGGGGAAGGGGAGAGAAGGGAAAGAGATTGGCTGGGGGCTCCACAACAGTTTCCGAGCTCCCGATGCTCGGCTGCTCACTGCTGCTTTAGGTACCTGGGTACTTGCTCTTCGCCACTATTTTACTGTTTTCATGAGTTTTTCACATTGGAACTGCTAGGGAAGACTTTACACTATCACCTTCTCTGCAATTGACCATTTGTATGGCTCAAATATAGCTCCCAACGTCTCGGGGAGGAGAGATGTCGACTGTTCCCTTCGTCCTAATAGGTATACCGGTACTTATGCATGTGCATTCGCAATATTTTCCTGCATTGGGGTACTCCGAACAGACGCAGGGGGGCTTTTTATCTGATTCAAGATCATCGGGCAATGAATGGGTGAGTGTATGAAACGTCGGATTCTATACTGCCTCCAATTTGTACCTACAGCATATGCTCCCGAAGTCGGCATACTAGTACTAGGTACATATATATTCCATTTCAATAGCCTCTACAACCCTTGGAAGAACCTGTGGATAGACCGGATGAACATGAGTGTACGAATCATACCCAGCATAGTAAGCTAGGCACTTCGTTATTGTCACTAATTCATCAATTGGAAAGACCAAACGCCAGCGCTGATGAACTAAAGATACAACCTGAACTTGACCATCTCTCGCAAGCATCCATGGACTACCGTAAGAAATGCAGCACAGCCCAGCAGAACAGGAAGAAAACAATCACCCCAACCCAGAAAATCCACTTATCTTGCCGAGCGCGCCGCTCGACCATCCGGATCGTGTCTCCGCTCACACCGAGCGTATTGGCGACACTATACAATCGTCGCTGAGTGCCCTTCAGTATCTCCCGTTGCTCGCCAAGGTCAGCCAACACGGCCCGACCTCGGTCCAAGAAGTCATCTAGTTGGGTGTTTGTGTTCGAGAAGAAGGATTGCTCGCGCAGAGCGTGGTTTTCGCGATTGTAGTCTGAGGGACCGGCGCCGAAGCTTAAGCCCGAGGATGTCGGTGCGAAGGCTGAGTTCTGGGGGAGGGAGGACTGTGCGTAGGGGTTCTCGGGGGTTGCGGCGTGGTGTGGACGTCGGCCAAGGAGCTCGTTGCGGTTGGTCACCGATTGCTGGCCGAGTTAGCATAGTACGACATTGAGGCGAGGAGACCATACTGCATCTTCACGCTCCTTGCGGAGTCGGTCGAACAGCGTGCGATAGTCCGCAAGCTCGGCACGAAAGTTCTTGATCCGGTCAAAGGCCTTTTGTTGTTTGTCGACGATCAATTCTTTCTTGGAAAGGGCCGAGTAGTCATCGACTGTGCGGGAAAGTGATGCCAAGGAGGCAGCAAGCTGACCTGGATTTGGTGTGAGTGGGCTGACTGGTAGATAATTCGTTCAGGAGCGTACCTTGTAACGCGGGCGAGGTGGTGGCGGGGGACTGTGAGAAGGTATCCAGATCTCGACGGATCGATGATGACTGCTTGAGAGCAGAATTGAACAGGGAGTTCTGGGGATGTTAGTGTCGTCAACGCATCACGGAGAGCTGCAGCATACCATTATGTCAATGCGGCGATTGGCCGTATAGATGGAGGGCGCAAGAATCTTATAACTCTGGCTGCAAGAAGGAGAAACCTTGGCAATATAAGATGACAAGAGCGCCAGGCTTCAATCCAAATGGTCGATTTTCCGAACACTGGTTGATCGTCAATTGGGCCTCTGGTACGAGGCCAGATGGTCTTGTTTGGGCCCATTCTGACGTCGTTGACCGCCTTCAGGTACGCCGCGTATACATATACAAGCCGCCAAGAGATTCCATGAGCGCTATTCTTATGGCGTACAAGCATATTCAATCTACGGAGTACAATATTTGGGATCCGAGAAAAACCACTGACGATTTAATCTGCGTATACGAGGAGCGCCTTTAGGTGATCGAAAGTGATATCGTCGTTAGAGAACTAGTTTGATCCAGTTGATCCAGTTGGACTCCACTTTCGCCCGATAACATGCAAAACCTCAGAAGAGCTGGGATGGTATATTAAGAAAGCAATTAAGTTAAAGAAGAGACGGAACGCCATCTATTTGGGAGGGAACTTGTTTTGCAAGAACCACCTGCATGCGGGTTAGTATTGACGTTGCATACCCGCGTGGATCCCACTATGACTTACTTGCTCACGAAGTAGTCCACAGCACCGAAGACACCAACAGCACCGGCGGAAAGACCAACCAGCTCCCAAGAGAGGTTGCCGCGAGCGTGTTGCTTGTAAGCACCGAAGCCCAGACCGGCGCCAACGATGGTTGCGATAGCGGCGTTGGCAAGGAAGACAGGGTTGGAGGTGTTGCTGCTGATACCGCTGGCCTTGGCCTTGCGGGCATTGGCCTTCTTCTCGGACTCTTCGCGCTTGCGCTTCTCCTTCTCCTCGGCCTCGCGCTCCAACCGCTCGGCTTGAGTGCTGGTTTGCACATCCTGCTCGAGGAAGTCGGCTTCGACAGTCTGGATGTGGGGTCCGTCAACGTCGATTAGAGAAGCAGTGCTCTCTGATTCATCATGGTAGACTCCACCAACAGGGGGAGCGCGGCTGTTCGCATGTTAGTTCCGGGCTGGGGTGTCTAGTAGAGGGTACTAACGCCTGTCACATGTTAGCATTGCGCAAATACACCTTGGAATCTGGACAAGGAGCTCTGGTACTTACATCTTCGGGGGCCTGCTTAGGGCCAGAGGCGGCAGCGTCAGCGTAAGACATGATTAAAGTGTTAATGTGGGAGATTCTCGTGGACACGGGAAGGGGAAAAGCCGGGAGGAGGTCACTTTTATACCAAGGCAGCTGCATGACATCACGTCATTGATCTGGGCCCACTTGACTTCCCCGTGGACAATTTGCCCTACTCCCGACACTGCGTATACGTCTACTTTGTTTGGACTTGACCTCTATATGAATCTTGCTCTTGCACTACTTCTATCTTCACTTGGTCTGGCCTGACAGCATGGGACAGTGTACACTTCTTCAGTTCTGATCCTTCCTACCCGCCTCAGCCACCTACGTGATTCGGGGTTCCAATACGGAGTACTTTTAGCTTAGCTCGCAGTTTAATTCCAGAATTGAAGTCGAGAGAAATTCGATTGAAGCTGCTAAAGAGATCACAAACAAAAAGGACCTATGTAATGGTCTATTGGGGGCAAGGTGTTTTAATACAGATTACAGATAAGTTGAGTCTTGGCCTTACAGAAGAAGGTCCAGAGGGTTCTCAACGACCTTCTTCAGCTCCTTGATCCATTCACCACCAACGGCGCCATCGACAACCTTGTGGTCGAAGGATCCGGTGACAATGATCTGGTCATCCCACTCGGTGACGGTGCCCTCCTCGGTCTCGACGGGGATAGCGACCTTGCGGGTGGTACCGACGGCCAGGATACCGGCCTGTGGGGGGTTGATGACAGCGGTGAAGCGCTCGACGGCGGCGTTCATGCCCATGTTGGAGATGGTGAAAGTGCCGCCCTGGTACTCCTCGGGCTTGAGCTTGTTGTCACGGGCACGCTTGCCAAGATCCTTGACCTGGCTGGAGATGCTGGAGAGACCGAGACCCTGGACGTTCTTGACGACGGGGGTGATCAGACCAGTGGGGGTGGAGACGGCAACGCTGATGTCAACGGTGTTGTGCTGGCGGATGACGGCCTGGCCGTTCTCCTCGCGCCAGCTGGAGTTGACCTGGGGCACCTTGAGAAGGGCAACACCGCAGGCCTTGACCAGGAAGTCGTTGACGGAGAGCTTGTACTTGCCCTCGGAGGAGGCGTTCAGGGCCTGGCGGAGCTTCAGAAGCTTGGTGACCGAGAGGGTGGTGGACACGAAGTAGTGGGGGTTCTCGGCCATGGACTGCTTAAGGCGGTTGGCAATGGTCTTGCGCATGGAGCTGACGGGGAGATCCTCGTAGCTGGCGCCAGCGGCGGCGGTGGCGGCGGGAGCGGCCTGGGCCTTCTCAACGTCCTCCTTGGTGATGACACCACCACGGCCGGTACCCTTCAGGCCCTTGATGGACACACCCTTCTCGAGGGCCAGGGCCTTGGCGGCGGCGTTGATGGAGGGCTCACGGTCGAGACTGGGCTGGAGCTTCTCGTCGGAGTTCTCGGGCTCCACAGCGGCGGGCGCCTCCGCAGCAGGGGCGGGAGCAGCGGGCTCGGCGCTCTTGGGGGCTTCCTGCTCAGCGGGGGCGGCCTTGTCACCACCAGCATCGGCCAGGGTGAAGGCCTCGAAGGCGGCAACATCGGCACCCTCCTCAACGAGGACGGCAATGGGCTAGAGAACGAATGGTCAGACCAATGTCCTCGGGGAGAACCGGGAAAATTCTTACCGAACCAACAGCGACATCCTTCTCGCCGCTGTCCTTGAGGACCTTGGCGAGGACACCCTCATCCTGGAATTCGAAGTCCATCTGCGCCTTATCGGTCTCGATCTCAACCAAAACATCACCGGGCTGGAGGCCGTCTCCAGCCTTCTTCTGCCACACACCAATGTTTCCCGCAGTCATTGTCGGCGAAAGAGCCGGCATGCTAATGAGTGTGTGAGGGGGGAATGCTATACATCGTGTTAGAATTCATGCGCGAGGCAAAGGGAGAGGACAATTGCCGTACACTTGGAGGCGTAGAAGCGGGAAAGAGCGGAGAGCGCAGGCGCTTGGGTCCTGCTCGCGGAATCTCATTAGCATCAACCCATCTGCGGAATTGACTGAGCAGAACATACTGCATAACTTCCTGGAGCTTGGAAGAGACCTGGGGACGGCGCATAGTCGCCGCGCCGCGGGACATGAACATGGCGCTCGGGGTGCGCATCCGGATAGCTGACGCAACCATGGTGTCTGAGACTATGCTGCGATGATAAAAAAATTGAGAGATAAGGGCCCTCAACGCTGAGATGAATAAATAAAAGGAACCCGGAACGCGGAGTACGTAAAGGGCCGAGAAAGGATGCGGTTGGGGTGGAAGGAGATGCCTCCAAATCACGAACTTTTCTGTTGAGCCCGTTGCTCACCGGCCTTACCGCCTAGTCGCCTTGCTAAGACAAATCTTACACCGCCGTTACCGCTCTATACAGCGTACCGAGAGGAATTGAAGCTTTGCGTGAAAGGCGGGGGCAGATTGGCAGAAAGCAAAATTTGACCCGGTTGGTGATAATTAGGATGGCTTTGAAAAGTTCCAAGCATATTGAGTTCATGCGACACATGATTTTCTAACAACTAGTAGCTCCAAAATTGGACCTTCAAGAAACGGGGTAGTTCTCCTAACACGGTGTCTGTAACTGTAATTCCGGTATAATTGTTTTCTGCCGGTCAAACCCCGAGCTCAGAATACTCAGGCACCAAGGCGGCAATTCAAGGCACTTGGCCATCGTGTCACGGACTGCAATCCTCCACTACTACTCCGTACTCCGCCGCATCGATCCCGGAGCTGGCCGCTCGTATCGGAGACCGGATAACAAGTATAGATCTCATAAGGTTGAAGGTCAATCTTCTTGGAATCACATCCAACAAGCTTTGGCTTGGAAGGGTGATCAGGCTCATCTTAAGCTACTCTTTATCAAGCCCGCCAACAGGTCCCTCTGCGGACTTCAAAATGTCCGGCCTCGGGTTTACTTCGAGTAATTTCATTACCCCCTACCCGTGCTCAGGCGAGCAACCAGCGGGTGGAGGCTCTTACACCTGGACAGAACCATAATTACTTCGCCCAGCATGATCACAATGGGCTCCACAGTGGTAACGCACCAGATAGCGATGCAGGGACGTATCACCAGTTGATATAATTCGAGCGAGAAGTCATCGAGCCCTGGAGGACCCCTTCAAAAGCTGAGGCCTAACATCCTGGAGCATTTCGCTAATACCTTACTTTTCAGCATATATGCACCTTCGGGCAAAGCCGCACATGATTGTCAACAAGATCTATGTATATGCATAGTCGTAGGCCCGTGTAAGCGAGGTTGTCAAACACGAGTACTGTACTTAGTCTTCTCCAGACTCCTTTACATAGTTGGGACTGGATGCTGATTGGTTCCCACTGGGGCTGTTCCAAGACTCACGTAATCACGATCACATGACAGCCGTGGATGCTGCGGGAACTGTATGGGGACACGTTGAAGCCGCGATACTGAGCATAACTTCTTCATTTTCTCGTTCAATGTTTTTGATCTGATTGCATTGCTCCGCCCGGAGTCACATTGACCATGGCGGATGTTGAACCAGGCCCCGAGCCGAAACAATCCATTGAAATGCCTGAGAAGCCCGTGGAGACCCCCGAGGTACCTCCAGCAGCTCTAGAGTCCGACGAGCCCGCACTGCCCGAGCAGACCGAATCGCAAGACCCAACAATCGAGGAGAGCGCGGAATTGCCGCAGGAGGAAGAAGCAGACGAAAAACCAGATGTACCACCCAAGGATGATCTGGAAGCCGAGCAGGAATCCCAAATACCTAGTCCTCCCACGATTCAGGAACCACCCGCCGAGGATGCCAATGTCGCTGACAGTAGACTGAGGTCCGACTCGCGATCCACTACGGCGACTTTCATGACGCAGCGGTCCGGTCCAGTCAGCTCAACGGTCTTTATTGTGACGGCTTTGGACAATATTGCTGCCTCCCGGGATGCTCGGAGGGATAAGAAGCTCGAGGATGCCACACAGGTGGCCCTAGCCAACATCAAACAAACCGATGGACAGCCAATCGACCCCGAGCTTATCTTCCGTCCCTTGCATCTAGCAAGCAAAACACTGAGCATCCCATTGCAGGTGACAGCGTTGGATTGCATTGGAAAGTTGATCACATACTCCTATTTCGCGTTCCCGTCCGCCGAGACTGAGAACGAGGCCACACCCGAACAACCTCCATTGATTGAACGCGCTATCGATGCAATCTGCGATTGCTTTGAAAATGAAGCTACGGCGGTCGAAATTCAGCAGCAAATCATCAAATCCTTGCTAGCGGCGGTTCTGAACGACAAAATTGTTGTGCATGGAGCTGGTCTCCTCAAGGCTGTCCGTCAAATATACAACATCTTCATCTACTCCAAATCCAGCCAGAATCAGCAGATTGCTCAGGGGTCGCTCACGCAAATGGTCAGCACGGTCTTTGAGCGAGTGCGGGCACGCTTAGATCTCAAGGAAATCCGGCTGCGGACGGCAGACAAGCCATCCTCGACACTCGATGCCTCGGCCAGTGATGTTGGTCAAGCTTCGGACGCGGCTTCCGTGTCTGGTGTTGACCAGCCCGACCAGCCCGATCAACCTGTGACCAAGGACCCCAATGCTGAAAAGCTCACCCTACAGAGCTTTGAATCTCCCAAAGAAGTCACTGTCAATGACAATGCGCCGACTACAGTTACCCGCGCTAAGCGATCAGCGACGAGGTCGATGTCCGGCATTCCTGAGGAGAGAGATGACGATAGCTTGGCTGAAGATGATGTCGATGAAGTATATGTCAAGGATGCTTTCTTGGTATTCCGAGCATTGTGCAAATTGAGCCACAGGGTCTTGACCCACGAGCAGCAGCAAGATGTGAAGTCTCAGAACATGAGGTCCAAGCTCTTAGCCCTGCATTTGATTCACTACCTCATCAACAACAACACTACAACAATCATCTCGCCTTTGGCCACTATCAAGGTTAGCTCCAACAGCCCGGAACGCATGACACTGCTCCTTGCTGTAAGACCTCATCTGTGCCTCAGTCTCAGCCGCAATGGCTCCAGCGCTGTACCTCACGTGTTCAAGGTTTGCTGTGAAATCTTTTGGCTGATGCTGAAGGACATGCGTGTCACGGTGAAAAAAGAACTTGAGGTGTTCATGAAAGAAATCTACCTCACAATTCTCGAAAAGCGCGGTGCACCTGCGTTCCAGAAACAATACTTCATGGAAGTGTTGGAAAGGCTGGGTGGTGATCCACGCGCTTTAGTTGAAATCTATCTAAATTACGACTGTGACAGAACGGCATTGGAGAATATCTTCCAGAAGTATGTATTTCAACCCCTCGGCTCTCTGCTCAAGCTAATTCCAGTAGTCTCATTGAGCAGTTGTCTCGGTATGCTAGTGTGCCGGTGGTTACATCTTCCTCCCAGCAGTACCAGTATCAAGAACAGCATGTCAAGATGACAAGCGTTGGCTCTGAATGGCACCAGCGAGGCACACTCCCTCCCTCCCTTACTAGTGCTCATATTGTACCGACTCCGCCGCCCGCGATGCCTCAAATTCCATCCGAGTATGGGCTCAAGCAGCAGGGGTTGGAGTGTCTTGTTGAGATGTTGCGTTCACTCGACAACTGGGCTGCACAGCGCACAGATGAACAGCCCGTGGTACCCATGCCATCAAAGTCAATGGATAACTCTCGCGATTCCTTGGACACAAACGTGCTTGTCTCTCCACACCCGGAGGCCCTGGATAGCGGAGCAGGTCGTTCTACCCCTCTGCCCGAAGATGACCCTAATCAGATTGAGAAGGTCAAGCAGAGAAAGATCGCACTCACAAATTCGATCGAACAATTCAACTGGAAACCCAAACGTGGAATCAAAGCCCTGCTGAAGGAAGGATTTATTCGTTCAGAAGCACCTGAGGACATCGCTAGCTTCATGCTCCGCACTGACCACATCGATAAAGCCACCCTTGGAGAGTACCTCGGTGAGGGAGACGCGGAAAACATCGCAATCATGCACGCTTTTGTTGATTTGATGGAGTTTACAAAACGTCGCTTCGTTGATTCTCTGCGCTCATTCTTGCAGCATTTCCGTCTTCCTGGCGAAGCGCAAAAGATTGATCGATTCATGCTGAAGTTCGCCGAACGTTACACCACCCAGAATCCGAATGCATTTGCTAATGCTGACACCGCATATGTGCTTGCGTACTCTGTCATCTTGCTGAACACGGATCAGCATAGCTCAAAGATGAAGGGTCGCCGTATGACCAAAGAAGACTTCATCAAGAACAATCGTGGAATCAACGACAACCAGGATCTACCAGCAGACTACCTGGGAGCAATTTATGAAGAGATTGGGAGCAACGAGATCGTGCTGGACACTGAGCAGGAACATGCTGCCAACCTTGCCACTCAGCCTGCAGCCCCGACTGGCCTTGCTACAAGGGCCGGACAGGTCTTCGCTACTGTTGGACGGGATATCCAAGGCGAGAAGTATGCGCAAGCTTCAGAAGAAATGGCAAACAAGACAGAACAACTTTACCGCTCCCTTATTCGGGCTCAGCGCAAGACGGCTGTAAAGGATGCTCTCTCCCGTTTCATTCCTGCCACATCGAACCAGCATGTTGGCTCCATGTTTAATGTTACATGGATGTCCTTCCTGTCTGGCTTGTCTGCCCCCATGCAAGACACATCAAACCTTCAGACAATCCGTCTTTGCATGGAGGGACTGAAACTGTCGATACGCATCAGCTGTGCTTTTGATCTTGAGACTCCCCGTGTGGCATTTGTTACTGCGCTGGCAAAATTCACTAACCTCGGGAACGTGAGAGAGATGATGCCCAAGAACTTTGAGGCGCTCAAGGCCTTGCTTGACGTTGCTCTTACGGAGGGAAATCGCCTCCACGGCTCGTGGCGGGATATTCTCACATGCGTCAGCCAGCTTGACAGACTCCAGCTCCTCAGCGATGGCGTTGATGAAGGATCACTGCCTGATGTTTCGAGGGTGCCATCATCGGCGGATGCGCCCCGTAGATCCATGCAAAGTACCCGGCGCGCTCGCCCTCGTTCCATCAACGGACCAACGGCTTTCCGCCCAGAGATTGCCATGGAAAGTCGCTCGGCGGACATCATTCGGAGCGTGGATTGGATCTTTACCAATACTGCTAACTTGTCACATGAAGCAATCATCGACTTTGTTCGGGCATTGAGTGAAGTTAGCTGGCAGGAGATCCAATCTTCTGGTCACACCGATTCACCCCGCACATTCAGTCTGCAGAAGCTAGTAGAAATCAGTTACTACAACATGACCCGTGTCAGAATTGAGTGGTCAAAGATCTGGGATGTTTTGGGTTCACATTTCAACCAAGTCGGCTGTCATCACAACACAACTGTTGTATTCTTTGCCTTGGATTCGCTCCGTCAGCTTTCAATGCGTTTCATGGAGATTGAGGAGTTGCCCGGTTTCCAATTCCAGAAGGATTTCCTTAAGCCTTTCGAGCACGTCATGGCGAACAGTACCACTGCTGCCGTCAAGGACATGATTCTGCGATGCTTGATTCAGATGATCCAAGCTCGTGGTGACAATATTCGCTCGGGCTGGAAAACAATGTTTGGTGTCTTCACAGTTGCAGCACGTGAACCTTATGGTAAGTCGTACTTGTCTGTTCTGATATTTACTGGATGCTAACCTAGAAACAGAGGCGATTGTCAACATGTCATTTGATCATGTCACCCAAGTCTACAACACCAGATTTGGCGTGGTGATTACTCAAGGCGCCTTCGCCGATCTCATTGTTTGTCTCACAGAATTCTCGAAGAATTCCAAATTCCAGAAGAAATCTCTGCAGGCAATTGAAACATTAAAATCGACAGTCCTCAAAATGTTGCGGACCCCCGAGTGCCCACTGTCCCACCGGGGTGCTGCTTCGGCTGCTACATTCCAGGACAACGGAACTAACCTGGCCAAGCAGCTTACTCGTCAATCCAAGGAGGAGCAATTCTGGTACCCCATTCTCATTGCTTTCCAGGATGTACTCATGACTGGTGATGATCTCGAGGTCCGCTCACGAGCACTCACATACCTGTTTGATACGCTGGTCCGCCACGGTGGTGATTTCCCAAGAGACTTCTGGGATGTCCTCTGGAGACAGCTGCTATATCCAATCTTCGTTGTCCTGCAGTCCAAGTCTGAAATGTCCAAGGTACCAAATCACGAAGACTTGTCGGTATGGCTATCCACGACGATGATTCAGGCACTCAGGAACATGATCACTCTGTTCACACACTACTTTGATGCCCTGGAGTACATGTTGAGTCGCTTCTTGGAGCTTCTTACATTGTGCATTTGTCAAGAAAATGACACAATCGCACGCATTGGTAGCAACTGCCTGCAGCAGCTGATTTTGCAAAATGTCTCCAAATTCAAACAGGAGCACTGGTCCCAGATTGTTGGTGCTTTTGTGGAGCTGTTCAGCAAGACAACCGCTTATGAACTCTTCACGGCTGCTGTGTCAATGTCTAAACCAGCTGAAGTGATCAACGGCGACCTAACGGCGGCCCCTGACTCTACAGTGGCGTCAGGTGATTTGCCGGATGCGTTGCAGGCGAACGCGTCACAAAGTACAGCCTCTTTCCAAGATAACGGGGATCCCCCTGTGCAAAGTCCGGCTCGTGCTGAGCTGGAAGACTACCGTCCCCAGTCAGACCAGCAACAGCCTGCCGCTGTCACTGCGGCTCGTCGTCGGTACTTTAATCGCATCATCACCAATTGCGTTCTCCAACTTTTGATGATTGAGACTGTGCACGAACTTTTCTCAAATGAGAATGTTTATGCTCAAATCCCTAGCATGGAGCTTCTGCGACTCATGAGCTTGCTGAAGAAGAGCTACCAGTTCGCAAAGAAGTTCAACGAGGACAAGGACCTGCGTATGCAGCTCTGGCGCCAGGGTTTCATGAAGCAGCCGCCCAATCTGCTAAAGCAAGAAAGCGGGAGTGCCTCTACTTACGTTCACATTCTCTTCCGCATGTACCATGACCAGCGAGAGGAGCGACAAAGCAGTCGTGACGAGACTGAAGCTGCCCTCATTCCGTAAGTTTTCTCTTTAGGGCTGCTTTTTGGTTCAATGCTAACTCCGCCAGACTCTGCGCCGACATCATTCGCAGCTTCGTCCGCCTTGAAGAAGACACTCAGCATCGCAATATTGTCGCCTGGCGCCCGGTCGTCGCTGATGTCATCGATGGCTACACCAATTTCCCGCAAGATGGCTTCGATAAACACATTGAGACATTCTATTCTCTCGGAGTGGAATTATTGAGCCGCGATCTCAACCCGGAGATCCGCGTTGCTCTCCAGTCCCTCCTGCGCCGTATCGGCGAAGTCCGACTGGGAATCGCCCCGCTGAACCCCCTGGACGCCCCGATTAGCCCACGCAGCTCCGTCTCCCAGAAGGCTTCGCGCCGCGATAGCCAGGTCTGACTTTTTGCTTGAATGCTGGATATCCTCGCCATTGATTTTAGGCGTTCTATAACCCGGTGCTTTCGGGTCTGTTTTACAAACAATTTCTTTCTCTTCCCCTTATTTGACCTAGATGCATACTGTATTGATAAGATAAAATATTCCGTGATTCATTATTGTGACTGGACCTCTTGTAACGTAGGCACTTTGCCTGATTCGTAGAATGACAGAACACTATCCATGTCCTTCTCGGTCATCGAGACGAGTTCTTCCAAGCTCCATTGTTCGCAGACGCCGGACATCCTGTGACCGTTAGTCAAGACTGTAGTTGGAGATGTCTAGCAACCAACCATTTCATCCGCTTCGGGCCCTGGTCGGGGTTGGGCGCAACTTCACGAAGCTTCTTCCGCAGCCTCCCCACATTTTCAATGGCTGCTCCCATGTTGCTGGGCAAAGTCTCCGCAATCTTCTTCCGCACGATGCTAGCCAGCTTCGGTCCATTCCCGTTCGTGCTTACCATGACCTGTAGAGGTCCGTCACGATGGACACTTCCAAAGTAAAAGTCACATTCGGGTGGAACATCGGCGATATTAGCTGCAATTCGACGCGCTTTGCACAATTTCCAGACTTCCGAAGAAGCCTCTGGATCGTCAATGGCGCACAACACCATATCCACCCCATCCAAGTCGTGTGGCTCGAAATTGCGGTCAATATGCGTCACTTGCTTTTCAGCAACCCGGAAAGCAACCTCCTCGTTCAGCCCGGAGGCAGGGCATACGACTGTTACTCGTGCGTCGGCGTTGAGGGTGTTGAGGATGCGCCCCGCAGCGACCTATCGGAGAAATATAGATCAGCATCTTGTATGCAGGTGTGATCTGAATTGCATACCTCTCCACCTCCAACCACCAAAACATGCTTTTCCTTAATCTGCCATGCCAGGATGAGCGAACCTCCTCCCTGCACTTCTGGAAACTTCGACATGGTGGGATGTGCAGGTGGGATGCAGCTGCTCGAGCTATCGATAAGGAGGGTCCGATACGGTGGACCGCACACACCTCCTCCGCAACCCGAGACTTTCTTTTTCCTCGCGTTTTTCTTTCCTTTTTTTCTTCCCTTCCTCTCCCCATGTCTTCTTCTTAAAATGCGGGGAGTTCAAATATTCTCTGGGAATTCCCATCCTGGCCTCGCAGATACGATCTGCGAGCGCCTAGGAACGGTTCCTGCCAAGGCTAACCTGGGAAAATTCGCCAATGGTGAAACCAGTGTCAATATCGGCACATCCGTGCGGAACCAAGATGTCTACATCATTCAAAGTGGCAGCGAGAAAATTAACGACAGTGTCATGGAGCTCCTGATTATGATTTCAGCGTGCAAGGGTGGCTCTGCCAAGTCGATTACAGGTATGTTGTCGATCATCCTCAGCAAGAGCTTTCCCCGCTAACAATATTTTTCTCTGTAGCGGTCATGCCGTATGCTGCCCGTCCTGTTTGACTTCAATCCACAGTGAATGCTGACTCAAACGAGATACTTCCCCTACTCGCGCCAATCTAAGAAGAAGAGTCATCGCGGTGCCATCACGGCCCGTATGCTCGCCAATCTCCTCACGATCGCCGGCGTGGACCATGTGATCACCATGGACCTGCACGTATGTTCCTATGTGTCGAGCTTTGTATTATGGATATTGATGGGCTCCTAGGCATCCCAGATGCAAGGATTCTTCGGAAAGCCGGTTGACAACCTCTTTGCCGAACCCTTCATTGCCCGCTGGATCCGGATGAATGTTCCCGGCTGGAAAGACGCCGTCGTTGTCAGCAAGAACGCCGGTGGTACCAAGCGCGTCACCTCGTTGGCGGATACCCTGAAGCTGAACTTCGGTATCGTGACGACAGATCGTCGCCGCCCCAAGGTCCCCGTCAACACCATGTCTGACAGCACTGTCTTCTTCGATGCTGTCGATGACGAGCCAAGCGTAGTAAAAAAAGACTCGCAGCCGTTTGAGCTGCATTTGCATGGCTCTAAGAGAGCTCTTGCAACTCCCCCCATTCCGGAGGAGCCGGAGCCAGTCACACCACATGAGCTGCTGCGTCCGGAGACTCCACCTGCGGCTCGCCGTCCATCGGAGCTGGAAGCAGCCAACGAGTACACGGATGTGCGAGTTCGGGATGTTATCACCGGCCGTTTGGTGCAAGGTCAACTGGTGGATGATGACTACAGCATCAAGGAGGAGTCAGAATCCGGTGGTACCACACCTGGCGCTGCAAGCAGTAACCAAGACACCTCAGAGGTCATTCCCGATGCCATGGCCGGCTCTATGATCTCCAACGCCTCCTCGCAGCCTCCTGATCATGCGCTCGGTGGTTCTTTTGATGCCGCTGAGTCTGATGACGAGGCCAGTGTGTGTGGCCCCTCGGATGAAAAGACCATCACCCTAGTCGGCGAGGTGCGCGACCGATCTGTGTTCATCGTTGATGACATGATTGATAAGAGCAGCTCGTGGATTGCGGCCGCAGAGACTGTCGTCAAGCGTGGTGGCGCTGGCAAGGTCTACTGCATTGCCACCCATGGGCTGTTCACCGAAGAATCTCTTGACCAGATGGAGGGATGTCGATCGATTGATCATATCGTTGTGACCAACACCTTCCCGATCCCACCGTCAATGTTGCGGCGATCGAAGAAGCTGATTGTCATTGACGTCTCGAGTCTATTGGCAGAGAGCATTCGGAGGCACCATTATGGCGAAAGGTTTGTTTTCACCGACTGTGTCGCGTGACCATGCACTAACTAGGAGCAGCGTCTCGGCCCTCTTCCACCTTAACGACTGATGCAGATAGTAACGAGGAAAACGACACACCAGAGCCCAATATCGGACGGCGTTTTTGCATTGCAGGATTGCAATGGCATGATACCTTTTTCTTATCAAATGAACGACCTTCCGTTCCCTCCTTCCCCTGTAGACCCCCGGTGGACCTATCCACTTCCCCCCAAACCCCAAACCAGCGATGCAGTCTACTCTGAGTTCTGCAGGAGCATCTCGTTTTACCACAAGGTGTTCTTAACGGAGCGTTGGCAGATCAAACCCGGGTCTTTCCCTTACTCCATGCTGTACTCCAGCATGGAGACGTCACCCCTTTCTCCGTTCTTTGGAACGATTTGGTCTCGGCCGGTGGAAGTGGTGCAAGAGATGATCACGAACATCCCGTAATCTCCATAGCAAACAATACGATATGACCTAAATATACCAATCATTTCCCGAAACTCATATGATCTTCTCCTGCAGTTGGCCGTCTCTTCTCGAAGCCGGTTTGCGATTCAGTTGTGGTCTGGTGATCGTCTGTATCACATCTATGGCCAAGTACCTTGGTACACTGTAATGGGAGTGTCGGTGTGCACGTTGCCATACCCACTCTGTTCCAGGCCAAGTATACTTCAGACCGAACGGCTATGGCTGGCCCAATTGGCAATCTTCAGGTGTCACAGATAGACCTAGTAGCAACTCAAGCATCGGGTAATCCCTGAACGGAACTGCAAGACTCGACCCTGGAAACCCACCGTTACGCTCCATATACTGGAGCTGCCCTATCCAGGCGCTGCAGAGCGGAACCTTTGCGAAATGACCACACTCGGGATCTGATGCATTCTCTGACGCGGCTAGGACAAGCAATCAGGGCCCTAGGTTCCCAGCTGAAAAGTACAGTACTTTTTGTCGGTACGGAGTACGGAGTCTCCGTACTTTGTGGGCAATCTCGTATTAGCCTGACATTCTTAGTGTCATACCTGGCGTAGCAAAGTAGCAAATTAAACAAATAGAGCGATGCCCGGGTGGATCTACCGAATGGATGTATCCAAGTATTTTTTTCTTCTTTTATATAGTACCCCATTCAGGGGAAACAGCGGGCCGCGGAATGGACAAAATCAAAAATACGAAATTAGCATAGCAGCCATCGGGATGATAATTGGAACAATGCGATAGACGCTAGGACTAGTGCTATGCACTCGCGATCGGAACCGGACTGCTGGGGTATTGACGATCGAACTAAAGTACAGACAGAAACCTCCGATCTCTGTCGGGTTCCACTTCGTGTGCCTACGTTATTCCTTGAACCTCTCATTTGTCATTCCCTTTATTCTACCTATGACCTATTGGGTCGACGGTCCTTCACATCGAGTACTTCCAATCAGGTCACTCCGATGTCCACGATCGATTCGCATCTCTTGATCGGTATATAGATTTAAGAAGCGGCGGTAGATCTTGACCTCTGTCGATACATAACTGTCTGGTTTTAAAATTATAATTATTCCAATTGAAACAGTTCAGCTATTTGTCCCCCGGTTAGCTGCGTCACGGTTTCGTGCATTCGCTGGCCTTGTCAGTTCTTGACAGTCCTATATAATGGCCGATGCTGCCGTCTCGACTGTCCATCAATTGACTTTCGCACTGTTCTCTGATCTCCCTTGCTTGATTACCTAGTATTGCCTTGGCTTCCTGCTGCTCGCTGCTCTTTAAATATCCCTCCATATCTCTCGCCCAGACGCTTGGAACCCTTCTCCGGTGATCGACATTTCCACTCCCTCGGGTCTTCCTCTTTGTACGTGACAGAGTCTCGGGTCCTGGGTATGGACTGACGGTATCTAGCTACTCTACACCTTCAAAATGGCCAACCAATGCTCCGGTCACGTCTTTGCCATCGTGCAAGCCACCAATGGCAACATCCTCACTTGGCGTTGCTCTGATTGCAACTCTGGGCCTTTTGTGGCCATCTGGCGCTGCAAGGCTTGTGGGCATTGTCGTTGCAACGCTTGCCACAATACCAAAGGCTGTGAGTGTGTCCCGTCAGGTTGCAACGACCCAAGTACTAATATCCCAAAAGAGATTGGTGCAGCAACCCGCATCGACAGTGCTTCTTCGCCTGCACCTGCACCCGGTGCAAGGGTAGTGTCCACCTGGGCACTTCCCCCAACAGTCCCAGCCCCTTGGGTCTGGGATTTTGTCAATCTTCCTGGCTTCGATTTGGCGAGCGTTTGTGATTCCAAGTCCCAAAAGTTTTTGATGCATTGCATTCATCATCAGGAGTTATAGACCGTTTGATATATTTTTTTTCTGAGGGTTATGGTTCTAGGCTATGGTTATTTGGGTTGAGCCTATGTATTCTATTTGCGTCAAAATCCCCTTCAATTGCTATTTTTTACTTCGAGGAATCTATATCCTTCTCAAGGTTTCCATGATAAGGTTCCCTGTTTTCCTGCTTCTCCCTGCTTCTCTAGCTGCACTTGACCTTGGAAGGAATGTACACTGGTAGCACATTTCGCCATCAAGCCAGTTCCCATGTCGATCCAGCATCTATATTCGGTCCAAATAGCCCAAGGCTCATCCTTACGTTGGAATGCACCCGACCTGCAGGGTCCAACCTGTCTAATGACCCTATTTCAAGGTTTCGGTCAGAGATCCGGCATGTCGGCTGCGCATTCTTGAGCCCCAGAGCGAGGATTTCTCATTCGCGGATTCACACAAAAAGATTGTCTTAAACCACGGGATCCTATTGACGCGGAGGCAAGGAAAAGGGATCCGCAGGTATTTGGCAGCACCTCAGTGGCGGTGGGAATGAGATGTGTCGCCGGAAGAACAATGCATGTTCCGCCAGTGGGACGAAAAGCGGGACAAAAGTCAGACGCGACAGGCACTAAATCCCCACTAAGAGGCACTAAATTGAAGGCTAAGGGAATAATGGGGATTGGGAAAATGGGACAAATATTTCCCAGGAGCTCGGATCTTCCCCACTGAGCACGCCTGTACCTGTGCGTTTGGGGCTCTGGACTCCGTATACTTCGTACGGAGTATAGCCCATCGACCCCGTAGTTATCAATCATTAATATACGTCGAGGCTTCATGGGTGTTTAAGGGGAACTTTCTAACGTGTCGACTACCTGGGTATGAATGTATCTCCGTATGTGGTCCTCAAATTAAATGTGTCGCAACTGAAATGACATATCCTCAAGTGTAAATGCTCTGTGTGAAGGGTTAGCTATGCGCATCGAACCATCCAATATGGACTACTCACCTCGGTAATCTGATTCACAGCCAAGCCAGGCTCTGCCATCTCGGCATCCTTCAGGAAATCCAAAGGCAACCAAACGAGATGCCCCTTAATGAGATCCAGCTTCTCCCGCACATCCTTAGCAGGCATATACGGATCGAACAAATGACCTTCCTTCCGGGACCCCCTCGGTCGGAAATTATCATAATCCTCGAACGTTTTGATGTTGTCATCTGGATCGGCGCGGAACAGCATCCGATACGTGTCGGTGTTCCCGGTCGCCTGGGACGTCCAGGTGTTCCAGACCCCGTCGCTCAGGGGGTCCGCGACAAATTCATCTTCCGCTCCCGTGTCGATCTGGTTCAAACACTCATCTACAGATCGGGAGTTCGGGTGCTCGGGGGTATCGTATTCCTGTGCCGGTAGAAGGCCCAGATGTTCCCGCCACAGCTGTCGGCGCAGCGTGGCCGCCAATCGGGACGCCTGGTACGGCGCTCCATTCATCGTGCTGGGGATCATGTCTTGATCTTCCATTACGATCGCCAGCTCGCTGTCGTGTGATCCCAGTTGTGACTGCCGGTCGTTAGGATGTGTCGATTTTGAATTGAGTTCAAAAAAGAACTAGAACAAAAAAGAAAACTTACTCGATCGTTAATGTTGGCACTGCCGCAGATCACCGTCCGATCGTCCACAATGCACACTTTGCCGTGAACGTACAGCTCCTCCTGGACGATGTTCTCCTTCTCGGCCTCCGCTTCGCCCTCCCATGTCTCCTCCGACATCTTGCCCCCATTCAGCATCGTGCAGTGGGATACCGTATCCCGACTGTGGAAGCCGTCTTCTTTCTTGCGCTGCTCGTATTTCTCTTCGAACCGCTCAAGCTTCGCCAGCTTCTCCTCTTTCTGGCTGGGCTCGTTCTCATAATCCTTCTCGTTCTTGTCACCGTCTTTACCAATACCCGGGTGCACACTTTCACTCATGATGGACTCGGCAATACCACGTTGGATATCCTGGTATGTGACATCGGCCTGCTTCTCGAGCTCTTCGAGCGCAGGAGTCTTGTTGATGCGGTCATACGCTCGCAGCGCAAACACGAACATGTGCTCTGTCGATCGTCAGAATGTTTGCCTTTCCGGACTTTCGGGAACTCACCTCTGGGATCGACACCCTCCTTCTCAATCTGTCCGTAAATCGAGTGCTCGCCTCGGCAGATCGACTTGTACTGATAGTCCATGATCGCCCGAGTACCCGTCGCCGCATCGTCGCGAAGATCACCGGCGAATCCGGGAATGGCGGGGATGACAATGATCACACGGAACTTGCGGCCTTCCTTGCCTGCACGCACACATGCATCGACGATCGCACGGCCAATCTGGTTGAACACGGGAGCCTGTTGGTCGCCAGTGGCGGTGACTGGGGATGTTAGCCAAGTTCTCTCTCAAGACACAATGTTCACCCACTGAAAAACTGGTTTTCGATGTACACGAAGTGCTGCGCGTTACGGATTGTCTCGCAGTACGCATTCTGGATGCTGTGCTCGTTCAGGATTCCACTGCTCCAGTCATCACTACTGCGTACGATCTGCGCACGCACGGTGCCGACGTTACCGCGGCTCTTGGTGGCCAGAGGGGTCAGCGGGTGTTGGATGTAATCACCGCAGGGGTACTTCGGACGCTGGACGGCGATGATATCTTCGTCCTCCAAGCGACCTTCCATCAAAAGCCAGTCCACGTCGTGGCTGCGCTTGTACTTGTCGCGCTTGATGAAGTTCCAGCGCAAGACGAAGTGCTCTGCGATATCGAACACACAATCACCCTGTAATCCCATCGCAACATCATGCCACGGCATACGTCCATAGTCGGCTTTGCTGACTTCGTTGCTCTGCCAATCTTGGACGCTCTGGAAGTCCATGATTCGGTTGTTGTTGAAATCCTGGCCGGGGAAAATGTCATCCCTTAGTCCGGCTGGGTGCACATCGGCCAGTGGGTGCTGGTTTGCATCCCACCGTCCAAAACAGAGATCGATACCACCGATGAACGCGACGTTGTAGTCGATCACGATGAACTTCTCGTGATGCGCCCAGTAAAGCGTCATGTCGGCGGCGTTTTCAAAGACATTGTGATCGGGATGGCGCATCACTCGAATGTTGCCATACCCGGGTGTTCCCTCGGGGCACAGACTGCGCAGTGCATGTTTGGTGTGTGCCGAGTTACAAGTCAGGGCTTGGTTCACCTGTCTCTGGTCAGAATTTTGTAGCGACTCGGCAGGGACTGTAACGGACCTCTTTGTACACAATTACGTAGATCTTCACACCTGCCTCGGCGCGGCGCTTCAAGACATGATCCAATCGCCATTCCTGGTGCTCCACCGGGGGGCGGCGCAAAAAGAGCTCTGGGGACAGCCACCAGTCGGCGATGTAGATTGTCTCAGTCGCCTTCTCCAGGGCTTCCGAGACCGCCCACATGTAATCCTTTGCGTCTACGTACCACTTCACGCGATTGCCATCGTGAATGGGGGCAAAGGAGTGGAAGCGATGGGACTCGGCGCGTTCCGAGCGCTTCTTGTCGGTCGCCTGCTCATGCTCTTCGTCATGGCGATGGTTGGGATTAATGATGTTGAAGAATTTGCCGACCTTGTTCTTGAAATGTGTGGCCTCGGCTTTCACATCGTGGATATGGGTGTCTTTCACTGGATTAGCTGCAGGTGGGGTAGCAATGGAATTGTACAACTCACCTTTGAAAGACCCCTCCAAATGATCCATGCCATGTTCAAACTTCTCCTTGAATTTCTGCATGCTTGCGGGGGTGTGAGGGGGAAAAGAGAGAGGGGAAGAGATCTGAAGATAATGGGTGACATCACTTCGGCCCTACGCCTTAAGAGGTGATACAGTGCCAAGCGGGATATTAAATGCCGATCTACAGGAGCCAATACGCGCTGTTCAGTCTCATTCGGTCTGTTCCTGTTCTGAGCCGCGCGGAGCCCCTCTGTCTTTCCGTGGTTGGGATGTCGGACCACTTCGGTTAGGTCTTGGCGTTGGGTAGACACTGTTCTTACATGTTACTACCTACCTAGGTAGGTATGTAGGTAGTTGTATAGTAGATCTGGGTGGGGAATAATGTGGGGGATTGGAGATATACATGCAAGCAACGGTGAATATCCAACCGGAGGGTCTGATGGATACGGTATACCTAGTACCAGAATATACCTTGGTTAAATGGAACCTTGGAAGAGCAATACAGTAGACCTCGGGAGTGGGAGAGGACTTGAATAGATCATTGAGACTATTATATACAACCTACCTAGTAGCTAAGCACTGTTTTATTCTTACCTACAAGCTTGGAGATTCAGGTTATAGCTAAGAATCACAACTTAGACATAAGTATAGAGCCCAAGTAAGGTGATAAAATAAACATTGGAATATGATCTGTCAGCCATGATGTAATAGCCGTTCCTTGGTTCTGCTCCGCCGCTGACGCGCCTAGTGGTGCGTTTTTAGATCACATCAATTGCCTATATTGCACCACTAGTACGCAGCAGATGCAGGTCAAAGGACAATATACATAGTAGACTGGCTCACTCAGTGGACAAGTATCGAGTTTGGTGATCTGGGAATGTCAAGCTTCAATCACGTGACAGTGATCAACGACAGAGCACATATGCGGAGTAGACAAACCGCAAGTAGTAAACAACAGAGGTTTGACACTCACCAGACAGAGTGCCGACACGGTGGTGGAGATATAGAGTTATAACAGCACTAGCTAGCATATATTGAGTGAATATGCAAAGATACAGATAGTAGTCATTCCTTACCTTGTTGTGGAATGCTTACTGGACTCACGTGATCTAAACAACGTTGTCAGAGGAACGGGCCTTTTCTGTTTATCTTCACTCACACAACGCGGCTAGCCTTCAGAGCCCCAAGCTGGCCAGCGAACCCTGGGATCTTGTCTCAATTTTGGACCGCCCTTTTTGGACTGTATATTTACCACGTTTGTTCTTGCCTAAAGTTTTGGATGCGAATGGTCCGCTGAGTCGCCGTGGGAAATCATCGCGCAGCGCCATCTCCCTGGTTACCGACTCCTCCACTTTTTTACTAACTCAAACAGCAACGAGCATGATGCCACCTGAACTAGGTAAGCTCGGCTAAAAATTCTGCTGCGGGTCATTGGGTTCCTTTCATGCTGACGGCCTGCAAAGCCCGAGCTCACTCCCAGGGCAGCGTTGTGTCCCAGACGACCCAGATTGCTCCCCACAGCCGACCAGGTACGGCTGATCCAGTGCGAGCCCGCTCTGAAGCTGTCTCCAGGGCCAGCCGCCGTCCCCGGTCGAGAGGTTCCACGGCGAGCATTCACTCGAGTACGACCCAGCAGACGCAAGACCAACACCTCGACGGGTTTCCCCAATTCATACCCTCGCAGGTCGCCGCTGGTTCGCATATGTTCAACAACCCGGAAGATATGCTCATGCGATTCGGACACCAGCTCTCCAACCACCCGGGCGCGACGGGCATGGACGGAGCTATGCAAGATACCCACGCGGTCATGCCGCGCGCCGAAGACTTTCACCCTCACCCGATGCACGGCCATACCCTCTCACACCATTCCATGCCCCCCGAGATGCCAAGCGGGATGCCCAACGTTCCCGCGTCGTACCAGCAGATGTATGACAGTGGCGTGGAGAACCAACTCCCCGAACACCTCGTGGAGGAGCCCGAGATTCCAGAAGTGGGCGGGAAGAAGAAGAGGGGAGCAAGCTCAACGGTCGCCAACGACAATGAATTACGGAAGCTGCTTCGTCAGTATGAAGGGTGGAATCTGAAGCAGATGGCTGCAGAGGTCATGAAACATGAAGGGGGAGGTGGAAAGGCAGAAAAAGTCAAACAGGTGTTCGCCATGATCTGGTAAGGGATATTCCCATGTTGCCACAAGCTTGGGCCAGTGATTTAACAGCTCTGCAGGTTGAGGGAGAACTGTCGCAAAAGCAGTGGATCCGTCCGTCGTGATCGTGTTTATTGTTGCTATGCAGAGAATTGTGGCACTGAGCGAGTTTCCGTCTTGAACCCGGCGTCCTTTGGAAAGCTGGTTCGAATCATCTTCCCTAACGTTCAGACTCGGCGACTCGGGGTTCGAGGCGAGTCAAAGTACCATTACGTGGACTTGTCCGTCATCGAGGAAAAGCAACAGAAGATCGCACCCATGCCCCAAGTTCCCCGTGCTTCCATTGGCCCGGCCTCTATGCCCTCGAGACCTGCAAGTGCCATGCGTTCCCGAAGGTAAGGCCTCACTGTTTGCAAATTCAAGTGTCTCAACTAACAAGTGATTAGTGCTAGTGTCCAACAACCAACAGCTGATACCGCCGTCTTCCCCTCGCCTACTACCTCATTCGCTCCCCGCTTCCCCAACAACTCCATCCCGGCAGACTGCAATTGCCAGGGCCACGGCGCATCTGCCCCCGATGAAACGATCACCCGCGAGAACGTGGCCCAGCAGGCTGGGAAGATGATCCACCAGATGCTCCAATTCCCACTCGACGAGAACACTGTTGTCGATAACGAAGCTCTCCAACTCCCCGATATTCGCACCTACCTGCCCGCAAACACTGACCTGAAGGTCGCTGCAGCTCTTGCTGCACTATATCGTTCCCACTGTATTTCAGTCATCGACAGCTTCCGCTACTGCAAAGAACGTAACCTGATGAAATACTTCTCTGCGTTCCATGGAACATTGACTGTTCCTGTTCAAAAACTCTTGACTCATCCTAACCTCGCTCCCTGGATAAAGGAATGTGACTGGATGATGTATCAAAAGATGATCGCATTCGTGGCCCCTCTTACAACCCAGGTTGTGCCGAAGCCCGTGTTGGACGCATTCATGTCCATTTCCCAACGGCTCTGCGGGCACATTACCGAAACCTTCAAGACCCAACCTACTCATGTCTCCCTGGCTCGCCTCATCCCCGCTCACATTTTCTGCAACCTCCTCAAGCACATGCTTGATGTCAATCAAGCCGCCAATGCCGCCGCCGCTTGGCTCTGCCACCCTGACAACCGAAACCAGATGTGGGTCGACTTTAAGACCATGGTCGATCCTCAGGAGATGATGACCAAAGCCAACATCCCCACCTGTGCCGAAGCAGCGACAGAGCAGATTCTAAAACACGACATTCGTGCCCTTCTCACGCCGTTGACGGATGCTGATCCTTCAGCCTGTCTCCCCTTCTTCACCCGTCCAGATAACCCCGAGTCTGTCGAGGCCCACCGGTTCCCAGTGGAAAGTGCGCCTGGTGATGAGTATAACTTCCCCGACAAATGGGTACAGTTCATCCTGAACATCCCCGCTGCCTTTGGAAGCCATCGCTCGCAATGTGTCATTGAAAAGGTGGATGCACTGTGGGACAGTGTCCTGCACCGCCTGACTCTGGGTGGAGCCCAAAGCTTCAGCGCATGGTGGATGACCAAGGTCTTCTTCCATGAGATGATGGTTTGGCAAGCCGAGAAAGGCGGATTCATGCGCAACACCCCTGGCTCATTGCAAAGCGCTACCTTTGGACCCGAGTCAGTGGGCAACTTTCAGATGAAACAAGACTCCGCTGCCGAGCCCTCCCCGTTTGAAGCCCCCAACGATTCCCAAAAAACCAGTCGCACACCTTCAGTCCCTCAAACAAGTCACCAGACGCAGCCTGGCACACATCACCAGGATTTCAAGAACCCTCACAACGAGAAGCGCCTCTCTCTTCAAGACCCAGCTTTCCAAGGTCACAATAATGATGACAGCGCGATCGATCTTGAAGACGACACTATGCTGCTGGCAGTTGGAAAATATGGCGACATGATGGTTTCAGATCCCGCAGATGCCGAAGGCGACGTGGTGGTCATCTAAATGTTCAAGTTTTTTTGATTATTGTTCATCAGCTGGAGTTGGATATCCCTTGTTTCTGGAAGCCGTCTGTTATGCGGCGTTCCCACGATTCTCCTTTGTCATTTTATTTGTTCTTTTCTTCCCTTTGTTCACACGAAGCAACGAGACACGAGCACGGGGCTCATCGAGTCTCCCTACGACCCCGGCACGCTGGGTGTTTTTGCTCATCAACAGCATTTAATTGGCGTGAACTTCAGTTCTACTTCCCTGTCGGTTACTACTTCTGGACCTTGACTGAGTCCCTCTGTACATATGCAGCTATACCTTCCGCTCTATGGATCTCTTGACCATGGGCGGGCGCGCTATTCTAATGTCTGTCCATTATCCTGTTCATTTAATCTCTGTAACAAGTAGCATACAAAAGCCTGCAGTTCTCACAGTTTTATCTTCCGTTGAACGTAGGCATCCCAATCTACCTTTCTCTTTGCCTGAAACTCCCTTACCCCATACGCGCCGTCTGCGCCAGGCTGCATCATATCCTCAAACAGCCCCTTTATCCCAGATGCTTGCTCTTCTTTCCCCCCGTCCGTCCAAGCAAGTCTCACCAACTCCTTCGACATGCGCGAGGCATCCGACGAAGCAGCTTTCAGTTCAATCAAAAAGCTATCAACTCTACTCGGGAGCTCTTGAGCTCTCGCAATTTCCAAAATGATACCCAGGCGCTTCAACTCCGTCGGCGTCACCACTCGAGCCGAGAGCATGACCTCCCTTGCAAACGCCACCCCCAGCTCCCGAATCACATACCTCGAGATCGTCGCCGCACAAAGTCCGAGCTTGACTTCGCTCAGCGTGAGATTCGCGCCTTGTGCGAAGATTCGCAAATCACACGCCAACGCAAGTCCGACTCCTCCCCCGAAGGCAGGTCCATTCACCGCTGCAATCGTCACCTTCGGGCATTGATCGATGGCCTCGAAGAGATTCGTCAGTCGAGTGAATTGCGCCTCGCTTGAGTCTCCCCCGACGGCCGTGCTTCCTTTCCCGAGATCCATACCCGTGCAGAAGAATTTGCCATTGGCTGTGATGACGATTCTCGAGATCAGGGGATTGGAAGATGCGTTTGAGATAGCGGTTGTGATATCGGAAATCATGGTCGTGGTCAGGGTGTTTCCGTTCTTGGGTCTATTGAGAACGATCTTCAGATTTACACCCGACCGATATAATTGCAGACCATCGGTTTCGTTGAACAAACTCCAACTCAGTCGAGGGGTCTTGGGCTTGGTCGACTTTGTCATTAATGCCGTCCCGGCTCGACTTGAGTTGCTCTTCCCAAGCTTCTTGCATACCCAGTTCCCTGTCTCGACTAGCTTGGACAGATCGACGCCCGTCGATATGCCCGCGTTGTGAAACATGTAGACCAGATCTTCGGAAGCGACGTTACCCTTTGCTCCTGGGGCGAATGGACATCCGCCCAGACCTCCGACGCTGCTGTCAAATACGGTGATGCCGTTGTTGAAGGCTTCCCATGCATTCGCGGCGGCTTGGCCGTAGGTATCGTGGAAATGGCCGGCGAGCCTTTCCACTGGAATACCATTAGTGATTAAATAGTTGAGGAGTTCGCGCACGTTGGCAGGGGAGCCGATTCCCAAGGTGTCGCCTAGGCTGACTTCATAGCAGCCGGCGTCTAGGAGGGACCTCACGCAGCGCAGGACAGCTGGTAATGGAGTCGGACCATCAAAGGGGTCTGCAAAGATGCACGAAACGTATCTGAAATTATAGATTAATGGCATGTTCAAACTGCTTTGACACGATCGCTTACCCTCTGACCAGGATGTCGGATGCGATCGCCAAGGATGCAAGTTGAGTACTTCTTTCAATCCCTTGCTCAACCGTACAGTTGATGTTGGCTTTACTAAAGCCCTCCGTGGCACTGATGAAGACGGCAATCTCTCGCACCCCCAGCTGCTTGGCAATTTCGAGTCCTTTCACATTAGGGACAAGCACAGGAAGTCGCAGTTGTGGATTCTCCAAGAGCGCTTTGATATCTGGGTTACCGAGGACCTCACGACAATCCGCGAGTTGCGGGATCGCCTTGGGTGAGACTACAGACGTCAGCTCAATGGTCTGTAGACCAGTCTGATGCAGCCGCTGTATCAACTCCAACTTGGTTGAAGTCGGGATTGTATCTCGGATATTTTGGAGACCATCTCGAGGGCCAACTTCCACGATTCGAACTGCCATTATTGAGATCTACTGAGATCTACGAGAGCAGAAACCTGGAATATGAGATGACTCCGGTCCGCCTGAAGCCCTAAATGCGGAGGGTCCGCCTCGGACCGGCTGAAAAGTGGGGGGTTGCAACCTCAGCTGAACAGCCGGAGACCTCGGAACAAATTCCAAGATTTGTGAGAGAATCATACGTAAGTCGGAGTGAGATTGTTCTTTAGGCAGACTGCTCTCTTTCCTAGTCATGTGCAGTCTACTCAATCAACAATATGTATCTTTCGTGCAATTTTGGTCATCCCAATATCTGTAGATGGGACAAATCGTGACTAGTATACCACAGCAAGACTGTTTTAACTTCCAAGTTCAAGTAGAGAAAGATTTTTTGAAAAAAAAAAAGGAATAATGCATTGCTTCACTACAGCTAGAGTTTCGCCTTGGGAATGCCTATCAACCGGTTGCCAACATCCCGCATTATATGCTTCTGATGCTTGCCACTCCCCGTCTTGGGGAAGTCAGCCCCTACTCCTGCGTCTCCGAGCCAGAATATATGAGCAGGAGTCTTATGTCGGCCCAGCTTCTCCCCGACAAACTGCTGGATCTCTCGGTTGGTAGGCCTATGCTCCCCAGAGATCTTCAAGAAACAGCCGACTACTTCACCATATCGCTCATCTTTGATGCCAACCACACTGGCCTCGGAAATGGCAGGGTGAGACATGAGTCGCTCTTCGATCTCCCGTGGGAAGATGTTCTCGCCGCCTGCTGTACATCAGTCGTGAGATCACACCCGTCAACAGGTAGAGCGTACCTCGAATGATAAGATCTTTGATCCGACCAGTGATATGGGCATACCCATCCGCATCGATCATGGCTTCGTCTCCAGTGTGCATCCACAAAACACCGTTCTCGTCTCTTCGCATCACCTCTTGGGTCTTTGCTTCGTTCCTCCAGTACCCCTTCTGCAACACAAAGCCACTAGTACACAACTCACCCCGTTGCCCTCGAGACAGTATCGTACCCTTCTGATCAATGACTTTGGCAGCCGTGTGTGGAATCAAGCGACCGACTGTCGTCGTCCTCTTTTCATCACTGTCGTCCAACGAGGTAATGAAGCTAACTGGACTGGTCTCCGTCATACCGTAGGCGATCAGCATTTTTTCAACGCCCATCGTCTCTCGCAGCTGTTCCATCAGATTTTGAGATACTGATGAGCCTGATGCGAGTCCGGTCCGGAGCCGACGAGGCCGCTGTCCAGTCTTGGCCATCACTTCCAGTTCGGCGACGTACATAGTTGGGACACCGAGGAGGACTGTGGCATCTTCGTCGATAATGGCATTCACCACCTTCTTGACGTCGAAGAAATCAGATGGAAATACGATGGAGCTTCCACGGTAGAAGGACGAGAGGAATCCCAGAACAAGTCCAAAGCAATGGAACATCGGGGGCGGGCAGCAGATGACATCGTCTGGAGTAAGTTGCATTGCTCCTCCGATGAATTGTGCATTATTGATGAGATTCCTATACATAGCATCAGTAGGTTGTAATCTGACCCGACTACAAATGTATTTTCAAGATCTTACGAATGTGTGAGCATTGCAGCCTTGGGAGAACCCGTAGTCCCTAGATCAGTCTGCATGTTAGCATTGACCACGTAGGATGATGTTGAACACCCACCGGACGTAAATTGTAGATTGACCACATCCTCCCGAGTAACCTTTCTCTCTGCGCGCTCGAGTGTAGCATTGTTCATGAACACCGAAAGACCATTCGAGGTAAACTTGTTATAGGACTGAACTTCAACACCTTTGTCCGAGAATGCCTCTGAACCGAGCGAAACAATCCGTTGCAATTCAGGTAGCGCCGGATTTGGGTACTGTGTCCCTTGCAAGGTGTCGATATGGCCCATCAAGCTTCGAGAGCCGATGGACGTTGAATGGAAAATAAGCTTGCATGCTTAAAAGTTGTTAGCTAGCATTCTTCAGACAGTCATGATCAACTTACAACTATTCTTCACTGCATTCAGCAGCTCAGCGGATGTGTATGTATTGTTCAGTACCACGACCGGGCACCCGATGCGAGCACCGCCAAGGAAAACCTCGATGTACTGGTAGCAGTTCCCTGCCATGATGCCCACGCAGTCACCATGCTGGAGTCCCATCTCAAGCATTGCCTTGGCTAGGACCTTGCTTCGATCTGCCAATTGGCGATACGACAGTCGGACAGATTGCCACGGAAAGATTACTGCAGGACGATCACCATATTGAGCAGCCTGGTCATCTATGAGGTCTCTCATGGTTTTTAGGCATAGCTGAGGCTCTTTGGCGCCATGAACGAGGGCAAGGTTGGTATCCATCTTTGGTATGAGGATAATTGCTGAAAGAGAGGAGTAAGTGAGCTACAGCATTTCAAATAAACCCTCCAATTACACGATCGTTATTATTCTTCCATCACCCTCGTTCCCCACGATCAGGTCCGCTCCCGGGCTTCGGTCCGAACCTCCACACCCCCGACTTTTAGAAACTGACCTCGATTGTCCTGGATATTTTCACTAGTTTACTACTTGCTTTGGAAATATTGCCTGTGGATTTCGATATTGCAATTCACCATGGCGACTGAGTCCTCATTTCCAGTCGCAAACACCAACATTGATCTTCGAGGCCCACAATTCCAAGCCAACAAGGAAAGCTGGACACCGGTGCTGGACAGGTTTGAAGAAGCGCTCAAGCAAGTCTCCGCTGAAGGAAATGATGTTTCTCTGAAAAGACACCAAGGTCGAGGGCAGCTGCTGCGTAAGTTCGCCAATTGACCACGAGAAAAGCGATTAATGTCAAGATAGCAAGAGATCGAGTCGCGCTGCTGTTGGACCAGGATTCCCCTATTTTGGAACTTGGTGCATTCACTGGATTCGGAAATGAAGATTCCACCCCGTGCGGCAACTTGATTGCTGGGATTGGAAACGTCTCTGGTCGCATATGCCTGCTCATGTCCCATATCCCAACTCAAAGTGGAGGCGCCTGGAATGAGATGACAGGTATGGGATTGCCTCTTGGAGAGATTTTTGATAGGTTGATCATACTGATGAGGAACAGTACTCAAAGTCAACCGCATGATGGAGATCGCGTTTGAGAACGACCTGCCCTTGGTCTCTTTAGTTCAATCTGTAAGTGACGGTTCGAGACCCCTAAAGAAATCAATCCTAACAAGACAAGGCTGGTGTATTCCTCCCTCAGCAATTTCGGGTTTTCCACAAAGGTGGCCAGCTCTTCCGCGATCTTGCGCTTCGCACCCGCCATGGGAAGCCATCATGTGCTATCGTTTTCGGATCCTCAACAGCCGGCGGAGCCTACCACCCTGCCTTGTCAGACTACACTATATTTGTTGAGAACCAAGCACAAGCTTTCCTCGGTGGACCCCCACTAGTGAAGATGGCGACGGGAGAAGTCATTGGGGCGGAAGAGCTGGGAGGTGCCAAAGTTCACGCGACGACCACGGGTCTTGCTGATCAGATCGCATCGGATGAGTACGTGGAGCCGAGCTCGTGAAATCAGAACGCTGACTTTGGTACAGATTCGACGCTATTCATAAGGCGCGTGAGTGGGTTGCCTCACTCCAGGCGCGTACTCCCACTGTGCCAGGGTTGATTGAGCCACTGGCGCCGAGATATCCCATCGAAGATGTGTTGTCGATCGTGAACCCAGATATCCGAAAGCCTTTCGACATGAATGAAGTCTTGTTGCGCATTGTGGATGACTCGCGTCTGTCGGTCTTCAAGCCCAAGTACGGTCCTAATATGATTACCGCATCGGCTCATATCATGGGTAAGAGCGAGATATTTCACTCAGAAGCCTCATGCTAAGGTCGCCCCGTGCAGGATTCCCGGTTGGTATTGTTGCAAACCAACTCTCAGTTATCAACCCCAACGAGGCAGCGAAAGCCACGCAGTTCATTCGCATGTGCAATCAGCAGTGAGTGTTGCTTTTGCGAACTTGTATGCACATGCTGACATTTTCAGGAATACGCCGATTATTTTCCTGCACAATGTGACTGGCTTCATGGTTGGAGCCAAAGCTGAACATGCTGGTATCATCAAGATGGGGGCTCAGCTAGTCTCTGCAGTCAGTTGTTCGACAGTGCCGCATATCTCGATCATCTTGGGTGCTTCGTACGGAGCTGGTAACTACGCCATGTGTGGCAGAGCCTACAGTCCCCGGTTCTTGTTCTCCTGGCCTACTGGGCGCTGCAGTGTAATGGGCCCTGATCAGCTATCTGGAGTCATGGAAAATGTCCAAATAGCCAGTGCCAAATCCAAGGGGCAGACTCTATCGCCGGAAAAGCTCAAGAAGCAGGTGAACACCTTCCGCGACAGAGTCCAGAAGGATGCAGAGTGCTACTCGACGAGCTCGATGTTGATCGATGATGGAATCATTGATCCACGGGATACCCGTGATATTTTGGGAATGTGTTTGGAAGTAGTCTCCCAGCCAGGAGTGACGGGGACATCCACACACAACCTGTTGGCGCGCATTTAGAGCACAGTGAATATAATCTGACAATTTGAATCACTCAATTCTCAGCGATGTATGTATTTTAGAGCAGAAGAAATCAAAAAACCACCAGTCCGTCGGACTCGAAATCTACACACCTCAAGCGCATTTCGCAAATATCCTATAGCCAATGATGTAATTTCAGATTGTCAGAGAAGCCCATCTCGTCGAATAGTAGAAACAACTCAACACAAAATCAGTTCTGTGAAGTCAAAGTGGTCGGTCCGCCCCCCGCAAAAGGGTGCGGGTGTCGGACCGAAGTGGAGATCGATGTAGATTCACTACATCTACCATTCCCCAAGGTCTGCTTTTTGCAGGCCATTTGAAACACAGATCCTTCATCATGGCCATCGATTTCACAGAGGGCGACGCCTCAGTTGCGCGTAAACCATTGTTCGTCGCACAGCCCCCATTGGGCAAAGATGGCAGACCGATCATCCAAAAGGTACTGATCGCCAATCGGGGCGAGATTGCCTGTCGCATCATTCAGACCTGTCGCAAATTGAACATCGAATCTGTGGCAATTTATGTAGAGGAGTAAGTATCCCGAGGTTGTTGGAAATCACCACCGAATTAGAATCAACTTACATGATTTTAGAGATGCGTCCTCTCGCCATGTCCAAGATGCAGATGAAGCCATCAACATTGGAAGCATTGATCGCAGCGCCCGCAACCCATTCCTGGATATCGAACTCCTGGTGCAAACAGCTATCTCAACTCGCGCGCAAGCAATTCACCCGGGATATGGGTACTTGAGCGAAAATGCCGAATTCGCCAAGCGAGTCCATGAAGCAGGTCTCATCTTCATCGGACCTAGTCCCAGCGCTATGTCAACACTCGGTGATAAACGATCCTCGAAAGCATACTTGCGATCACATGCGCCCGACGTGCCTCTCATCCCTGGATTCTCGGGATCGAGCCAAGATGCCGAAGCTTTGAGTAAAGTGGCTGCCGAAATTGGATTCCCGGTCATGCTCAAGGCATCGGCTGGTGGTGGCGGAAAGGGGATGCGGATTGTTCGCGAGGCTAGCCAGCTCAAGGATGAGCTGGAGCGGGCTCAGTCTGAAGCTCGTCGGTCGTTTGGTTCGGATGATTGCATTCTAGAGAAGTTTATCGAGAGTAGCAAGCATGTCGAGATTCAGATCATGGGCGACTCGACTGGCCATGTGGTTTCTTTTTTGGATCGGGATTGCTCGGTGCAACGAAGACATCAGAAAGTCATCGAAGAGACGCCTTGTCCATTCCTCACAGAAGAGACTCGACAGAAGATGAGTGCGACTGCAGTTCGTGTTGCAGAGTTGATTGGGTATGAGAATGCCGGGACGGTTGAATTCGTCGTTGATATCAAGACGCATCAGTTCTACTTTCTGGAAGTCAACGCTAGGCTGCAGGTTGAACATCCTATCACTGAAGAGGTTACTGGAGTCGATTTAGTCTCTCTGCAGCTTTTCGTTGCGGCCGGAGGCAGTCTGAAGACTCTTCCTCTGCAGAACATCACTCAACGTGGACATGCGATTGAGTGTCGGTTGTGTGCTGAAAATCCCGAGAAAGACTTCTTCCCAGAGCATGGCAAGGTCCATCTCTGGCTGCCAGCAAGTGGCACTTTAGCACCGAGTCGAGATATTCGCTATGAAACGGCCATCAAAACTGGATCATCAGTATCCATCTACTTCGATTCCATGATCGCCAAGCTAGTCGTCTGGGCCCCGACACGAGCACTCGCAATCGAGAAAATGACCAAAGTCCTTGCGCAAACTGCCTGCATGGGCGTGAAGACCAATCAGCTATTCATGCAATCTTGTCTTCTGAACCCGGCGTTCCGTGACCCTGCATACACCACGGCCTTCATCCCGTCTCATCTGAACGAGCTCCTCCGAGCCCCTGCAGTGCCGGGACTGCCTGAATACGAAAAGATCGCGGCTATCATTCCAAGCTTGGTGATCCGTCAACTCCCAGACTTTTCAACAGCATTGTCACGCCCAAAGCCACTTCGAAATGTCCGCATGCAGTTTCGCAATCAAAGATTCGACCCAGTCAATATTCACTGTGACGTCGTAACAACAACCAGCTGGCCTAACAACTCAGCCGATGAGCTAGACCCCAGACCGGAACAACAAATCATGTGTATTTGGAAACCAAAGACAGCAGGGATATCATCCACCGAGGAAGTCAATCTCTTCCCAGTTCCCAACAAGGAAACCCCCGACAACCTCGAAATGTCAGCGGCAGCCGAGATCTCCGCCCAGTACAACGAAATCAGTCAAGCATTGCGAAGCGGCAAAGCGACTTCTACCGATAGCCACAAGGTGCAGATCATTTCATGGCGACCCGCAGAAGGCAATCCCGCCCTGCCGGAATCCTGGCTAGCATCGACGATCGAAATCTCAGTGGATGGATCGAAGCTCACCGCTAATGTAGCTATCCCGTCCACACGGGCGCATACATTAGCGGGCCAAGTGGATTGTGGTCAACGGATCTACTGTCATCTCCCTGCTCTCGGCACGCATGTTGAGTTCCGACGCGACACCTTGCTTTCGTTCGCGGAGAGTAATCGGTCGGCGAGGGCGAGTAAGGGTTCTGAGCAGAAGACTGTAGCAGCACCTATGCCTTGTAAAGTTCTTTCGGTTTTGAGGAAGAATGGAGATGAAGTGAAATCGGGGGACTCGGTGATGGTTATTGAAAGTATGAAGATGGAGGTCAACATTTCTGTTGCGGCCTCGGGGAAGTTCCAGACAGATTGGAAGGTGGGCGACGCGGTGGAAGAAGGCAAGGTACTTTGTTCGATTGTTTAATTCTAGAGACCAATGTGACATTATTCTCAATGAAATGAAGAAGATCATTATTAAATGCAGAGAAGAAAGTTGCAAACCTGTTGACTAGGAGTCTAAAGCAAACACTTCCGCAAAGGGCTAGGTTGGGCTTGAGGCCCCGGGTCGCAGGCCCAACCCCGCCTAGAGCCCAGTACCGGGGGCTCAATTGGCCCCCAGACAAGCCCATGACCGGGCTGGGTCCTTGGGCCCGGGCTTTCTGGGCTGGTGCAGAAGTCTACTCAGAATACTTTGGACCACCTTAGAAGCATGCTAACAGGAAAAGACACAACAAATGAAATTAAGATCAATCTGGATAATATCTACAATTTGCTCATCTTCTTCATACTCTTTATCTCCTGATTGACCGCCAGCTCCGAGAGAATCTCCTCACTCCCACCTCCCACCACCATAACCCGAACATCGCGACTAACCTGCTCAATGCGCGCCCCACGGCCATTCTTCGAGTATCCAAGACCCCCCATAACTTGCTGGGCCTCTCTATTTACCTTCTCTAGAGTTTGACCAGCCAAAACCTTCAAGTTTGCGAAAAGCCCGCCCATGGAAGCGTCAACACCCTGCCTCTTGGCTACTTGGGAAATATAAACCAACTGCTCCATCCAGGCATATGTTGAGTCCAAGCTCCGAGCCATCGCACTGAACTTCGCGCGAATTACTTGGTTCTCAATGAGCTTCTTTCCGAAAGTTTCACGCTTGATGGCGTGTTCATACGCGTCTTCGGCGCAGACTCGCGCCATGCGAAGTGACGTGCATGCAAGCCAGAGTCGCTCGTGATTGAAGTCTGTTGACACGGTCAGGTTAGAATGAATTCTTTCGATACAGGGGACTCGGCGTGCATACTATTCATGATGACGGAGAATCCCTTATTCTCCACGCCAAGCAGGTTGGCCGCAGGGACTTCGACCTGATCAAACTCAATGTACGTGGATCCGCTTGCGTGGACTCCGGAGTTTTCGATCTTCTTGCATGTCACGCCGGGAGCCTTGAGTGGGATGATCAGGGCGGAGATGCCTTGAGTTCCTTCGCCTCCTGTTCTCACGGCTGCAGTGCAATAATCCGCGAAGATACCGTTGGTGATCCATTTCTTGGCTCCGTTGACGATATAGACGTCTCCACTTCTCTCGGCCGTGGTGGTGATTCCGGCGACGTCAGACCCAGCTGTGAGGTTTTTAGCCCGTGTTTACTCGGATTGTTGTAAGGCCTTACCATCCGGCTCTGTCACCCCCAAGCAAAATCGAATATTTCCCCTCAGCATATCAGGGAGGAATCGTCGTTTTTGTTCGTCGTTTCCGAAGTTGATCACTGGCGGCCCTCCGATGGAGTTACCGCAGCCTAACGCCCAGATGATCCCGAGATATCCGCACCGGGCAAGCTCATCGATGACGACAATATCGTGGAACTCATCCCAGTCTTTTGGGTCAACGTCTCCGGGTAGACGCTGGCCGCTCAGATGGTCCGCTGCCAGTGGGAACACGCTGACGGCGGTGTATCCAAGCTCTGCGTGTCGCCTGTGAACCTAGTCGGAAGAGGAACATGAGTTTTGAATCTGTGCATATTTGGCTGCAACTTACTTCTTGCGGAACAGCACCTTGTTTCTCCCATTCCTCGCAGAATGGTGAAATATGCGTATCGACATACTCGCGTGCTTCTTTTTGAAGTCGACGGTGAGAATCCGTATAATATGGACTGAAGCTGCGATTCAACCACAGAGGATCGGCGAAAGGAGTGCTAGAGACAGAAGCCATTGTGTAAATTGGATAAAAGTTCTGAGAATTGCAATGTGTTCCGGTGATTGAGATGTATAGCTCGGACCGGGGGCAAAGCAAAACCGGACGGACGTGGATTTATAAATTGTAATTGGATCAATAGATAAACGAGAGCCGAGGTGAAAGACTATAACAACTTTGCGAATTTCATGTTCAAAGTGCTACGTAGTATACCCCAGCAATACCCCAGTTCAACCGGACCGTCCTTGTCGGTCCGAAGCCTAGGACCGAAGACCCGCCAGGCGGAGAACCCATCCGAACAACACTCCATGACTTTCTCACTTGATTATTTTGCGAAATACTACTGGAAATGCACAATGGAAGTATAGTTGATCCCTGAAACATCAGGCTTTTTGTAGTTTTCTGTGATTAAATTATAAGAAAGACAAGCTGCTCTGTAAAACACGTAGCCAACGCATTTTTTTGCTAAAATGTACTCGTTTTCAGATCGCAACAAAGACTTCTCCGATGATCTCTCAAGAACTGTAAAGCCAGTGTATGTCTATTCACATGGCTTCTTGGTTCCTTCTATAATGTCTGTCAGCACAGTTCTATCAAGCAAATGTAGCACTTGTAGAGTATAACTTACTGCAGCCACGGGGCTTGTCAGTCTCCTTAACCCATCCCTTAGGGGCGAGGAACCAAACTCCAGACTTGCCGTGTCTGTGCAGATAATCAGTAGATGGACAGATATTGAAGGGTGGAGTACTGACTCGTATCGGCAAGAGGGCGTGAATGTCGCGCCAACTTGGGACATTCCAGTGGTTGGGCTCGAGCCACAGGGATACTTGTAGTATGGGTAAGACCGTCTCACTTCACACGGGTTCCGGTCGTGCCATCCGTGGCGGTCATCCCAGTCATGATCATGGTCGCCTCCTCTGCCGCGCTCTTCGAGAGCTTCGAAGTCCGGCTCTGGGTCTGCAGTTGGCGAGGCCACTGCAAGCTCAGTGACAAGAGGGAGAAGCACGGCCAATAGATACATTGGAGACTTCATGTTGTATGATGGGTGTTGTATGGTTTAAAAAATAAATGTGAATAACTAGGCAAGGCAGCTAAGCGCTGGGTTTGATATCAAGACTTGAGTGGCTGTTGTGTTGTTGAGTGTGTGATGGATAGATTCAATTGAGAGGAATGTTTGCCAGCTTTATATCTCATCCAGTGGCAACAATTGAGAACGCTCCAAGAATCATGCTGATCATGAGGCGTTGAAACCTGGACGCAAGAGTGGAAATACGAGGATATCATATCTGCAACAGCTTCCTGTTCCGGTAGAAAGATGATCTGGACCATCTCGATCTGGTATAGCCTTTTATATCATGCGCCGGAAATATTCGTCCTATACAAGCTCAATTGAGGAGTTTCTATGCATGACGCGGTAGTTAGCAGCTAGACCTATGCAATTCAATTACGCATGCCCAGACGAGGATATAGTTTTCGATCGAGCAATATCACAGCCAAGAGAAGCCAAGCGAGGGTTTTCATTCATTGCAGCGACAGTTCCAAAACATCCCATGATATTTGAGGAAACCATTCTCTAGATTGGCCAGATCCCATATATCGCTGCTGCGTTGATTGGATCGCTCCCAGTGACCGAGAAATAGACCCACATACTCCCATCGTGGTAAATCAACCTTGGAAGAAGACCCCAAAGCCCGTCTAAGTTTGGCTATTATAATCCATGGAAGAAGATGGTCCACCAGTTCGTAGAGAGTGAGTGGAGCTGATGCCCGAAGGCACCAATCGGATTCCTTTCGCTTAGATCTTCATTGACATGTGCCAAGCAATGCCAAGCCTTCCCGGGGATTTAGGCAGCGCCTAGATTCCTCGTACAGCCGTTGAGATCAGGAGCCAAGGTTGATTTTGAAATTGGAATTCCACCCCATGGACAATACATGACATATTGGATATGTTGCACAAGGTTCTAGATCGGGAGTAAATCTTAAAACCTGAATCACATTCGCCAAGTCTTAAACCGACGGAGTACAATCGCAGAACAAACCCCCACATACGAAAGCTATGGCTTAGCTGAAAAGAGTCGAGCGATGTGGCCCGGATCGAGTGCAATCCAAGATTCTAACTGCGCTCACCTCGGAAACTTTAAGCGCCTCTTCGTATGCAAAAATAGCAACCTTTGAATCATGGACTCGGTTCTGGATATCTTGTTAGATCCCTTCTCTTGCTCTGATACCACCGAAGGGGAAATACCTTTCCTTCAGCATCATCATTAATCCTTGGACCAAAAAGCCCTTGATGATCTGTGGCAACAGGCCTTTGTATAGTCGGAAGAGGCCTTCGTTTTTGACAATGTACAGAAGAGCTTCGGTGAATCCTGCAAATGGAGTACCATTCCGACAAGTTGGTGGCTTGGATTGGAGCATTGTCTTAGCGACAATCAACGGATGTGTGGCGATGGTCGCTAGAACTTTTGATAAAGCCCCCAATACTGGACAATCGGGCAAAAAGGTCAGCAAAGTGGCCCGGAATATCTGAGACAATCGTACCAAAAGCATCGAAAGACCCGAGTCCCTTTCCATTCCTCAGAACAAGTAGCGCCTCCCTCAACCATTGATAAACACCATATGTGATCATGGGATTGATGACAAGAATCAAATTGACCTTCAGCCCTCGCCATAGACCCGTCCAGCCGTCACTGCGAATGATGTCAAGCATTGTCTCCCATATCGATCGTTTCGGCTCATCAACCTTCCGCGTTTGCTGTCGTGTAGATATCACCGCAATGGGGTTGGTACATAATTGCGCCAATGCACCTCCGACAGCACCTAAAAGTAGCTCTTTGGAAATACTATTTGCGTTCGAGAGTCCGTATCTTTTGAAGGTCGAGACTTGAAAGCCTCGTGCTGCTGTGGACCAGTAGAAATAGGCAAAGTTCATGGAAGCCGTTCCTAGAATAGAGCTTCCGAGACCACCGTAGAGACCAAGAATACCTTCTTCGTGGATGATTTCACGAATGCAATTGAGAATTCCATCATATTGCACCTGTCTTTTTGGTGCGCTCTCTATTATTGCTTGTTTCTCTTGATCGGGGGTGTTTTGCGGGTGTTGGCGAATCTGAACTTGTAACCGAGTCTTAACACTGGTCGGATTTAGCATCAGATCATCATTTGAATTGTTCATCACCATACATGTCGAGAGGGTATACAATCGTGTTGGCCAAAATGGCTGATGTAGTACCCAAGACTACCCCTTCCCAGGGCGATGAATGATGCTGAGACATTACAACAATGCGATCTATTGCTTCAGAATCCTGCGTTTTGTTCTGGGATTTATTCATTCGTTCCAATTGGTATGGATGGTAGTCACGGACCGAGCGGACCGAGCCCATAGACACTCGTGTCCGTACCTGCGGACTGCAGGCTACCCTAAGGTATCCTTTTATATTATATTCCCTGGCCGAGGGCTACAGTTGAGGAATTGTTCTACTTCCTCAAGTCGTATGGAGGGGGTGATGCCCCCTAGAATATTGCCACTGGGGCTATATCCGTCTTGTCCCAGCATTCCGGCCCCCAAAGTCCAGGTAGGTGACGGCATATTCGCAGCGGTTTGAGGGGACGGCTGCTTTTTGCTCGGATCGGCGCCCAATATGGCATAGTCTATCATTGACCACATGACTTCTTCGGAGCCAAAGTCCAGCTCGTCCATGAGATGGTTGGGATCAAGTAAGGTAGCGAATGGCTGAGAGATGGAGTGGAACTCGCGTAGCGACGCAGCCTAAATGATCTTGGGTAAGTGAAGGGTCATCCATCCAGACAGTTCAACATACAATGTTTCCAGCGTGAGCCCAAAGCTTCGCCAATCGCTCTAAGGAATCGATACATTGTTGAAGATAGATGGCACTGTTCGACTCGTGGCCCCTGTCTTGGTCAAAGTGTGAGGTCAGGGAGTGGATCCCCCCGGCTATGGCAATGCAGTAAGCGTAAAAAGAAGACTCCACAAGACACCCATGGTCGGTAGCTTGTTGAAGCAGGTCCATGAGCTGGATGGCATGCTCGCATCCATCTTGAAGGGCTCGAGATGAGAAACTAGCCGGTGCTCTGACCCCAAAAGGCTTCAGCCACCGCCGCACGAGGAACGGGTGGTTCAAGAGGCAGTGGCAGAGGTGGAAGAGGGTATGGGCAAAGATCAGATGTCCGATTTCTTGCCGATCGACCACGCCGTCAGCCTGAATGCTTCCGTGAAGGACGTCGGAAAGTTGCCAGCTCGAACTCTTAGAGTATGACTCTAAGAGCAAGAGCGACGAATTTATCGCAGAAAATTCCGATTTGGGATCCCATGGAGGAATCTCTTCCATTTTCCTACTCTGATGGACGTATCGTGTACATCGGCCAAAGATCGAAGCCATCAGCACCACCAGCGCAAATGGGCTAGGACTTTCGCTCAGCTTGGAGTTCCAGTCCAGCAACTGCCCGATGGTATTAGTTTTTCTCCATTCTCCCTGTCGGAAGGTGCTCTCGTCGCATGGAAGTTGGACTTCGCAATCCTCGTCTAGAATGATGAGGGGTCGAGAGCGCCCGCAGGAGATCAGTTTATCAAGTAAATATATTGACCAGAACGCCCTTCGGTGTTCTTCCTGCTCGGAATAAGACATCCACTGGTCGGGCTCAGACATGAGGTGTAAATCCTGCGATATTCGGGCGGCCAGGCCAATCTTGAGCCAACCCGACCGTGCGCGACCGGCTGCGAGATGATCAGCCAACCGTTCAGCCCTGGAGGTGATAAATGTTACCTGTATAATCAACAACTGCCAACAGATTGACCGTCTGGACGACATGAACATTCAGATTATCTTCCATGGTCAAGTGCTCTGCCAGAACCGATAGCCATGATTCTCGGGCGTATTTCTCCGACGCTTGACGCGTTTGGCCCGCGTAAAACTCATGCACTGAGAATCGCACCGCAGATGACAGCACCGCCAATATGAGACATCGTGGTAACAAGTTATTCTCTAACTTGTGCCGGAATGAGGATTCCTGGAAATAAGAGTAGGGTTGATTATGGACGCGTAAAAAGTAGGTGTCGATCACGGAGCGTAAAACGGGAGGGGGGAGCGATCTGCAAAGTCTTAGCATTGGCTTGTGTCGTCCGCGACTGGTGTCGAAATCCGCCAAAACTTACGTGTTGTCTTGGAAAATGGGCTGGGGCGGTGATAGCGACTGCGAGAATGTGTCTATGCCCGACACATGGTGGTTCTGGGCAATTGGGAATTGAGGCGTCCCGTCCCTAAATGCACCGAATCAGCCTTCAGTCACTCGAACCGCAAGGAATGACGCGTGAAGGGCGTACGGTTGGGTTGTTCCACTCAGTTGGGCCAGGCGCGACTCTATCGTGCTTATTCTTTGCAGCAATTCGACATTGTTCAGATTATTCGCGATCGCGGTCAAGGGTACGGTCGGATTCGGAGGAGGGTTGTCGGCGACAGTGGCTGAGTAGGGCTCATAAACGCAGGCCAAGCGGTTGCGTCGACAGTGGGAGCAGATCGGGCGGTCACCGGTACATTTGGTCTTCTTGCGTCTGGATCAACGATTAGGATTGCCCAATGGAATAGTGAGAGGTCTTACCTGCAGGTAGCACAAGCCTGTCGAATGCGCTTGATGCCCCCTGAGTCTATCATGTCCATGGCGGCACACGTTGAAGAATCAACAAGTGCGGGGGAGTGGAGTTGATGCCCCGGACTGGCGGGCTGGGCAGTGACGGGAGCAACGCAGCTGTCTTCAATCTGATACGAGGCCGATCTGATTCGTCGTCGGTGAACAGCAAGACCCGCCGTGATTTTCTCTCTTTAACTTCCCAATCGGGTAATTTGGGCAATTGGAAGACAAGGTCCCACTGGCCCCAGGGCCTCGCTTCTGATTTGTAGCGCAGGATTTGAAGATACCGCGAGATCGCACTGACAATGATTCGATTCTCTCTTTTCTTGCCTTCTTTGGTAAATGTTGCTTTGCCGCGTATCGTCGGCGCCGTCGCAGTGGAGCTCGAGATAGGCGTCGGCGACGATGCTGTGCCGCTGTGCTATAAAGCCAGGTACTCTTCTTGAATATATTCGGTCCTTTTCACGGTTCTCTTCTTTCATCCAAATTCACCCAAAATGACTTCTCGAGACGGGTTTCAATGGACTTCGGAAACAGGCCTCACCCAGGGTGTCTCTTCCATTGGTGTCATCTCTCCTCCCTCAAATATCTCGGCAGCCGAAGCAGGACCTTGGGATGTCATTGTTGTTGGCGCCGGATACACTGGTTTGACGGCAACTCGAGACTTGTGTCTTGCTGGTAAGCCAATCAAGCAAAGATCCGAGGTGGCAAAGCTTATGGAAAACTAGGCCACAAGGTGCTTCTCCTCGAAGCCCGCGACCGTATTGGGGGTCGATCGTGGTCCTCTAACATCGGAGACTACCCCTTCGAAATGGGCGGCACATGGGTTCATTGGGGACAGCCGCATGTGTGGCGGGAGATCTCTAGATATCGCATGCGGGAAGAGTTGGAGAATTCGTTCGATTTCTCGCGGGGAGTCAATCACTTCCAGCTGCGCACAAACCAGAGCGAAAGCGTAATGAGTCATGACGAGGAGGTTGGTTCAGATGTCGATTCAGATGCGGGCTCGACTGACATGCATAGGACACTCTGCTTGCTTCTGGGCTGGCCAAGTTCGTGGATGTGGATGGAGCCATGGGCCGGAAGATCATACCTTACCCCCACGATGCCTTTCACGTCCCCGAGGCGCGCAAGTATGATGCACAGTCTGCGGCCGACCGTTTGAAGGAGATTGCTCTTTCCCTCACGCCAAACGAGCGTGCCGCGTTGGAGAGCTTCGTCCTGCTCTGTAGCTGCGGTACCCTTGAAACCACAAGTTTCTTCGAGTTCCTGCACTGGTGGGCTCTATGTGGCTACTCCTACCAGGGATGCATGGATGCATTGATTTCCTACAAATTCAAGGGCGGCCAGTCTTCCTTTGCGATCAAGTTCTTCAAGGAGGCCCTCTCAACCGGTAATCTATCCTATTCATTCAACAGCCCTGCGCAGTCCATCAGTGATCAAGGCGACAAAGTGACACTGATAACCCGGAGCGGGAGTCAGTACACTGGGTCTCGCTTGGTTTCCACTATCCCTCTAAATGTGTTGAACACAGTCGCTTTCAGTCCGCCCTTGAATTCCCAACGTACTGCAGCGGCCAACACAGGTCATGTCAACCAGTGCGTCAAGGTCCATGCCGAGATCTCCAACAAGGATATGCGCTCTTGGACAGGTATCACGTACCCTTTCAATAAGCTCACGTATGCCATCGGTGATGGAACCACGCCTGCCGGGAACACTCATATCGTTTGCTTTGGTGGGTTCCACAACCACATTCATCCAGAAGAGGATATCAACGAGACAAGAAAGGCTGTTCAAAGCATGGCACCCGGAAATATGGATATCAAGCGCTTGGTAAGTCCAGCCACGGGTCATCGTTTGACAAGATATATGCTGACTGTATTCAGGTTTTCCACAACTGGGCGAAGGATGAATTTGCGAAGGGCGCTTGGTTCTTTTCCCCTCCAAACATGCTGTCAACTTCCTTGGATGCGCTGAGGTCTCGCCATGGAAATGTTCTCTTTGCTAATTCCGATTGGGCTGTTGGTTGGCGCAGCTTCATCGATGGTGCTATCGAAGAAGGAACTCGTGCTGCATTTACCGTGACGGAAGAGTTACGAGGCCCATCTGCTTCCCGCTCTCGTCTATAGAGTGGCTTCAAGTTTAGATATAACCCTGATTAGCTTGGTGTTTACGCCAAATGTGAATTGCTTGTTAGATAGGGTGATTGGTCGAAGAAGCAAAAAGCGTCAACATGAAAGAACTGATTTAATATTACCAAGACCATGTGAAATTCCGATCTCCCCGATATCTGCATGGAGTATTGTATCTTGAATTTCGCTCTCGAAAGGAAAATCACACACTTTCAGTTTGGATGTGGCAAATTCCCATTCGGATTTACACCCAAGAGACTAATGTTGATCCTGACAAACCCGAAGTCGATCCATAGACATCCCATGGCTAACTAAGTTTGGCTTGATTTTGGGATTGGAAAAAATTCCACAGCGAAGCCGAGTGGTATGGTATCATATGAGAGACTTGAGCTTTCTTGGGCTCAACACGGGTTCGTAGAGGCATCAGGCACATCGGTAGGCTCGGAAGTAAGATCCAGACAAAAGACCACATCGATTAGTGTGCGGATTAGCTTCCGATTACTCAAATCTCAGGGCTTTATCGTACATACACGAATCACAGAGAGCCTTGTAGTTGGAATTTCTCCTTGGAGAGCACCGTATCTTGGTGATAAGTCCAAGTTCAAAGTGGATAACCTTGGAAGACATTCAGAAACTCCACGTAATGCAACAAGATAGGGAATGTGATCAACAAGTAGGAAGCGGGTATTCTCAGTCCAAGTCCTCGTTTCGACATCCTATCATGTTGCCTACGAACGCACCTCGTCTATCTGCGCTGAAGTCCAGAGTCAAAATCCGGGGAAACACGATATCGATTCTGCAGGCTCTACCAATCAAAATTTACAGTAGAGTGGTTATTCTTCCATTTGAATTCCTCTTTAGGCAATTCTACCGCGCTCGTTACCTTTGGCTCCACACATGGATGCGATACGGGCAGTGGCCAAAATACATCGTCGAGGATTGGCTCTGGGAGTCAGCACTGATCTTCGCCCGTTTCTCTTTTCTACAGCCTATTTCGGTAATTTTTGCAATTTCCCCGCTCTACCACTTATCATCCCGATCATTCCAACCTGGAAGGTTGCCATTGTGATAACATTGTAGGTTATCTCATAGTTGGTATGCTGCTGGTGTAGATGGCTGTAGGCTCTTAAGCTTAGGCAGTTCCCACCTATTTTGAAATTATTGACACATTCTCTAAGAATAAATCGCAAAGATGTACTCCGAGGACATGAAATTTGAGCGGTGTATGTGCCCTACCTTTCAATGAGGCCTCAATTCCGTTCACTGACTTGGCATCCTACGCAGCAACCCCCACCGACACAGAGCGACGTATGTTAGCAAAAGACTAATACAATTGAAGTGACTTACCATTCTATAGAGTCAATCCAAATCGAAGGTCTTGTCGAACACATACAACTCAATGGCCTTAATCTTCAATCCGAAGCGACTCGTCAGATGTCCAATCTCGAAACAATATCTGCAAGTTGGGTGATTTGTGATAGCTGGGCTGGGGTTGCCGGTACTATTGCTTTGGCAATCTCTCAAGGTGGCCCTGTCACTCTGATTTACGGTCCTATTGCTACAATGGTTCTGGTGGGAGCTTGTGCATTGACTCTCGCAGAGCTGGCCAGTGTATATCCCACTGCTGGTGGCCAATATCACTGGACTTCCATTTTGGCTCCGAAATCTATCAACAAGTCATTGGTATGTCCCTTCCTTGAGTACTCCGCCCGTGAACTGACCCACGTGTAATACAGAGCTATTGCTGTGGAATCACCAATATGTTTTCCTGGATTGCCATCTGCACCGGAATTGCAATCATCCCAGCTCAACTGATCACCGGTATTGCTATATTCTACTACCCAACATACGTCCCTCAGGCATGGCACTCCTTCCTCATCTACCAAGCAATCAACGGCCTCGTGCTTCTATATAACATCACCCTCTTAAAAAGGTCCCTTTGGATACATGATCTCTCATGTGGGTGCTCCCTTGCTCTCTGACATATCTTGCAATGGCCTAACGATAATCTAGTTGTCATCACCATTGTCAGTTTCGTCGTCATCGTCATCACCTGTGTGGTCCGCTCCTCGTCCAACTACGAGTCCTCAAAGACCGTTTGGGCAACTTTCCTCAATGACAGTGGGTGGAGCTCTGGTGGCGTCGCTTTCCTCACTGGGCTGGTGACCCCGAACTATATGTACGCCGGCATTGACGGTGCGCTACACCTTGCAGAGGAGTGTAAGAACGCCAGCACAGTGGTTCCCCGTGCACTTATGAGCACACTGAGTATTGGTTTCGTGACTTCATTTTTGTTCATGATCGCGATGCTATACTGCACTCATGATTTGGATGCTGTTGTCCAGACAAAGACCGGGTAAGTTGAAATTGAGACCTCAGATGAAAGCGACATGACCTGATTGCTTCCAGTGTTCCGATCTACGAGATGTGGCACCAAGCTACTCGCTCAAGCACGGCGGCTACAATATTCGTTATTCTGGTCATTTTTGCCGCGACATTTGCACTCATCGGCGCGCAACAGACCGCATCTCGGTTGACATGGTCTCTGGCGAGAGATCGCGCCCTGATCGGCAGCAGATGGCTCAGCAAGACACACCCCAAGTTAGATGTGCCGGTCTGGAGTCTCATGTTCAACTATTCGGCAACATTCATCATTGGCTGTATTTATCTCGGTTCATCATCTGCATTCAATGCTTTCATCGGAACAGGTCTGATCTTGCAGCACATTTCCTACGCCTTCCCTGCCGCACTTCTCATGTACCGAAAACGGTCGAACCTATGGCTCCCGAAATCCCGATCCTTTCGCCTCCCTGGCCTTTTGGGCTGGATCACGAATATCGTCACTGTCTGCTTTGCAGTTATAGTTTTGATATTTTATAATTTCCCAACCACCTTGCCAGTGACTGGGACTAGTATGAGTGAGTTTACCGAGAATTCTATTTTATTATCACACCGCTAACCTCAATATAGATTACACATCAGCTGTCTTAGCCGTGATGGCTATATTTGCGGGTCTGAATTGGATTGTCTACGCTGGGAAGGAATATCATGGCCCTCGACTGCACTCAGGAGATCAACATTAGTTGAGAAAGTCGATAATGAATTACGGAAAGATCAGATTTGGACGACTCAATTCCCGAACCAAGGCCAGCTGAGCAGCGTAGACATTTTCCTTGGCTCGGATTTCCCTCTCGTATCTCCCGCGGCCAAGGAATTCCGTAGAGCGGAGATTCTTGGCGTGCAATGCCAACTTCTAAATTGTGAGATTTTCAATCATACATCTGTAATCTCATAAGAGATCTTAGTAACTCCCTTTTGTCTACTAATCTTCCTGACGACAATTCCTCCAATGTCACGAGTCTCAGGGAGGTGCGTTCCGCCACAAGCATACGCCCCGACGCCGACCACATCCACCACACGAATTGTTCCATCCTCCGGAGCCGATCCTTCAGGCACAGCAATGCCTCGAGCTTTGGCAGTCTCGATATCCCACCAATCGACCTTAACCTCTAGATTACCCTCAATCAGCCCAGATGCCTTCTCCTGAATGGCCGCCTTATGCTCTCCGGCAATCAGGCCTTGGAATTCCACAAACGCCATCCCAGGAGCATGGTTGGCTTTCAGCTCCGACACAACACCAACGATGTCTTCCAATTGCTTCACGGCAAGTCCGAGAATGTGCCCGGCTGTGTGATACCGGGAATGATAATTTCGCGTGGCGCTGTTGATGTTTTGCGACACCACATCGCCGGCATTGAACAATTTCTGCGGGTTTGCAAATGATCCAAGGTGGTAGATCTGATTGTCGGGTAGCTTTCGCGCATGCTTGACGCTGAAAGAGATTTCGTTATTTTGATTCATTTCGCCGATGTCGCTGGGCTGACCTCCGCCCTGGGGATGAAATATGGTGTCTTCGGTGGAAACAACATGATCACTTTCTCCGGCTCCTTTGAAGAACGATTGATCATTTTCTGCAAGGGAATGGATCGGTAGACATGAGACAATTTTGGTGACTAGGCTGTGAACAGCGGAATCCTTTTGATATACTGGAATTGAACGAGTGGCCTGGAAACAAGTTAGCGATGTCGGATTGCCCCAATGCGCGCAATTCGGCTTACCATGGCGAAAAGAAGGTGGCTGAAGACTAGCGGAAGCTGGAGCTTTGGAGTCTTACCAAGAGTGGCTTAGGGACACGCTCGCTTTGTATTTTGTGTCGATTTATAGTATTTCCGCACTCATTCCCGGGATGGTATTCCCGACCCCCCTTTATTTCCGAGGATCTCGGGAAAGAAGAATTTCGACCCAGGACTATATCGGTCGACGAGGTTCCTTGACTGTGTTTTTTAATAGTCCAGGACTAGGCCTCTACACCGGGAGCCTTGAAATATCTAAGTTATGATAGGAGAGAAATTCTACAGGGAAATTTTCGAAGTAACCAGATTGCCGTTGGTATTAAGAGAAATAAATCAAAAACACGCTCGAAATAGTCAAATATACATCAAGTGGAAGCTTTTAGAGTTCCTCCTCAACCTCCCCATTATGTTGACCAAGTTCAATAGACCACGAGAAGTTCTCAATGTCCAAAGTATCCTCAGAACCAGAGGCCTTGCCAGCACCGAAGTCCTTGAGGTTCCACTTCTCAACGCCCTCAACGCCTTTCAGCTCTTCGCTGAACTCAGCAAAGAGAGAAGCGTTCAGGCTCTCATACTCAGAGTAGTCCTTGGGCCAGTCACCAAGGCGCTGCAAGGAAAGCTTGAAGAGCTGAAGGTGGGCACGAACGTGCTCACCAACAAAGGCAGAGCCCGCGTCAGAGAGCTGGTCGTGCATGTTGATCTCGTAGGCAGAACCGTCCATGCTGAAGCTGCCGTCGAGGGCACCTTCGAACTCGGCGAGGGATGGGTCGACGAAGACGCGGAGGAGGGACTCGTGGACACCGGCGCTCTTCTTGTAGTACTTGTTGGCCATGTGCTGGCCGTTCTTCTCAGATTGGTAGCGCTGAGCAATAGCAGTGTAGAGCTGGGACAGCAGAGTCGACATCTCCAGAGTGCTGGGGTGGCGGGCACCGTTGACACGGCGGCAGTTGTAGACAATGTCCTCGGCAAGGCGAGAAGCCTTGAGGGTATCACCGACATGGTAGCGGGCAAGGATGTAGCGACGGGCAAGGTCCAGGGTCACGCCAGGAGTCCAGGTGGACTGGCGGTGACGGCTGTTCCAGAGGTCGCTGAGGAGCCAGACAAGGTTGTTGTAATCCTTCTGTTCACCAAGAAGACCAATCAGAACGTTCAGGTAGTCAAGGTTGATCTGGGCCAGGTTGATCTTCAGATGCATGATGACACCAAGGACGTGCTGGATGATCACCGTGGAAGTCCCGCGCAATTTCTTGAGAGTGGCAGCGTCGGGCTTGGGGGTAAGGCTGTGACCAGAGATGAGGACACCCAGAGTGAAAACGAACTTGACAATCTCGGGAGTACGGTAGACATCGTGGGCCGAGATGTAGGTGAAGGCAGCAATGGCCAGGTTGGAGGCACCGTCAAAGTTCTTGGCCTCGAGGAGCTCAAGAACTTTGGTGTTGGCCGCAATACCAACGGAACGAACGAAGTTCGAGGTCTGGTGGTGGGTCAAGTAACCAATGATGGTGATAAGGAAGACCTTAACGTGGGCAGTCTGGGTCAACTTGATGCGCTTGCCTTCGGTAGCAGTGAAGTAAGCAACGAATTCCTCGAAGACACGGTTGGCAGCATCCTGGCGCTTGTTGGAGAGCAAGAAGTTGTACAAGCGGGTGGCAGAGACGGAAACACTGTAGAAAGTGCTGCTCTTTGACTTGGTGACGCTGCGGAACTCCTCGAAGTACACGTACTCCGTGGTCAGCGAGGCGAGAATCTCAGTGATGCTGGAAGATCCATGGCGAAGGCTCTGCTGGAGCTGAGCGAGGAATGCAAGGCTCTGGCGGCCATTGGAAGAGACATCGAGCTGAACCTCCTTGGACTTGGAGGTGTCCTTCATGACGATCTGGCGGTAGAGTTCTTCGGTGAGCTCAACAGCCTTGTGAGTCTGGTTGGTGGCAATGTAGCTCGCGGCGATGGTAGTAGCAGCAGCAACCAAGCGCTCAGAAGAGGTCTCAGAGGTCAGAATCTGCTTAGTGGTCTCGTGCAGCTCCTTGGTAACGCTCTGGGTGTCGTTCTGCTTGGAGTGGAAAGAGACAACCTCCTGCAGCTTGGAAAGAGACTCCTCGTGTGCCCAGCCGTAGGTCGAGCGAGCAGACTCAATCCGCTTGCGCAGAATCTTGGTAACACGTTGCTTCTGCTCACTGGTGATAGTCTGCGACTTGGAAGTGGCAGTAGCAGTCTGTTCCTCAAAGATGCCATCGAGGGTGGCTTCAATTTCATCGATGTCAATGCCGGCAGGCTTGAGCTTCAACAGCTCTTCGTACAGCGCAATAGAAGTGCTCTCGTGAGTCTTGGTCTCCTGGCAAACCTTTGCGAGAGTCAAAGTAGCCTGCACAGTGATGGTAGCAGTAGCGCTAAACACGGTCTTCACCTTGCTGTGGAAGTCAACGGTGACCTTGTGGATGAAGCTGAACTCAGTGCGGTTGGTACGCAGGCAGTGAGTGTAGCGGTCGAAGATCTGCTGGACAAAGGTCTCATCCTGGAACTTGGGGCTCTGCTTTGGCTGGTTCAAGAAGGTAGTGAAGAGCAGAGTGAAGTAGTGGACGGCATCGGTGTAACGAGTCTGGGTCCAGAGCTCAGTCGCAACGATGATGATGGGTTCCAAAGCCTCCGGCTTGATAACAGGAGAGTCTCCGTTAAGGGCACGAACGATCCGCTGGTAGTACTCGACGAAGGCAGGGCGGGGACGAGTAAGCTCAGCCAGGGTGAAAAGGGTCTTAATCACGGTAGGGTGATCAGGGCCGTAGTGCTTGGTATAGTCGTCCAAGACCTCCTGGTAGGTGTTGATGACCTGATCAGGCTGGGAAGAACGCTCGTAGAAAGTGATCAATTGGTTCTTAACGGTTTCTCTGAGCTTGTCATCCACAGGACGCGCGGTGCGAACGGCACGGTACACACGAACACGGATACCCTCCTCGCGAGGGAAGCGGCGGCGGTAGTGGTAGCACTGGCTCAAACGCTCCGCGAGATCAATCGTCTCATTGACGCGCTCCGTAGGCAGAACAACATCCTGGATGGAGGGCGCGAACAGCGAAGGCCAGACTCCACGGAGAACCTTCTTGAGGACACGAGTAGCATCCTTCCAACGATGTTCTTTGGTGTAAATGTTCAACAAAGTGCTAGTGGCAGTGAAAGAGCTCTGGTCCAGCTGGGAGGAGCTGGAAGCCTCGTAAACGATCTCTTCCAAAGTGGACTCGGAGAAGTGAGATGAGGAAGTGCTGGCCTGCTGCATCACATGCTGAGAGGTGGACGAAATGTGCTTCTGGACCTCAGAGTAAGAGGAGGACCGGTTGATGCGCTGGTAGAAAGAGGCACAGTGCTTGAAGATGCTCAACGCGGCCACAGTCAGGCCGACAGTGGTCATGACCTTGGCGATCTCCTCGAAGTGCGAGGTCGAGGTCTCAGAAAGAGTGTGGGTGCTGTTCTTGTGCTCTTCCCAGACGCTAGACAGGATTGAAGAGGCCTCGGTTTCACGCTTCTGAGTCTTGAGGAACTTAGTGTAAGCAAGAACAGCACGCAGCTTGTGGTCCTCGGAAGTAGCACGCTGCCAGAGCTCGATGTACAGGCGCTCAGCAAGGTCGAGGCGGCCTTCTGCAGTGTACTTTTCGGCTTGGGTGACCTCGCCCTCGAAAGACTGGGACTTCTCGTGGACCTCATCGTGTTCAGCATGCAACAGGAAGCTGATACCAGTGTCGCCGATGTCCCGCTTGTGACCCTTGAGGCGAACGCTGAGATCACGAGAGTCATCAGCATCGTACTTGACAGCCGTCAGGGTGTGGATCTTCTGGGTCCAAGTCTGAATCTTCTCCTCCTCCTTGGTCACACGGTAGTGCTCAATGAGAGTCTTCATGACATTGACAGTCTTCTCGGACTTTTCACCGTAGTGCACCTGGTAGCACTCGACGATGACGATCAGAAGTTCTTCGCGCTTGGTCATAATCTCAGTCTTGGATGTGGTAACCGAGTCGGTGGTGAGCTCGAGGAAGATCTGCGCCATCTGCATGGTGAGGATGTTGGTAGTACCAAGCAGGGTCTTGCTCAGAGTAGTGATCTCATAGAATAGGGGGACAGCCTGGGGAGCCAAGTTGAGATCACGGTAGAAGAGAGCCAGAGAGATGATGGACTGAAGAGTTACGGGGCTCTTGGGGGTAAAGATCTCACGGCACAGGTCGGTGACAGTGGTGTGGTAGCTGAGCAGAGTCGGTGTGGACAGATTGCTCCAAAGAGTGGTCTGAAGAAGGAGGAGTGTAGTAGTCACAGGGAAGATCTTGCTGAACTCTTTGGCTGTGGGAGCGTTGCCACCGGTGGTGTAGGTGGTGGTCTGCTTCAGGTGGCGAGGCCAGTAGCGAACAGCAAAGTCAAGGAGAGCGTTGGTCTTGACACGAGGACTGACATCCCGACCATCGAGGGGAGTGAGCGAAGGCTCGTTGTGCTCCGGAACAGCGTGCTTGATGTAAATCAAAAGACGAGTAACGAGGTCGGAGTGACGATCCTTCACGGTAGGAACCAGCTTACCCTTGGAGAAAACGTCCAAGACGGCGGTTCTGATGAGGCCATGGCGCAGATAGACCTGGCCATCCTGCATGAAGATAAGAGACTTCAGGGGTCTCAGAACCGAGTTAATCTTGATCTCGCGCGGAACAACGGTCTGAGTATCCACCTGAACGGAAGCCAGGGCCACAAGCTCGCGGGTAAGCAAAGGACGATCGGCAGTTGCAAGCCAAAGCAGCATGTGCTTAGCTTCCTCAGTTACACCGGAGGGCTGAAGGGCATGGAGAACAAAGTCCGCAATGGTAGGCTTGCCCTTAATAAGGGTTTCAACAACCTTGCGGACATTTTCGGGTGTCTGTTCCTGGCGAGCACGCTTGGTACACAGCTTGGCCCAGAGGAAAGAGCCGCGAGAAGCCTCGCTAATCTGGTCAACCAGAGTCTCTTGCTCCATCTCATCCATCGACAAGAAGCTCTTGGTCTCGGAGGCGTCCGTACTTTCGGTGAAGTGACTGCGCACAACAGTTGAGATGTCATCGGTGATGCGGTCTCCACTGATAGGAACCTGCATCACACTAGCAGAGGTCTGGGGCTTCTCGGCACCAAGGGTAATCAGTCTGACATTGGTACCATTGGAAGTGGCGGTGATCAGTTTCTGGAGCAAGTGTGCCTCGCCGCAGGAAGACTCATCAACACCATCGACAACGATGACAAGATCCTTAGCACGAGCAAGCGCGGCAGCAAGGGCTTGCTCCAGTGCGCGCCAGAGAATGTTCTCATAGACGTCCTCCTTGGTCGCCTTCTTGCTGCTGTCATAGGCGTCGTGCAGGATCTGGAGGAGCTGGACATTTCCAATGCGCTTCTCGAAGAGCTGGAAGAGAATTGCTTTAGCAACGGCAATGGGGGTAGTCTCGGCGGGGATTCGGGCGTTGATTGGAATGAACAACGACTTGTAGCTGACGCCACCGATGTGGTCCTGCAGACGGTCCACGATGACAGAGGCCAGGACAGTCTTTCCAGATCCTGGGGGACCAGTGAATGCAAGAGCATGCTTGTCACTCTTCAAGAAGTGAGTGAGGTATGGGTTCATCCAGAGACAGGTCATCTCCTCGCGCTCGTGGGCCAGGTGGGAGGTGTTCTCGGCGAGGTGGCTGAGGACGCGGTCCTCGGGGGACAACCAGGTACGGATCGACTTGACAACAGAGACTAATAGTAGATGGCCAGTTAGTTACAGTTTCACATCAAGAGAGAATGTGAAGAAGGTCTTACCAAGCTCGGGGTCCTTGCTCTCGTTGAGGAGCTGGTGACGCCACATGGAGTCGGAGATCTTTGCACAGCGCTCACGGAAAGACTCAATCTGACTGGTGAAGGTCTCATAAATGTTGATGGAGATAGAGCCCTCAGTCAAAGCGTAGATCGACTGGTGGAAGTGGGTAGAAACACCAGCGACCAAGGAGACCAGGTCGGCCAAAGCCTCAACGAGCTGATCCTTGATCTCTTGGGAGACAGCAAACAGCTCGGTGCGCTCAAGGAGGTTCACCAGGGACGAAGAGGTGCTGTAGAAGAATCCAAAGGAAGCCATCAGGGCAGGCGCATTCTCCTTGCCAAGCTGTGATAGAGTTAGTATGGCAGAAGAACATGTTTATAAGCAATTGCGTACCTCAAGGAGCATGGCACAGTAGCCATAGGAAAGCTGGGCTGCGAGCCAGCTGCTTCCCTCGAAGTCGCGGATCGCGACGTCAAAGGAATGCAGGCGCTCAACAAATAGCTGAGCCCAGGCAAGAACCTTGTCGTAGCTGCTGCCCTCAGGGGGCAGATGGCTCATGCGCTCAGTAGCAATCCATTCCAAAATGGTGGCATGGTCAGTGTTGAAGAGGGTAGAGTGTGTGTTCACACCCAGCTCAGCGCCGCTCTGGCGCTGCAAAGCCTGGATAACACCGGAGAGCTTAGAGCTACCGACAGAGGTAAACTTCTTGGACACGAAGGAAGATTCGCGGCGAGAGTTGCTCGGACGGGAGATGCCACTGTTAGAGAGGGAGTCGCTGTCGAAAGCCGACATAGTAGACACCTTTCTAGAGCTCCCAGGGAACTTGCTATAGAGAGGGGAGGAAAGATTTCCGGGGACAGGAGACATGATACCGGGGGCCATGGTGACTTTGAGGGTGACTTGTTTGTTTAAAGCGGTGGGTATAGAGACTGAGTCGGGTTGAGATTTGGTATTAGGGACAATGGGACGAGAAGGGTGATCTGATAGAGTTTCTTTGGAGCAACAGCTCTTAAAGCAACAGAAGAATCGACACAAACCGGCAATCTGGTTGGTGAAGAAAAGAGAAGTGAGAAATGCTGTTACCACATAAGCTCAAGGGTATATGAAATTGGAAGAAGAGAAGAAGCGCCAACAATGAGGGAACAGCTACGCTTTTGTAGCAAAGGGATGTGGGCACATGTAAATCCCAGTGATATCACTCTGGCTAATCTTTCCGAGTCGAGATCGAAGAAACCTACTAGTATGTCATCAGACTCTCAGTCCATTCCCAAAAATCTCATCTTAGGGTGGAGAAAAGATTCAGCTATGATACATAAAAGCTGACGATCCCCTACTTTGGCCTTCCAATGTAGCTGGAACAGCTACAGATTGGACCGTGAACTACGATCAAGTGGAGAATTTTGGAGGCAAGGCTTGCTAGAAAGCGTGGTGGGCAGTCTTCTCCTTTCTTTTGGGACGTACCGAGAGTTCGAACTTGCATAAGATGGACCTCAACCAAGCTGGTGGTGAGGCACATCGACCCAATAGCAGCCCATTGAGCCAAAGAGAATGGTTGGAGTGGGCTCAGCATATCATTCCGTGTCCCAGCTTGGTCGGGATGACCGTGGATCATGACCAGCCATCATGCAGGAAGATGGGGAGAGTTGATAGTGCGCCCTGCCTCGCCATTGAGGACCCAATTTTCCAGACGCAAGCCATCTTTTTCTTGATTTGCTGTATGTACATGCTCCGTACAGGACGGAGTAATGCGAGCTTAAGATACACACATATCTGTCATTCCCAATTTAGTACAGGCCTATTTTCGGGGTCTCCGTTAGCGCCGACAATACATCACCTCCGGTTTGATGCATACATCCTCGTTGCAAAGGTACAACTATCAGATGTGCTCCGTGCATCGGGAGTGGCTGGCTGACCACGATCCCATGCTCGGCCATCAGTGAATGCTGTGGGACCTGTACGGGGTGTATATGGGTCATCTATGTATGCCGGTAGCCAATGAAGTATCCACAGCTCTGAAAGTGACGAGTCCCATCACTCGGACGAACCGTTGATCTATTGGTACAGAAATCAGGCAGAGACCTGCGCGGGGCTATTCTCCTAGCATATCTCTAGCTCAATGATCGGTGATGCAGAATCCACAGCTCGTGCATGATAAGTGACGCAAATATCCACCTATCTCCCGCTGAGTACCGGTTCGATCAACCGAGAAGGATCGTGGGTCGGGGTTTGCAATTCTTGCCATCAACACACCTGAACACGGGGGCTCGTACAGTACTGGTAGAGTACAAGTACTGCACTACTGGCTAGACGCCCAATCGTTTGCTACTGGAAACCCTTGAAGCAGACGGTCTATAGTATTTCGGATGAATCGGATCAAGCCCCTTGCACTCTAACTACGGAGTACACCGTATGAGTCTCCTTGGGGAGATGGTCTGTGGAGTGCAAATGAAACCAGAGGTATTTTTCTCAGCGTCTTGCATTAGGGTAATGGGTCTTGATGGGGAGTGACTGGAACAAAAGTGGTTCATCGAGATTTTAGTGTCGCTTAGTGCGTCCACTTCGATATGCACCACCTCATTACATACTCCATACAGAGTACATACATCCCGGCTGGGGATACAGTAAATCTTACATTCAGATACGTTTCCCAGGTTGTACTAGCTCGACGACCTGTCAAATTTCGGATACGGCGTGTTATTATGGATGCACCTTCGGCACGTTCCGTAATTAGATTACTTGTCCTGTGATATAGTACCGAGTGCTCAACATGGAAATCCAACAGCTACGGTGCAGATGTTTACTGTAGTACACCTGTACGGACTACCCTGTAAGTTATATCGTACAATAGATCCATGCCTCAACTTACGAACTTTCGCTTTTCAGTATAAATACAACTTCTTCGGAAATAGGTACCACGTACGGAGTCCCCCGGATCTCTAAAGCTTTCGAATGCTCCGGACAATTACATGCATGAGGTAGGAGTATGGAGTAATTCCAAATTCCAAGTTCTCCCTGTGGTACTCCGTACTTCTGGCAGCTCCTCTCAGGGGGTCTAGCTCCCAAAATTTACGAACTACACGAGAAGCATGTTGTGCCGACCAGGAGGGATCTCACCATTGGTCCATGATATTTCGAAGGCAACGAGGCGTTTAAACGGGTGTCTGCTTCTGAAGGCAATCAGCGAGCTTACGAGACACCCATAACTGTCCGGCATTTTGTTTCTTCAAAATCCTCCGCATGGTTTTTTCGAATTTGATTTTTTCTGCCGACCCTGCCGAGATCTTCAGAAGCACTCCGTACGGAGTACGCTACGGAGTACTTGTCATTAGCTGAGCTCCACTTCTACTCAGCTTGAATCGAATCTATTCGAATTCACGTATATTAATCTCAATATTGTGTGATATTGCCAGCTGAGATTGTCTGAGCCCTTTAATATCTTAACTTATATGTCAATTTATGAAGGCAACAGATCAGCTACCACTAGCATACTCCGCACAGCCTCAGACTCCAGCGGTAATGATGCATCCTCCGCCGAGCATCGGAACAGGAAGGAGCATGGTCGAGTCTCGGATATTTTGATTCTTCTTTTTTCCTCACTCGGTTTGGCCTGAAAGGCGAAAACCCCCAAAATCGGACCCAAGATTTGATGTTCATACCCATCGCGTCCTGAGCACCGGGGGCCTTCGAAACGTGAGGGGAAATCGCGCAGACCCACATGTCGCTTAGATTTGCTCGACGATCATGTTCTTCCGTCCTTCCGTCGAGTCGATTTCCCGCCTTGAACCTGATTGTACATGCATACGACAGAATACGTCTGTGCAATGTCAAATTCATCATACTACTACGTAGTACCAACTTATTCGCTGATGGCTATGGTACTAGAGCACCCGTGGGTAGAACGGAATTGTTATTTCAGAACAGTACATCCTGTTATAGAAAAACTGGAAATTATTTTGGAATATTCTGCAAAGAGACAAACGATCCTGCACACTGCCCAGTGTGGGGCCAGCCAGTCGCAATGTGAGGAACAAGTCTGACTCGTAAAAACAAACGTGCACGTGCATGACACTGGCAATTCCAAATACTCATTTTGCCCGATGGCATACGATTGGAGCCTCTGGGGTGTCCCGCATGTCAAATTGTTTATGGTTCTTACCTGACACTGATCATTCTCCAGAAGCGCCCGGGCGGACCATAGACGCAGCACGGGTACCAAACCTTGGAAGTGACACCCATGGATTGACTTTCCCTTCTCCGCAATGCGGTCATAGCTTCCAAGGTTTGCGCATCGCCACCTGCCAACATGCACCACTCCAATTCTCATACAATTGGCTTTTGTGGTGATTCCCGAGGTCCCCGAATGTTGGTATATATTATCATCTCATATATTCCAAACTGTATGGACCGTCGGAAGCACGTACTATGTAACTCTGCCCATGACTCTCAAGTACACGTAGAACAAAATTTGGACCTCGGGACAAAATATATATCTCAAACTGAACTGAAACTACTCATCCCGTGCGAACCGCAAAAAACAATTTGCCTGCATGCAGGGGAGTAATGCACCTCAATTCCAACCCTCAACCCTGCAACATTGCCCCTACCTAGTACCTAGTAGGTCGCGATCAACCTTAGAAAATCTTACCTACCTAGGTAGTAAAAAAAGACGATGGGAGAACTACCTAGTATGACCCTACAGGCAGTGCTGGAGGATGTCTCAGACCTGCGAGGCTATAACACGAAACAGAAGCTACTCCCTGAAAGAGTGCGTAGTTGCTTCATCTCTCCGACCGTAGAACTGAGGCCTCGAATACTCCCGAGGTCTGCCCGTCTCTATGAGTGCCTAGATGAGGCTACCTAAAACCTTGCAATGCAGCGCTGCTCCCCATTACACTAGGTACTCGGTAGTCCTCTATGTAAACTTTGTACATATTTGTGAAACCAAGCATCCCAAGGTTTATCCTATGTAAAGTACTAGCTACCCAGACGAGCAGTCAGTCACGGTTCCTAGCCGGGACCTCAAATGTCCATCTGGGCATCTCGGATGGAGTCGACCTCGGGAGTGAATCGGTGGAACGAACCTTAAATTCGATTTGATTAAATCGTTCCAAGGTTTTGGTAGAACCTTAGGTATATCTGATCATCCCGACCTCGGGAGAACCCGATGTCGTTCATGTCGTTGGCGAAAATGCGACGATTACCTAGGGAGGGAGCCTTGGAGGCTATTGGAGAACCTTGGAAAGTGTAACCATCCATGGTTACTAGGTACGAAATTCTACCTAGGTAGGGTTGGCACTCGGGAATGACCTCGGAAGCCACGGCTCTGGAGAGCGTACTGAAATTGAATGAAAATTGTATTTGCGTAAATGAGGTAAGATAAGACATGAGATTCACATCGAATAACAAATCGCGTGAGATTGGATATATAAACAATTAAATCGCCTCTACTCCAAACGACGTTGGGTGTATTCAGAGGCTCATTTTGACCAAATCAACTCCCGCCTCAAGGTGAACAAGACTCCAATCATGTCAAGTATCACTGAGGCTCATCGAAGAAGTGCCGAACCAAAGCATCCAAGCCGGTCCCAGCATGCAAGTATTAAGGAAAAAAGGAAACAAAAATGCAATCACTCGGAATCGGTCTTGTTCTTCTCGGCCTCGGGTGAGAACTTCCAGCGGTCCCAGTTCTCGAGCACCCACCAGTTGGCCACATACGCGGCGTTGTACAACCAGTTGAGAGTGTCTTCGTCATAATCCGCCTTGATCGTGGTGGCCAAATCCACCAGACTGAAGCGCTCGATCGGGCTCAACTCATCCGGGTCCTTGGAAAGATCAGAGAATCGCCATTCAACATCGTTGACGAGGGGAATGACAAGGCGGAAGTCGGGCTTCGCGGCAGATCGGACAGAGAGCCAAGATCCACCGGTGTTCATGACGGTGAATTGCCAGGCTTCACGGCCGTCTTCCTCAACGACCTGAGGACGGATCAAGGATTGGCCCTCGTACAGGGAGCGGAGATCACGCGCGGAGCGGGTGCTGTCTGTGCTCAGGGATGCGGACTCGATCAAGAGATCGATGATTGTGGGCACGATCTGGCTGTTGACGACAGGGGTATCGATTTGGACAGGAGGAAGCTTGGGGTGGGCCAGAACAATGGGAACCTTGAAACTACCGACGTGGGGGTTGTCGTAAGGGGTGACACCACCATCGTTGGGGAGGGAAAGACCGTGGTCACCAGCCATGACAAAGAGGGTTTCGTCGATGATGCCCTTCTCTTCGAAGATGTCAATGAGGTCGGAGAGCCAGTCATCGACGTAGCCGACCGTGTTCAGATAGCGGTTCAGGTCGTTGTTGGGACCTGCGGTGGAGCCCATGATCTTCTCGAAAGCGTCGTTGGGTACTCCCCAAGGGTGGTGAGTGGTACTGGTCAGGTGGCTGAGGAACAGACGCTTGTGCTCGCGCTCAGCGTCGTCAATTGCATCGCGAATGTATTCCTTGAGCTCGATCTCGGGATAACCGTAGTAGTTAATCTCGGCGCTCTTGACAGGGCCGTGCTTCGCATCAGGCTTGGTGATTGTTTCCTTGGTCTCCTTGTTTCGGAATCCAAGATGAGGTGTCAACTTGTTCTGGTTGTCGTACATTTCAGTGACGGACATCATGAAGGTTGAGTGCCAGGGCCATTTGGTGAAGTCATCAGTGTCGCTGGTAATGTCTGGCTGTTGGCCTAGAATATCGAAGACCTGGGGCAGACACGGCTGGTAGATGTGGTGCTCGAACTCACGGTTGAAGTCAGCCACCAGTGGGGTCACACCACAGAAACTACCGGTCAAACTCTTCAGGGTATAAGTGGAGGAAGTGATCGCGTTCTTGGCACTGATACCACCGTAGGCCTTGCGCCCGTGGAACCGAGTGTCGTCGTGGTCGAAACCAGTGCGGAAGTTGGTCAAGTACTCGGCGGTGCGAGTCAGGTTGCCAATGCGGTCTTGCACCTCGGGGGGGATTTTCTTGTCCTTCCAGGTCTCCGCAATGCGCTTCCACATGAAATTGTCCTTTTGAAGAGGGAAGATGTCGTTACGGGCACTCTCGAGTTTGAGGAAAACGATGTGCTTGATCTTGACATCACCACTGGCAAGGGCATTGTGGACTTCCTCAAGGACTGGCTTGTTCAGGTTGGTAATGAAGAGAGGGTCCTTCTCCGCGTTGTAGTGGAGGGCCAGTGGGTCATTCTTGTCCCAGTCGCTGAAACCATCCACGGGCTCATTCGACATCCAGCCCCATCGGGGTGGAGGGGCCAAAGCACTGGCTCCGTTCAGATAATCGAAGTAGCCGGGCATGCCGGTCGTGTCAACGGGCGAATCACGTTCGCCACCCTCGAAGACGGTGCTCAGAGGCAAGGTAGTGGACAGGTACATATAGACAGCATTCGATGGTCGCAAGAAGCGAAGAAGCAAGAACAGACTGAACAGTCCCAGGATGAGCGCCCGTTGAGGAACACCATCAGTCACCCGCTTCGACTCCGGGAGGGGGTTGGGCAGCTGAGTGTTCAACAGGTGGTCGCCTTCTTCGTTGTCACTGTCTCCATCTTCCATCGCAATCTGCTCGTAAATTCGAGGATCGGGCAAGTTCGAGTCCTCCTTCGACCGGGACGAGAATCGCTTGAGCACGGGCTCGAGGCGTTGTAGCAGGGGCTCGATGTGCGGTCGCACCCGCGCGAAGACCCATCGGATGGGCCACGCCCACACGTGGAGGATTCCTCCAGTGATGGCGTGAATGGGGCGGGCGGCGAAAATCGAGACAGTCAACAGAATACCCTCGACAATCAGGAAACCCGTTAATCCGGTCAGAAGGGTATGAATGGCGGCGGCGTCGCCGTTGAAGGATTTGGCTTGGCGCCAGTGGATCTCGGCACCGGTAAAGACGTAAAAGGAGGTGTTGGCCGATGCCATGAACGAAACGATCAAGCTGCAGTCCCGTTAGCCCGATTCAAAATACATCGGCGTGCCGAACGTCACACACGAAAAGGGGCACGTGGTCACTTACCTAGATGGGATAACGAGCAGTGCCAACACTGCGGCGGCCGGTCGCCACGCGACCCTCTGGGTGAGGGTGCGGAAGAGCAACAGAATCGCCACATCTTGGAAAAAGAAGGTGATGCCCCAAAGGAAGAAGCGCGTCGCGGGGAGGGAGTATAAGTGAGCGTAGAGATGAAGCAATTTTGCGCAAAACAACGAGAGGAAGGCAAGGGTGAAGAAATAGCGGCGGGCAAAGTCCCACACGGCATCCAGGGTCTCGCCAGGCGAGACTCGAACACGCCGGATGCCGTGGCTCAGGTAGGCATGGACGGCATGAACAACTTTCATGATGGTGTATACGGAGTACTCTCACATTCACACCCCGGCATGATAAGAGGAAAAGAAAAAGGGAAGGGGGGGATGATCAATTGAGCCCCAGCCAAGACTCATGGTCCTTCTATTCAGGGTCGCAAGTGGAGAATTTCACCATCCATCGAGAAACAGGGGAAGAGAATGGAGAATTCGGGGCCAGTCAGGAGGCCGCAAGGGAACCAGGGACCACTGAAAGGAAGCCGTTGAAGTTCCACCTTGCCAGTCAGGTCGTAGAGCCACTGGAATAGCCACGGCTCAATCCTCCAATGTCCTCCATAGGGTCGCAGTGGCCCCCAAACGCCCCCCAAAGCCAAGAACCCATCGGCCCCGCTCCGCCGAATACGTGATTCTGGTCGTGTGCCCGGTTGCTCTTTTGCTTTTTCCGGTTATTTTTTTCTTTTCCGTGTGGCTGGAGTCGGCTGGGTATGTCTGCATTTGGTTGGTTAGGCCTTGGGGAAGGCTGACTTTGAGCTGGTTGGGGGCGGATTTAGGCTGGCTCCGGCGTCAAGTGTGGGCGTTGGCGAAGGTTGGCGGGCATTGGCGGATGAGCGAGGATTTTGCCTGCTCAGCCCGTTCTCGTTCCCCTTTCCCGTCTTGATCCATCTCGCTCCCCCCCGTCCTTTTGAACCACCCAAATAATGTCAATACCATGTTAGGTGGCATATTCGCGTGGGTTTCGCTATTATTCGAGCCTTCGGCTTTTCAAGTGCCACTCATTCAACCTCAACCTCGTCTGAAAGCCGAGGACTCCACCCCCCTCAAGCCAATCTCGACCAGCCTTCCCTGGCAGGACATTATCACCGGTGATTATGGACATCCACCGAAGTTGAAAATCCACGACCGTGAAAGTACCATCAAATGGAGTTGGGAACGGAAAGATGTCACCCAGGACCTTCCGCCTCGTATTCGTAGCGGCCTGTTCGGCCGCGCGAACGATGCGACGGAGATGAAGTGGATGCGTGATGGCAAGAGCGTCGCTGCCATCTACAGCTCCCTCATTGTCGTTATCAACCATACCCCGGACATCCCATCCATCGATAAGAAAATCACCTTCGCCGTCAACCGAGACACCGACGTGCTTTGGAATGCACACACCCTGGAACCCTTGCCCGGCGATCGCCTCGCTGTCGCTACCACGGGACAGCGACCCTGGGATGGCATCCAGGTCTATAACATGAGCTCTGCCCTCCCACTCGAGGACGAACCGCCCATTCTGCAGACGGTGGAGGGTCTCCGCGCCATTCACGCCATGATCTGGGATGAAGAGGGACAGATGCTGTGGGCATGTGGCACCAATGTCGCTGCGGACGGATCGGACCCGGAACCTGCCTACGGTGTGATCCAGGGATATCCATTCGACAACCAAACGGGTCTGCTTCGGGAAGACCCTGCCTTCAAGTTCACTTTCCCCGAGTATTGGGACATCGACACCGAATGGGGCCACGGATACAGCTGGTGGTCAGGTCCGCATGACCTTGTTCCCGTGCCGAATGAGCGCGTGTTCCTTGTCTCCAATGACATCGGAGTACAGACCTTTGACATCGCGACGATGTCTTTCAGCCTCGGTTTCCAGGAGACCATTGATAAATACATGCCTGGGTTCGAGTGCACTTCCAATGATCGCCACGGGATCAACCGCCAAGGTGAATGGGAGGAGCTTCCGTACTCTGATCTCAAAGGGTTCAGCCTCGCGCCTGACGGAGCTTTCATATACACACAATCACTGTGGAAATTGTTCCGTGGGAACCATACCAGTCTCGTGGTTGATGGAGTGCGTACCCAGCTCATGGAGGGGAACGAAATCTACCGGTCGCGATTCTTCGGCGACATCGATGGCTGGCCCAAACCGAAGACATAAAGAGTTCCGGTGATGTCTGTATAGTGCCTTATAGAGAAATAATGAACATCCAATTGGACCTCTTGTGCCCATATGCGCCTGATAATTCAAGATACGCAGCGTTCTATTTTACGGCACAGTAACTAGTTAGTCGTCAGATCTAAGTTATCCTTGAAATGACGAAATGTATACCGCGATACTCGGCCCTATAAGGCCAGCCTCGTTCAAAAGCCGGGTTCTAAATCGCACCGCCACACCACCCGTGTGCCAAGACCGCTAAATGCCACCCTGCACGCGAACAGCCCGAAGGCTTCGGTGGCAGTTCGCGATTGGCTGTTGGTGAAGGTCTCCGTGCGGGTCCGCGCGGCCTCAACAATGACGAGCTGAATGTTTCATCCCTGTCCGAAAATAGTAGATCCCTGCGTGATACGATGGTTTAATTTTGAGGCGTCTCGCCTTACTTGCTAAAACGGTTCAGCCCTTTATCAATGCTTGATTGGTTTCACCTTATCATACTGCCCATTTTCTTGTGAGATCCCCTGTTTTGTATACATTACATCTTAATTGCCTGTGATAACTCGCAAATGTGTTGTGGATAGAATGGGGTTGTCAGCACCTGCCAGGTGGGCATTGACCTAGGTATGCGCGAGGTCTCTTGATTCGCCAGAATTTGCTTTGAGCGTGGGTCTAACTCCGTTCATAGGTGTTCGTTGCGCTCCGTGTACGGAGTAAAGGAACCCGACCAATGTCGAAAGACATTCGGGGTAAATCCCCAAGGTTCAAGGTTTCTGCCGGAAGCATCTTATCTTCCAGGTTTGTTTTGGTCTTTAACTTGGAAGTAACCTTACCTAGGTATGTAGGTAGAAGAGCAAGAGAAAACGTGCCTGAATATATCACCCGGCAGCCTCGGGCGTCACTGTCGTACCTAGGACACTATACGTACCATTTTTCCTCTACAGGGTGGGGCTTTCCTATCTTAGCTGCCGCTTTTATGAGGGCGCTCAGCGTCAGGCTCACTGAGTAAATTTCAGTCCGAGTTCAGACTCACTGCCCAGGTGAGCTCCAGGGCTGCTCAATGCCATCACGTGATCATTCGTGAGGTGATTCCAAGGTTCCAAGCCCTGGACCTCCAGAGGGCTCGGGAGGTTGCCAGGTGGTTGCTTACTACTCCGTAGCCCATCACTGATTCCAACCTCCAGGGCTTGGAAGGTTAGGTTAGTTCATCACAGTGAGCCACGGACGGGTCCCGCCACGGATAGGTCTCTGCCCAGGTGACTCTCACCGGGGCAGGCGCTGAATTCGGCTCCGCCTTACTCAATCTCCGCAAAATACACAAGCTTAGCTCCTTTCGACCCACCTCAAGCTACGGTTCAGCCTAGGATCTCTTTGGCGCGTTTTCTAACGTGTCTCTTGTGCCACTTCATTCCCAGAGCTTAATCCGTGAGGGCAGCTTTTCAACATGGATCTGCCCGAGAAATTCCCTCCAAGCATGGTCCTAGCCGAAGTCGCGGACCACCTCCACGATCACCACAGTGACCTTCGTGTGGCGCTTTCCACCAACCATGTCACATATCAAGAAGCCCTGGCCGCAACTAGGGAATGCGTGCGTGGTCTGCCCGACCGCATCCTTCTACCAACCACCAACCCAGCTCGGCGAGAAGCCTTACGAAAACAGGCTCTTGAAAATGAACGTTCGTCACAGGAGGCAACCCCTTTCTCATCAAGCCGCCAAATTCGTACGACGGGCAAACTGGATCCAGAAGATTGCCCCAAGCCTCTTTCTCCAGGTCGTCGGGCCTTGCTCAAGAAGAAGTTCCTAGACGAAAATACTTCCCCGCCGCGAAAGCCTTACGTCCTCGATCTACGTGCTTTGCGCACGGAGCAGAAACTAGCCGCCGTGGTCGGAAACGCTACGATCACTGCTGTTGATTGGGAACCGGGTATGCCGAAATGCCAACTCAAGGGAATCGAAATGCTCTGGGATACCGGCGCTGCCCGGACGGTCATTACGAAAGATATCCTCGACGAAAAGTTTCAAACACACCTATCTGATCCTATCCACAGAGATTACCAAAGCCAAGATGCCACTCGTGTCCAGATTTCATTCACCCTCGAATTTACTAACTCACTGTTGAGGATGGACCTTATCGCGTGTGTCGTGGACAAAGAAGCCCTGCCAAACACGCGTTCGGGCATTATCCTAGGACAAGCAGGCTTCATCGACGCACTCCAGTACCGATCAGTTCCGCGGTCAATCTTAGAGGCTAGAGGGGAGACGATTCACAAAAGGTTCTGGGGAGATTTAGTCCTGGAGAGCTATGTTGATCTCGATGGAGCCTTGAGGGAGATCGTTTAAGATCATCTCACTTCGTTGATCTCCCTCCTCGACAGCGCAACGGAAGCATCTTCCAGGCAAAAGTGCCTTCACTCGCTCTCCGGTCATAGACCCATCGTTGCCATTTTCTCGGATTGGCCGCATCGTTCTTGGGTCATATGGCTGGAGTAGATCTTCAAAGAATTCCGCCTCGTGAACAACCCGTGATCGTTCCTCCCGAACAGCAGTAATATCATCCGCGTTCTCCTGCAACCACTTCTCATACGCATCGAGATCTAGCTCAGTGCTAGATACTTTGATGAGGCTACTCGAGGTCCCATGAGCTTCCGCCGCGGAAAGTTCCTGCTCTGTGACAGGATAGAAACGAATTTGATCCAAGAGTCTGAATGCCCACGGGAGTTTTTCGCCCAATCCTGGCTTGTGAAAGTCATCCCAGATAGGGACTGTACGACCGACGAGTTGATAACCACCTGGTGAATCAGTCGCATAGATGCACAGGTATTGGCCAGCAATGCCGACAGCACCACTAGGGGTGAAGGAGCGCGATGGGTTGTACTTTGTCCCGAACAATCGATGACGGGGATCCAGTGGGACAGCACAAGGAGACCCGAGGTACACATCACCAAGGCCCAGCACGAGGAATGCACTCTCATAAATATTGCTTTCCACCCGATCGGTGTCAAGTCCGTTGAGCTTCTGCAAGAACTCAATGTTGCTGGGAAGGTACGGTGCCGAGGAGCGGATGGTTGAGCTATAGCGGGCGATTGCTTTGCGGCTCTTCTCATCGTCGAAAACGAGTGGCATATGGACAATGCGCGAGGGATGTCGGGAGGGAAGCTCAGACCCGAGAGAAATTTCGTGTGCGACCAGCGCATCCAGGAGTTGGCCTAGTGAGAAGTTCGCTTCAACACGAACAAGAAGGCTTCGAACATCTGGGACGAGCTCCTGAACACCCGGGATTGGCGAGGTTTGATGCTTCTCGATGAAACTTATCATATGAAAGGTTTGCCGCAGCATGAAGTTGTCTTCATTACCGAAGTCCAGCAGCAAGGCTCGATCGCCAGCCTGGCGACATCAATGGAGCGACCAGACTCAGATATTTCCTTCAATATCGGACTGGAGACAGTACCGGGGCTTTGGTTTATCAATTCTGTATGTGCCAATGGAGTGAGTGTGGAGATCGAATGCTCGAGATCCCTCGCAAGCGCCTGCGCATCGTCAAGAGAAATAGATCGCAGACGGAGACGATCGCCTGGTCGCATCTGTCCGAATTTCCACCTCTCGGCCTCCGCGACCGTGGCAAATGCAACAAAACCTCCTAAACTCGGCCCATCTGCCGTCAGCACAACTGCCTCATCACCAGTGAAGCTCACGTTTCCGATTGCGTAAGGGCTGTCGTGGATATTGGAGGGATGGAGACCAGCATCACCACCGCTTTTTCGTGCCCACTCTGGCCGAGGCCCGGTGAGACGAACACCGAGTCGATTGCTGTTGTAATGGACAGTCCATTGGCCATTGAACAGCTCCTGGAGTCCTTGCTGTGTGAAGTGGGTTGGACTGCCGTGTGGTCCGGGGATCGCACTAACGATCCATTCTCTGTTTTCGGGCGCCGAAGGGAAATCAATTGGGGCCTCGAGCAAGGGAACATCGTCTTCTGCGACATGTGCTAGGGGAAGAAGATCCCCAGCGCGGAGGCTCCGTCCATTGTGTCCCCCAAGGTGGCCGATCGCAAACGTTGATCGACTACCTAGAACCTCAGGGACCTGAACACCGCCTTGAATGGCAAGATAAACCCGGGAACCATTGGTAGCTGTGCCGATGGAAAGTTTCTGGCCGGCTTTGATGTTGATGGCTATGCCAGAAGCTTTCAATTCTCCGTCAACAGATACCGGGGCATTGGCACCCACGACTGCGACCGTGGTTGTAGTGTGAAAGAGCAGCGTCGGTCCTTGTATCGAGCACTCGAGTCCCGCAGCACGGTCATTGTTGCCGACTACTCTGTTCGCAAGGCGAAATGAGTATGAGTCCATTGGACCAGAGGGAGGCATACCGATATGCCAAAGGCCCTGACGACCAGGGAAGTCTTGTACGGCTGTGTCGGACCCAGCATCAATAACCTCGACAACTTGAGCTTCGTATGGGAAGGTATTCAGGGATCCTGTTGTAAAGGCTCCGGATTTGAACGACTCCCAGGTCACGATTTGCTGCAGGTACCTCAAGTTCGTTTCAACGCCAGTGATTGTTGTATTCGCCAGAGCTTCCGAGAGCTTGTGAAGAGCTGAGAGACGGTCGTCACCATGTGCTATGATCTTTGCGATCATCGGATCAAACGATGATGATAGCTCCTGGCCTGAACTGACCCATGTATCAACACGGATATCGGATGGGAACTCGACATTCAAGAGCTTTCCAGCGGAAGGTCGAAATTCTTGAAGAGGACTTTCAGCATAAACACGAACTTCAACGGCAGCACCAGAGACTGGGATCTCGTTTATCTGCTGCGGAAACAGCGAAATGCAATCATTCATGGCGATGTGAATCATGTATTCGACAAAATCTAGGCCGGTGACGGCCTCAGTGACTGGGTGCTCGACCTGAAGCCGTGTGTTCATCTCCAAAAAGTAGAATCGCTCGGTATCGATGTCGAAGATAAATTCAACTGTGCCTACATTGCGGTACTGCAAAGAAGCGACCAAAGAAGCAGCCGCGCGGCGCATGTCGGCTCGAACCCTGACTGGGACGAATTCAGCAGGAGATTCCTCGACGACCTTCTGGTTTCGACGCTGCAGCGAACAATCGCGCTCACCGGCGCAAATTACACGACCAGCGCCATCACCAAGCACCTGCACTTCGATGTGTCGAGCCCGATCGATAAAAAGCTCAATGAAAACTCCATCATCGCCGAAGTTTGCTTGTCCCAGGCGACGGACGCCATCAAACGCTTCTCGGAGTGCATCGATATCGGCGCACCGTTGGAGCCCGATTCCACCGCCACCAGCGGTGCTCTTTACCATCACCGCATAGCCGATTCTCTCTGCTTCTGCAATTGCATCCTCAAGGCTAGTCACCAATCTTTTGCTTCCGGGTACAACCGGAATGCCTGCTGTGATAGCAATCTCACGAGCACGATGCTTTAAACCCAAATCTCTCATTTGCTCTGGAGATGGCCCAATCCATAAAAGACCTGCTGCCTCGACAGCGGCTGCAAAATCGGCATTCTCCGAGAGGAAACCATACCCAGGAATGATGGCATCGACATCGGCTTCGATAGCCATATCCAGGATCTGCTTGCCGTTGAGATAGGTTTCGGACACTGTGTCACCGACTAGGGGAAGTGCGACACTTGCAGCGGTAACATGTGGTGCGCGAGCATCGGCTTGTGAATAGATAGCCACGGACGAGATTGACATCTCACACAGAGTCCGAATAATGCGAACCGCAATCTCACCGCGGTTTGCAACCAGGACAGTGTTGATGCGCCGCTCACCGATACTGGTTGAAGGTGTCGCAGATGCAGCGCGCGATGATTCGGCGGTGGAACTGGTTAGTGACTGGGTGTATCCTCTCCAACCACCGAACCCGGTGATATCGCTTGCATTTTCCAGGCCAACGGGCTCACAGATGAACCCGTGAACCCATCGGCCATCTTGCAACTCAATCGATCCGATTCCCAAGGGAGCTGAGACAGTTTGAATGAAGCTGCCGATCTTGTCCAGCGGCATGTCCCAAAGCTCTACTTCAATTGACATGCCACCTTCAGCGACCCTTTTCAGGCCGGGCTTTGAGACTGGACCTGTTGTCTGCAGTGCGAAGAGCTGATAGCACGGGGCTGTGGTCGTAGCGGCGGTCAAAGTTGCACCTCGTGACACCAGATCCTTGTTGAGAGCGAAGCCAGTGAGATGGGCACCAACTACTGCCAGTATCATAGAGTCAGAAGGTGCAATTCGCTCGGCATAACTCTCTTGGAATTCCACACAAGTCGCTCCCAGTAAGCGCGGGACATCGGACATCCAGCGCCGAGCGAGTTCCAACAATCGTGGCTCTCCCCATGCTCCCCCTATCAATGTGATACCGAATGGAAGGCCGTCATCTCGCCACCCAGCGGGAATGGCCAAAGCAGACCAATCAAGAAAATTCACGAAGTTGGTATATCTCCCCAGTTGACTATTGGCTGCCACCGGCTCCTCCTTGAGATCCTGCATCGAAGGGAATGTGGGAGCTGTGGGCACTAGCAACGCGTCGAAGGGCTTGAAGATTTGCTCGATCTCACGGGCTAGGTTCTGGCGTTGGTATTCGCATGCGAACAAGTCTGCGGCGGAAAATTGTTCGGCTTTCATGATGATACCTCGAACAACCGGATCCATAGTATCGGCAGGAACTGAACAGATGAACTCTTTGATAGCGGCATATCGCTCGGCAACCCATGGCCCATCATACAGAAGACTGGCAAGAGTGAAAAGGGGTGTGAAATCAACGGGCTCCAGCTTCCACCCCAGCTGTTGCGCTTTGGTCAGTGAAATCTGGTAGGCGGCAGCCTGCTCGGCTCCACCAAACCACTCGGGGTTGGAGCAAATGGCCAGCGTCGGCTGGGAGGGCACGCCTTTTTGCGAGTCGACACCTGCACAACTGGTTCGTTGTCTCGAATACGCATCTTGAGAATCATACCCCTCGGCCAAATCCAGGACTGTTTCTGCATCTTCCAGAGTCAAAGCGAAGATAGAGACACAATCAAGCGAGCGACACGCCGGTACCACGCCTTGCGCGCTCAGAGCACCACGCGTTGGCTTGAGCCCAACGATGTTATTGAACCCAGCAGGTATCCGACCCGAACCGGCTGTGTCTGTGCCCAGTGAAAAAGGAACCAGTCCCTGCGCAACAACCACGCTACTTCCCGAGCTGCTTCCGCCGCTAACGCGATTTGCGTCGAAGGAGTTGAGAACGGCTCCGTACGGTGAACGCGTGCCAACGAGACCTGTGGCGAATTGATCCAGGTTGGTCTTTCCGATCAGTATAGCTCCTTGAGATTTCAACTGTTGTATAACTGTTGCATCGGTGGTGACTGGTTCTGTGGCGTATGATGGACATGCAGCCGTCGTGCAGAACCCGGCGGCGTCGATGTTGTCTTTTGCGGCGAATGGGACGCCGAAGAGTGGAAGGTCCCTTCCTTGAGATTTGAGCGTTGTGATTTCCTCCCATTGCTCAATGATTTGTTCCGGCGTTGCTAATGATATCCACGCATTTGACTTGTTGGGTTGTGCCCGCTCGAGAAGTGAGAAGATATGAGCTGGGCTGGAAGCCATCTGTTGTAGATCACGCCATTGGGAAATGGTCAGGGGCGGATCCTGACTTCCGGTAGTCTGACTTGAAGTCATTGTAGAGTTCATACTGCCGGCGTATTAGTTTCAAGCACCTTGGAATACCTCCGTGTTGAGGGGCATACTAACGATTTGGGTGAACTATAGTGAGGGCTCTATTGAATTCATGAAAAATAAAGCGGTCTTCTTATATTCAGTTGTTCTACAGTCTATAAATGACCCGACATCGATATCTACGAAGCGCGTCATTGAAATTGTTCATGCAAGTCGACCTTATCTGCATGCCAAGACCCGCCGTCGCCCGCCGTCGGCGCGGCCTGTCAATTGACACCCGAGTCAACATTCATTGATCCTCGTGAAATTATTACTCAGTGTCAAGACTAAGATGTTCAAAATCTCAAGGGTTGAATAAAGCTGGAAGAGTTGATCGTATTTGAACGGATTGCTTTGACAGAATTTAATTACGCGAGCTCCATATTCCCCCGGGGCCCCGGGGCCCCGGGGCCGGGCCGTAAACTGCTATGGCGATTCCCACCCGAGCAGATTCAACGATTGATTCTAGCCTGGAGCTTGGATTAAAATATCGGGCTTTACCTTAACTGAATCCATCGACACCAAATCTCCCAAGGTCCTCAGCCGCGTCGCAATGTGTACACATTGCTCAAGTGATTGGGCAGTGATAAGATGATCGTATTTCGTAAGTCGTTGAATGATCTAGGTGTAGAGCTAATTGTACAGAGTGTGTGCCGCTGATTCGCAAAAGAAGAAAAAAAAAAAAGAACAAAAGTTGATGGTCGCCCTCCGCTGTCCCCACTTAAGCACCTAGCACAGCGCCCAGCACTTCCCCCGATGTCTCCAGTGCAGTCTTATTCTGGGCTCTGTTGGCCCAGCCAGATAGCAGTGCCATCTCCAGGAAGAAGATGTCGTGAGGGACGAGAATATCCAGTATCTTCTCGCCGGATGCCTTCCCACCATGGACATTGGCCACCCTTGTGCCATGATCATTCACCAAGTCCATCTTTTTGGTAGACATTGGATCGAGTTTCCACTTCAGTTTACCCATGGAAGGTGATTGGAACGTCGAGTTGCCGGACATTTCGCTGTAGCGCATCTCTGTCTGTTGACCGTGGATATTGAGACGAATCTTGGAAGAAAAGTTTGGGAGTTGAGCGTCGCCCACAACGTCCCAGGGACCGCCACCCCATCCACGAGACACAATAACGTTACTTTTGCCCGAGGAGGATATCGCAATCGTGTACATCGGGGGAGCATCGATGGGATAGCCTGCCGGGTGGACTAAGATCTTTGTTCCATCCCATGGTGCTGCGCGAATCGAGAACGAGGCACAGGCTTGTGAATTCGAACTGCTGCCGGAAGAGAATAGAGAGGATAGATGAAAAGTCATGATGTGTCTATACCTGTCTTGAATCAAGGTAGTTGATGAGCTTAGTTTGGGGACGATCCGGATATCTTATATCTCTTTGAATCATGATTGCCACCGTCAGATCTATGCCACTCGTGTTAGCACAACGTTGAAGCTGTTTCAAGTCTTAAGATAGTATACTGCGCGCTACCTTATTTCCCAATCGGGGCAGATGGTGCGCCGCAATACGAGATGGGACCCACCTTGTCAAATGGTGCATTTTGATTGGTCTGTCACTCGGGAAGCATCCATGGGATGCCCGGGCAGTGTTGGGCAAGTGCGATGGGGGCCGTTTCCCGATTCCCTCTGTTGATTGGCGACGGAGTGCTGACAATCGAGTCCCGCATGCTGGGCAGCTGAGGATCTCCATGAGTCACCGACGTCGCGTAAGACCCTTCCTGGTCGCTTGGCAGATCGTCTGGGCTCTCGGGACGACCACCGTTAGATGTCGTCACACAAAACCATGCACGGCGCCCCAAATATCTCTTTTGGGCCATTTCACTCTATTCCTCCACAAACTGGCAGCGGATCATGCCAGGGGTTCCGTCTAGCCGAGGCTGCGATGCGTGTCGCAAGGTGAAGAAGAAGGTGGGAACGGTCTCCACGGTCGATGTTAGCACCCTGCTAAGGCACCGACTAGTGCGATCAGCTTAAACCAACATGCTCACGGTGCACCCGTCTGAAGATCACGTGTGTGGGAAGTGGACAGCAGCGATACATGTTCAAAACTCAACCCCTGAAAGTGGCCCAATCGCAGAATGGGGCTCTGCAAAAGTCGCGAGCGCCCGTGGCAGAGGAGATCGTCTTCTCGTTTGGGTCTCCACCAACCGTGCTCAACACGGGCACGGGCAGATTGGCTGCTGCTTTTGTGGAAACCTTGGAGGTCACCGATATCCGATATGCTGTGACCTACTATGGACCCTTTCTGCGGGAGATCCCCCAACGATTGGGCAACAGCACCGTGCTTGATTCGGCCGTGAAAGCCGTGTCCTCTGCATACCCCTATGTCCACAAAGGGGCCTTTCCAACATCGGTATTGGTCAATTATGGTCAATCGCTGCGGGCACTAAGGGATTGCTTGAATAATCCATCCGAAGCTCGGACGGCCCATACACTATGTGCCGTGTACTTAATCACCATCTGTCAGGTATGAAGGTGATTCACTCTATATGCTCCACGAACTGACCAAGTCAAATACAGAGCTGGCTAGGGAAGGTGGATGATTCATTGACGAGTCACAGCGAGGCAATCGCCTGTCTTCTCAAGGCTTCCTCTCTAGGTGAATGGAGATCGCACTTTGAGATGGAGATGGTCATCACGCTCTGTGTTCCTATCGTAAGTCTGGGTTTTCCCAAAATGACAACGACCGATGCTACGGCCTCATTGCTGAAAATTGACCGTCTAGATCCTCGAAGGCGTCATCAACCCTCGCATCAGAATGGACCCCCACTTTTGGGAAATGATGACCACCTTCAGGAAACGTCTGAATCCACAAGCATTCGAGAAATCGAAGGATTCCACGCAGCTGCATCATCTGGCTATGCTTCCAGAGTTTGTTCAACACCCCGATCCATACGCATTCGAAATCGCCAAAATGTACCTTTCACTGAAAAGGGATGCCGGAATAGTCAAGATGGGTCTGGACCAGTTCGCGACCTTTGTTCCGAATTCATTTTCGGGCCCTTATGTTGACAAACACTCGAAGCTCCAGGCTGCTTATACCATCGTTTCCACACTAGCTGTGTTACTGAACACTTTACTCCGTCTTTTCAACCCATCAAATCCGACCTTAGAACAAGAAACCGCGTTTTTCTGCGAAGAGATTCTCACCCAGGCTCAATTAGCCCAATGTTACCGGCCCATGGGATCAGCATACATGCCCCTGTCTCTGGTTGTTGCTTGGGCCTCCACGAATGACATCGTCCAACTGGCAAGAATAGAGGCCCTTCTCGCTGACTATCAAAACGACTTTGCTGAACTACCCTGGATGAATCGTGGAATCTGGCTGGCCTCCTTGCTGAACAGCCATCGTGAAAGAATCGCCTTGGAAATGACCGGGAGCGTAAGCCCTATCTCTAATCCGGGCGAAGTGAGTGACCGTGGCGAATCTTGTTGTATCCTTTGAGTTCGGTGGCTGCAAAGACTTACGATTTATGGATTCGGATGAATGAGATGTCCTATAGAGCTGGGTTTGACTAGATGGTAGGTCGGAGTTATTGGTATATAAATCATTTGCGATTCCAAGCAAGACATCACCCCTCTCCCCAATGATGGCCTCAAACCTTCCACTTGTAGACAGGACGCAGCATCTTGCTTGCAAGATTACTACTCCGGGGTGACTTCCGCTTAAAAGCTTCCTCGATCTCATTCAAAGATCGGCCCTTCGTCTCCGGCATAAACAAAGCACAAACTATTGCAGTCAGAATGGAACAACCACCAAACAAAAAGTACGCCCCATAGCTGCTCTTCGATAGAAGGATTGGTGTTGTCAACGCGACCAAAAAGTTCGCCGCCCAATTGCTACCATGCGCCAAGCTGGTCGCGGAGGCCCGCGTGCGCTGTGGTTGGATCTCAGCAGCGTATATCTTGATACCAACACCCCAGGTCAATGAGTATATCACAGCAAAGAGGTAAATAGTCACTATAACAACCCAGCGACCCGCCCCAAAAGAGCCGTGCACAGACCCTGATGCATAAAGTGCACCTATCAAAAACATCGCGATGCTGAGAGCAACTCCGCCGTAGATTGTGCTTTGACGACGGCCCCATTGGTCGGCCCATATTAGAGCGGGAATAGTGACGGCGAAGATGACGAGCGCTGAGACACCGGATGCGAGGAAACTTGCTTCTGATGAGGCAAGCCCAGCCTGTTGGAATAGAAGAGGAGCATACTGGGACTGTCAGTCGTGATGATGGTGGTGATGGGAAAGAAATAGTATTAGCTTACGTAGAGAACACCGTCAATCCCGCTCAATTGTTGCATTCCCATCATGAAGACTGCAAGGCTGGTGCGTGAGCGAACATCGCGAGCGAAAAGATCGAAGAGAGGGTGCGTTGGCTTTGCTGAAGTTTGAGTTTCTAGAGGGTTGGCGATGTTTGTGCCTTTGCCTTTGTCCTGCGGGTCAGAGGGAACGACAGGTTCGAGCTCGTTTTCTACCTTCTCTCGTTCGGCGTGGCTGACACCCAAGTAATCCCAAGCTTCGGTGGCCTCTCCTTCACGGCCATGTATAGTCAGCCAGCGAGGCGAGGGGGGAAGGAAAAACAATGAAACCATTGACAGAGTCATTGACAATGCCGCAAGCACTATAAATGGTGTGCGCCATGACATGGATGATTGGATCCCCGATGTTCCATAGCAAGTGAAGAAACCCGCGACAATACCGAGAGTGATGAGAAGTTGAGGTCCAGTTGTGAAAGTCCCTCTAACCCGTGTCGGCGATATCTCGCAAATGTACCTGAAAGCATCAAATTAGTATATGATCGACTGAACAGCCCGTTGGAATAAATCGTACACAACCAAGGTTCCGAGGAATAGACCCTCACCTACGCCTTCGACAACTCGGCCAACGATGAACATGGCAAGATGGACAGCGGCTGCTTCTAGTGCAGCGCCAACGCCGAAGATGAAAACCCCGATGCTGATGCCTTTGGACCTCCCGAGCCGATCTGCCAAAAAGCCCGCAAAGAAAGAGGAGATCGCGGCGGGAATCAGAATAGACGATACGATGAGCCCGTGGATAGTGGCGGACTGACTGCCACCGAAATGTTGTACAAATTCCTTCATGTCTGTCACAGGCCCAATGATACCTGTGTCCATGCTAGCAGTTTACATGTTAGTATCGGGGTTGCAAAATGAGTTTGGGATATCATATACCCGAACAACAGTCCATTCAAAGAACACAATATGCTAGCCGGCACATAGCGAGGTATGTTTTGCAGTCGTTTGAGCGGCGACGGAGCCATCGCCAATGTACCTAGGTAGGACCTTCAGAAGGTTATCGGTAGAAGTGAATCTTAAATGGCACACTGCCCTGAAACCTTCGGCAAAGAAAGCCTTAAAATGTGAAACAAAAAGCTAGAAGGTCAGCTTACATCGAGAATTCTGAGCCCCTCCATCACATGCTTATCGGCTAAATTCCGGCTAAACTTCCATATACTTCGTTTGTGTATTAAATAGCCCGCAAAATCTAAAAGCCTTTGGTACATTAAATGTTCACTTCCCAGTTCTAGCATCCGTCGCCAGCTGACCCAATGCTCTCAACCCGAATCCCCAACTTGGTCATCTTCTTGATATCAATAATACATCGTCCATCGAACAGCCACTTGGGCGTGCTCATGCTCTCGGCAATCCTCTCCCAGTCCACCTGCTGCTTAGGAAGAGCCTCGCTAAGCTTCCGAGCGGCAATCTCTTGTCCATTCTCTCGCTGGCAATCTGGGCAATCGGCAGCGCAGTTCGGCTCCTCGTTGAGCCGTTCTTGTAGGAGAGAGAGAGAAGCATTATCCTTCAAACTACCAATGCTGGAACCGATATCCTCTTGAACATCCTTGGAAGGTAATTGAGGCGGGGATATGATGACCGCCGATTCAGTGTTGCGGAATTCGTCAAACTCGGTCACAATCAGGATCGCATTTGAAGATTCACACGCCTGGTAAGCATCGTGGTATACCTTGACGGCTCCACCATCATCTCTCAGAGCCGGGGGACCATAGCCATTTAACTGGCGAATCTCGCTTTCAATCACGTAGGGGTTACAGCAGGGATCGAAAATGGCAATCTCCCCGGGGTTCTCATCGAGTAAAGTCTTGATGATCTCAAGAGCAGGCGCTTCACGAGTGTCGGATGTGTTCTTCTTGAATGCGTAGCCGAGCAGCGTGATCTTCTTTCCGACGAGGGTATTGTTAAGACACTTGATCACACGACTGGTGAATCGGTTGCGCTGGTACTCATTCATTGTCACAACTTGCCGCCAGTAGGCCCCGACTTCCTTGAGACCTAGCGATTCGGCGAGATAGACGAGACTGAGGACATCCTTCTTGAAACAGCTACCGCCGAATCCGATGCCAGCGCGGAGGAATTTGTCGCCGACTCGAGAGTCCATTCCGATCGAGGCCGATACCTCGTTGATCTCGGCTCCGGTCGCTTCGCATATAGCTGAGATGCTGTTGATACTACTCAGTCGCTGGGCAAGCATGGAGTTGGCTACCAGCTTGGCTAATTCAGATGACCAAATGTTTGTGGTGATAATGCGAGATCGATCGACAAACCCAGCGTACACACCTGCCAAGGTCTCCGCTGCGACCTGACCATTCTTCGTCGTTGAGGAGCCGATTATCACCCGGTCCGGGTGCAACAGATCTTGAATGGCGGTTCCGGCGGCAAGGAACTCGGGGTTAGATAGAATCTCGAAGCTAGCTTTCGGTCGGCGGACGGCAATCTGTGTATCGATAACCAGTTAGTCTATTTCGGATGTATCGGTGATACATGACGCACCATTTCCTGTATCATCTGAGCCGTTCTGCAAGGGACTGTGGACTTCTCCACAATGACGGCACCACTTTTGGCATGTTGTACAACATCCGCAGCAACGGCCTCGAACGCCGTCATGTCTGTTGCACTTCCAGCGCCAGAGCCGCGCATTTTGGTGGGTGTGTTCACAGCAATAATGACAATGTCAGACTCGCGGATACAGTCCGCGACGTTCGCAGAGAAAAACAGGTTGGGCGCTCTGGGGGAGTTGATAGTTGAAGATTGTGACACAGTCTGGTCATCGGTGTGTGCCGGCATCTGTTCAGAGTGTGACAATCCATCTCTAGAGACGCGGACAATCTCCGCCAGACCGGGCTCGTAGATAGGCAAGTGTCGGGAGTTCCACCGTCGGATACGGCGCTCATCTTTGTCAACCACTGTGACCCGGATGTGAGGGTTTTTCAATGCAATCACTGCAGCGGTCGGTCCCCCTATTAAGAGTCAGTCATGCTGCGGGCGACGCTAGGAGCGCGAGTACGCGCAGCGGAAACGATGCACTCACCGACATATCCCGCACCGACGCAGCAGATACTTTGCACTGATCTTGCTATAATTGTGTCATCTGGATCAATCACATCCTCGATGCCCTGGGCGCCGGAAGAGTTTGAGTCAAGCTTGTCGGTGCCGCCATTGAGACTGCCCTCCGGGGTTGTGAGCACAGTCGAGAGCTCTGTTGAGAGTATAGTGTCAGAGTCGAGCTCTGGGCTTGTTGAAGACATGATCTGAATGATTTCAACCAAGAATGGAAAGTCGAAAGTATTTCAAAGATACCTCAGGAGAGGGCTGAAAGAGATACCTTGATATCGGAAGACTTTCACCCGGATGCATGGCCGCTTATTGCTAATTATGGCGTCTCTCGCCAAGGGTGTCGATGAAAAGCCGGAAAGGAGCATGTCCCTGGACATAGATCGACTGTAGCCGTCAATACCGAACCATCCCGTACGGTAATACGTCTCTGTTTGCACTTTATGCACGCTATTAACCCCCTGCGTTCTTGTGCAACGTTGGCTTAGACACGTAATTTATCCTGGTTCACATCCCAGTAAAAGCAAACATCGTTACATTCAGGCAAACTACATCACAACATCCCTGATGTTTGAGAACCTGTTGCCTGTACGCAATTATGACGGAGTAGTCCAGTCGTTTTGACTCTTTAATTGGATTGCATGTCTTTCACCTGGGCAGTATTCATTTGCATCATGGAGATGGTAATTATGTTACAATACACTAGGCTGAACGAGGCTGAACCCCATAACCGGCTTGGCATCGACGGGCGAATCCCAAGGCTTCAATTGTACATGTGCTGGTCGATACGCCAACATCTGTAATTTGGACTTTCTGGCAATTATTAGTCCGTCGACTCCCTAAAACAAGGCCGAATAACTCGTGCGTGAAATTGGCCCCCATTTCCTCTCGACTACCGAGTACTCCGTACACTTGGCAAGATGCAACACTCTGATCTCCATCAGCCCTACTCGAGTGGGTCCAGAATTCTCAAGCTCAATCCTCTGGCCCTGCAATCTAACCCAACCCGGTCTTGATCATCGATATGCTACTCTAATTCAAGACCACTCTCCCACGGGGCCCCATAAACACTTCTGACTCGCCCGTATCCCCATCCTAATTCATCCCGATGGAACACAGCCCTGGAGCTGTCGCAATGAAATTCCAACTCCAGTCTCAGCCAGCAGCGATTCGCCCCGCAAGGGTCTGAGGGTACCCACGTGCAGTCAAGTACAGGTCGACAAACGCCCTCACCAGGTCCCCCTGTTTATATCACGACAACTCCGCTCGCGTCGATACGAGGTCATTTTCGGATCGAAGCGCTCCCCGAAAGAGGCTTGTGAATCCGGAAATTTCTCACCACGCCATCCGCCGTTACCCGACGTGTAGACATGAGTCTTTGTTTACTCCGTACTCCTGTACCGTTAATACAGCTACCCTTTTTCAGACCCTGGGGCTCGTATACACGATGTATCATACCGTATTTAATGCTTCTCTTTCATGTATCTTTTCTTTTTTTCGTATCGGCCCATCCGCTACCTAGGTAGTACCTAGTACCCACCTGGGCATTTAATTGAGTTGATGGATCCTGTTCAACTTGCATTATGTTTATGTACAATATCTATAGACTGTACATGTATTATGTGGTGGTCCTCTTTTTGGAATCCAGCTCGGCCTTGCTGAAAAATGCGCACCCAACCAGCACAAGCACGATACCTGTTCCATTCAGGAGATCAACGGTGAAATCCTTGAAAATGAGAATTCCAATCGCCAAGGTAAGCGCCTGTTTGAGATTACCACAGACTGATATCGTGAGTGCACCGGCAAGCTTATTGGTTTGGAATGAGGAGACATTCAAAAAGAATGCCAAAAGGCCGTTACCTAGAAGGAACGCCACGGTAGCGATGGTAGCGAGCTTCGAGGTCTCGGCAGCCCTTTGCGACATCGTCTTCGCAAATTCCGGGAGCTCCCCGGCGAGAATGGCGAACACAAAGGACTGAGCTGCCGCCAGCGGAGACATCCGGAATAAGAGTTCCATAGATGGAAGCGCCAAAGAACCGGTCATGAGACGATTGGTGGTCACAGTCTATAATAAGTTAGTCCCGTTCCGGGGTTGGGCTATCACTGGAGATCGGCGTACCTTGACTGCGGCGAGAACAACGCCGAAGACCGTAATGAACAATCCTAGAGCAGAGTAATGATATTCTCCAACGACTGTCATTCCCGCTCCGATGATGATGGGACATAACGACAGATACGTAGCCATGTAGTATGAACGCCCGAACCAAGCTCGGTATATGAGGACAGTGAAGATCGGCACGGTGTTGCGAATAATCTGGAAAAAGGCTAGACTGACGAGCGATCTATCCATGGATTGTTAGTTTTCATTATTCCTGCTTCTCGGACCACAACGTACAGCGATAGGTTTGACATAGCAATATTAGCTGTGAAAAGCACCGAGAATGCGACCAAAATGAGATGCTCCTTGCGTCCCAATCTTGAAAGCTTGAACCTGCCAAGCTTCAGAAGAACGAGTGTGCCGATCGAAGCGAATGTCGTATGCATACATGTTAAAAGCCAAGGGAACTTGAACTGATTATCCGATTGTCAGCACTTGGTTGAATTCTCATCGCCAAAACCTTTCTCACCGATCCCAGAATGAGCTTATTGTATAGCGTGAGCATCATGCTGAAGAAGAAGTATGAACCAAGCCACATGAATTTCACCGAGGTCGGCGTCTGGTACTCGGGTTCCGTGGTGGGTGTTGGTTGTTCATCTTTGCGATTGGCTTCGAGATCGTCGGAGCCCGCGACTGAACCGGAATCCTCATTGGAGAGCAGAGAGAGCTCTGCTTCCTCTTCCTGATTGACTTTGGTGTAGCTCATCTTTCCATCGATGCTTGTATCGAAGTCGAGCTAGGGGAGATGTAAGGGTGAGAAAGAAAGCGACCACGAGAGCACGCGATAGATGACGGAGGGAAGATTGCAAAGCTGCCTCACGAGCGCCACCAAAGAAATAGAAAAAAAGAAAAGACCAAAATAGAATCCATGCATCTGGATATCGTATACAGATACCAGATACCCGTATTCCGTATTACCGTAACCGTATGGCGCACTAGTAATGCACGTATACGCGGAGTAGAAAGCGACCTTGGCATCGAAGGCAACAGTCGACAAGATTCCTCTTTCAACTGGCTGATTTGCCTGCCATTTTATCTGCCAACGCTCATTGGCTCCGGTGTGTCATTGACTCGTTTGCAGGTCAAGAGAGAAAACGAAAAGAGCGAAAGGGGCGGATAAGACGTATTCGTCTGCACATGGCCCGCTTGGCTGTCAGCAGAAAGGCTAATAGGGGTGGAATCGTTTCGTATTTCACAGATCCGGGCTTGGCTACATGCGAGCCCAACTGGCCTCTTGCACTTTTCCACTCCAAGCCTAAAAAGAAAGCCTCCCTTTGTACATGTTAATCGGGGGTTGTCGCGATGCTGCTGTTTACAAGCCGTTGGCACTGGGCCATCCTCGCCGGCTTTGTGGTCGTCGCCTTGATCACCCTATTTCAATATCATTCTCCGATTGGAGATCACGCGCCTTTGTCGGTGTCTGACGATGTGAGATTTTTCCCTCATTCTGCTTTCGAAGTCGGTCAAAGAAAGTCGAAGAGAATTTTAGAACTGACTGGAAATAGACAACTTTGATGAACAAGGAAGACTCACGGGTCTTGACAAAGCTGCCAGAGGAAGACTCGGAGCCTTCAAAAACTTCCAAATTCCATTTACTTATTCCTGCGAATGGTCCCCACCTCCAGCTATGCAGAGCGGTGGTCTCGTCGACCATTTTGGGCTACCCAATTCCTGTCTTCAACGGTTGGAACAAGTCCGGGGACTTGGATGCCTCGGTCACTCACCTCGCCAAAGTCCGCAATGTGATGCGCTATCTAGACAGCTTAGAGTCTGCCTCCGACGATGATCTAGTCTTAATGATCGATGGGTACGACGTGGTTTTCCAGCTCCCTGCCGATGTCCTCATTCAAAGATACTTCGCCGTCATCGAAACAGCGAACGCCAAAATTGCAGCTCAGTTTGGTGAAGACTCAATAGATGCCATCACCAGGAATAACGCTCCACGACAGACGATTCTCTTCGGGCCTGAGAAGATCTGCTATCCAGTCGACTGGAATCGTCCTGGATGCTGGGCTATCCCGGATATCGACCTTCCTGTCGGTGCATTCGGGCCGGATGACGGGCAGCTCAGCCACAACCTTCCCAAATGGCTCAACTCCGGTACCATCATGGGCCCGGTCGGAGATATGAGACAGCTGTTTGCTGCCACTATGAAACGAATCGAAGATACCTATGACCCAGCCCATGAGTTTAGCGATTCGGATCAGAGATACATGAGCGATGTCTGGGGTGAACAAGAATTTTGGCGATCGGTGGACCTGCACAACCATTATTTCCACGACGATGTGGATCCGAAGAAGATCGCACCGGAGGGAGAACCAGATCAAATCATTCCCTCTAGGACGGCAGACCAAAAAACCGAGTTCCACATCGGCATTGACTATACTTCGGGGCTGTTTCAAACTCGAGTTGGGTCCGATCATGTCATCGAGCACAAGTCTTTCGACAAGAGTGCGACTAAGGGTACTGGCCTTTCAACCCTTGTATCGGAGAACAAGATTGAGGCCTCAAATTTCCAGCCATTTGAGATCACTCTCCCCGTCAATGTGATTTCCTCGCTGACTAGACTCTTGGAGTCAATTGCCCCCGTTCTCAAGATGGATCCCGAGAAATTCGTCACTAAACTACGCTTGGGCACCAACCTTGTGACAAAAAATGTCTACGGGCTATTTCACTGCATTGGTGAAAAGTCTTATCTCGACGACTTGTGGTATAGACTTTGGTTCCAACAGCACGCAGAGCCCCTTTTGGAAGCCAGGTTCAAACTGGCAAATGCCAACAACAGCATCTCTGAAACCCCCATCGATGGAAGGAAATGGATTCTCGCACATGACTACCCAACAAATATTGAAAAAAGCCAAGCACAAGCTGGTGCCTGGATGGATATGGACAGCAAGTGGATATCTTGGGAAGACCTTTGTGAGCCGTTTCAAAAGGACATTTTCGGGGATCGTCCGAAGAAAGTATAGTCCAAACCGGTGTAAGACGTCGGTACATGATTGCATTTGTTCATAATCTGAGAAGGCTTGGGCTTCCGTGTTGAGACTGTAAATAGCCACATTTATCCATATCCTAATAATTCTCCGTTCCTATTCTCCAAATACAGCGGTGAAATCAAGATAGAGATTTGTGAAGATGTTCATTCTGGTAAATAAAAGAAACGAATCGCTGTGCGGAACCTTGGAATCTCCGGCAGTTATTTACATGTCTCGTGGTAAAGGCTATTCACGGAAAGAACAAGATATCTTGGTGAGATATCACGAGAAAGGCAGCAAGCATAACGATCCAAAACAAAGTAAACGCTCCATCCAACGCTCAGCAACAACCACCAACTCCGGGTATCAATCCTGACAATCAATCTTCTGGCGTCTTTTCATAGACTTCCACTCAACGAGCCCTGCTCCGACAAAAGATAAGATCGCAGCTGCAACGGAGACATAGAAGGTTTGTGTGATGGCAACATTATAGGCGTAGAGCACCGAAGGAAGAACATCCTTCGGCACCCTTTCTGACAAATGAGCAGCTCCAGCTTTTATCAAGGCCTGCGGACTGGCCTTCGGGGCATGTTCAATAATGCTTGCAACCAGACGATTCTCGAACACAGTCTGAGCAATCGAAATGAACATAGCTCCACTTAAGCTTTGGGCGAAAGTGATGATGGCAATGCCAACCGGGATATCATGCAAGGGGAGTACAGTCTGCAATGCATTGATGCACTGTTGGAATCCAACTCCTGCACCGATTCCCAAAATTACCTGATACCCAACCCAGAGTGGAACGCCGCTGCCGACCGTCAAACTCGTGCATAAACCGGATCCGACGGTTAAAAAGGCGCTTCCTGCGAACATGAGGGGTGTATAGTATCCAACCACGTTCACAAGAACCCCACCCAAAGCAGAGCAGACAATCATCGATACAACCATGGGAAGGTTGTTGATTCCGGACTCTGAGGCGGTATCTTCTTTGACTGCCTGGAACCAAATGGGGAGCTAAATAATAGGTTAGCTCTGGCATCCTCATCCGGCTCATATACCTAGGTAACTCACATAGTAACCAAACACAAAGAATGAACCACCCAAGAACGTGGCATGAACCACTGCCCCGAGAACATTGCGATTTTTGAGAAGACGCGGTGGTACTGTAGCATCGTCCTGTTTCCAAACCTGGATTATGGCCCACATGGAGGCGAACACCCCAAACAGAACGAAAAGGACAATAATTCGAACGTCGTTCCAATCGTATTTTGTCCCGCCCCACTGAAGACATAGCAACAATGAAACAATCGCCGGAACAAAAGTAACAATCCCCAACGGGTCCATCCGCTTCAGTTGGTTCAATCGGCTAGTCTTGAGCTTGTCCTTTTTCGTTGTGTCGGCGAAGAATAGCATGATAACGAAGGCAGTCAAAATTCCAAAAGGTAAATTGATCCAGAAGCACCATCTCCAGCTAGCATGATCGGTCAAAACTCCACCAAGTCTGACTGGGATTAGTTTTCGCTCAAAGATCAAGCTTGGTGGGAGCTTACAGTGGTCCAGTAATCGTCGCGATTCCACTAGTGCTCCCAATAACCCCGAAATAGATTGCGCGACGGTGAAGGGGCACGCTGTTTGCGAGAACCAGGAGAGCACCGGGGGATAGACCACCGGAACCAACACCAGCGATTGCGCGTCCAAAGATTAACCCCTTCGACGAGGGCGTTACTGCGCATATCAAGGACCCGGCTTCAAATAAGGCGAGTGCGATCAAGTATGTCCATTTTGTCGAATAGTACGTGTATATCTTGCCGAAAGGTAAAGTGACCGCGCACGTTGTCAGGAGGTAGGCGCTGGCATACCAGGAAATGTCGCCTAGGGAGTTGAATTGTTCGGTGATCTTGGGCACGGCCGTCGAAAGGACAGTGTTATCCTAGAAAAAGGTATATTGCGTTAGCTGCGAGAAATAGGAAATGGTGGGCTAGAACTTACCAGTGCAATGCAGAAAGACTGGAAGCACAGCCCTATCAAAATCGGAACAAGCTTCGATTTGGGCGGGTACTCTTGCTTTTCGTCTTCATCACTTTCTTCAGTCCCAGTCTCCTTCAACGGGATGTCGTCGCGATCCAAGGTGCCATCGTATCGATAGTCTTTCGAGCTTGAGTTATCCGCCATCAACCTGAGTCAGTTTCCCCAGTTATGATGTTAACTGTGGGAGATCATGGGAGTTTGGAAAGGGAATAAATTTCATTCACACCAAGATGTGAAGTTTGTTAGTAAGGAGAAGAATTCGATACTTGCAAAGCTTTGAATGTTCTGATACTCCGAGGACGATAGCTACTAGTAAAGACATGCTGATCATCCAATGTAAATCAAGGTATACACCCCTTGTTGGAAAGGTTATTCCGGTGGGTTACATATGTATTCTGTGTTTCTTGTAGGGGTCACAAACATACGTACCTTGGAGGCTGTCAAAAGTCCACATTCCTACGGGCTATCGACATTCCTCAGAGCTCTCCCCGGGAGAACCAACAAACTTGTACGCGTTAGGCTGATCGGTGCATCAGTTTCGACACTTACTATGGCGAGTGCTTGCATCTCCATCGCTGTCTGATAGTCCTAGAATTCAATGAGCGTGCGTTTTCGATGTCGGAAAAGGCCCATTCACCGGTGTTGAGGTACAGTACCTAATCTTGTCAATCTCGGGTCCCTGCATTCCAATCATTGCAACCTCATCCCCAAACACATGCTAACCAGTAAGCGGTTCCCCCCGTACCTACTGATTGCTGTTTGGTCATTCTGTGCTTTCTCAAGCCTGACCCCATTGCGTCACCAGATATCGTAGGATCAGGCTGTGGCCAACCTCATGTAAGCTTTGAAATACTAGGTACTGAGCTGCCCCATGCACATGATAACTATGAGCTCTTGTAAGCTTTTATAGACTTTGTTTAATGCTCAAATTATTTTTAAGATCTGAGGTGAGACAAAATATTTCCCGCATCATGGATACAGTAGAGCAATATTCCTTCCTTGCGGAATCGGTCTTTGATCAATTGCTACGTATGATTTGTAGGTCCCCCATTTATTCCTTGGCTCCATGGCCTCAGTCCGTCATGATCTCATTCTCAGAGTGTGCTACCTCTGTATAACACTGGTTGTCTTTAGTCAGATGAGATGCAGCATCAAGTGTTCGTTAGATCATCAGACAGTGGCCAGACACTCCATTCAGTTTCCCTGGTCGGGATTCGACCTCGGGATGTCTCTATAACCATATCTTGGGTATGGTATGTATATTCATGGTCCCATTTGTAAGGCTCGCCGTGAGAACGAGCAAGAACTATGTGTACGGGAATCGGCAATGGCGTATGTGGGGACTGTTCATCTGCCATATCCCGAAGGGGTGGGAAACAAGGATGTCATCCCGGAGGAAACGAGCCAATCCCCGATCCCAGCAGATCTTCGAAGAATTCTATTGCAATGAAGTTCCAAGTTCTGGGAATAGACTCACCATATAATATCCCGAAGAATGCACGTGACGCAGCCCTGGTGCTCGGGATTTTATGCTCATTGCGCACGCATAATAAATGGAGCACTCACGAAGTAAACCTGTTTATGGTTCACGGATAATTTATGGATTCGGGTAGGTACCTAGGTGGTGCTTTGGTTTGAGGCCCACCCGGCGGGTGCACTGGCGGAAGACAAAGAATATATTGTGGATTCAAGGTTGTCCATCGTCCATCTTTCAAGTCAGGAGTTCAGATTCCAAGGCTGCTTTGTGATCCATGAACCTCAACCCAAGATGCAGGCATTAAAAATCGTCGCCAAAGTGGCATTTCAACCTCCTTTGGCTTAGCCTGTTGCGAATCGAAAATCCGGCTGGGTTGCGGGTAGTCGCGCGACGCCAAGCCCGGAAACCAGGGGCACTCGGCCGTTCAGACCGGATTTGCCCAAGACGATTCGAGACCTCGGACTCGGCCAGGTCCCATCGCGAAGCGCCACGCAGAAATCTGAAAACGTACGCGAATAGGCTAGGAGGTTCAAATGTGGTTATGCAGTTGCCGGCTCCTCCGTATACCGGTTAGACCAGCGTGGACGCGGGCCACTGCGTAGACCGGAACTGCCTGATGGGGCAATTTGCGGTGCTCATCCCCCGGGATTCGGTCGCAGCCGTGAAAAGTAGAGGGTGTGCGACGTGGAGTCAGTGGCGTCGCTTTAGTGGGAAGTCTCTTGACTCGCGTTGGAGGCCAGATCGGAGCGGGAGAAGACTCCGTATTCAAGTCCCGTCATCTCTTTATCATTTTTGGATTTCGTGGACTCCACGGTTCAAGAACCAGGAACAAAAGCCAGAAGCAGTGGAGATATTGAGGACAGTCCAGCTTGAAAACCTCGAAAACAGCCTGGGTGCAGTGGCTGTGACGCCAAGATCCTATGTATCTCGCCAGTCTTTCGACCCTGCTTAACTGGGTTGGGGGCCTTTTTGTTAGTGCTGTGGGAATATTTCTGTTTTTTTGACAAAATGAAACGTCGCATGAGGTGGCCCCATAGGTGTTGTATTAATGTTGCTCACCCGAAACTGCCCATGAGAATAATTAAATATTCACGCCAGTTATATCCCATTTGAACAAATGGCAAGTTCAAATTGGCACAATATTGGCATTTATTGGCATTCCATTGGCATCGTATTGGCACCGTCTAAGAAGGCTTCGAAGCGGATAAGCTCCCTCAAAGGCTTGGAAGTTCAAAAAAGCCCCTATTCTCACATCCCCAGATCGCTCCAGACCCGGTTTTCTTTCACGCGGGGAAGTTTCCACTTTCAATCTGAAATCTGACAGGCTGGAAGATGATCGGCGGGCGTTCTGAGCCTGTATAGGCCCGTCCGAAACTTCCACTAACTCAGTCTGGCGAAGCCGGCTCGCCATTGCCCCGAAATGGGGCTATTCGCAGTCGCGTGGTGTTCCAATCCCCAGGGCACTTTTCGATCGGACGTTGGCTTTAATGTCCGTGTAACGCAGCAGAGATGACGCCAATGGTGATCAAGCCTGCTTTCTTGCAGGGCAATCCGATGTGGGCCTCATGGCTTGGTCAAATCATTATTCGCAAATCACGGTGGACGGCAGCGGCTTGCAAGAGGCTTTTGGCTAAAGGTTCCTTGATAGGAGGTCAAGGCTCGGCGTCGATTTAAAACCGCCTGGTTTCCCCCGCGTGCATCCTCCGCCTTTATGCGATTTATTCGTGCTCTTCCAGCTTCGAAGTCTGCGCTGATCGAAGGTTGATAGGCTTTTCGTTGTCGCTAAGATGCAGACCAAACGCTTCTTGGGCCTGAATGGCACCAAGCTTCAGGTGGCCATTGGGTTCCTGGCTGGCATGGATTTCCTTCTTTTTGGTTATGATCAAGGTGTCACCGGTGGTTTGTTGACACTTGACTCTTTCGTCAAATATTTCCCCGAGATCAACACGTTGGAGTCGTACACGGAGGGGTGGAGCTCAGCGGCGAAGAGCAACCAGTCCACTCGGCAGGGCATCACAGTCGCAGCCTACAACCTGGGCTGTTTTGCGGGCTCGATTCCCACAATTTGGATCGGTAATATCTTGGGTCGTCGCAAGGCTATCTTCATTGGATCGTTCATCATGTGTATTGGCGCGATCCTGCAATGCACATCCTATGGCCTTGCGCAATTCATCGTAGGCAGATTGGTCACTGGATTTGGTATGTCCTGAAAGGTGTTGAATATGAAGTGAAAACTTACTGACGCGCAACCAGGAAACGGAATCAACACTTCCACAGTCCCTACCTGGCAGTCCGGTACGTCAGCATCATCCTCACCCAGCATCGATCTGTGATTTCTTTTGCAAGAGCTCCACTTGGGGAGATTGGGGGAATCGACACAATACTGGCAGATACTGACGTGGAATAGAATGCTGCAAGTCCCACCGACGAGGCCAGATGGTGATGATCGAAGGAGCCATGATCACCTGCGGTATCACCATAAGTTACTGGATTGATTTCGGCCTAATGTTTGCCGACCCCAACGAGGTCGCGTGGAGGTTCCCACTCGCCTTCCAGATCTTCTTCGCTGCAATCATCCTCGGCTTCGTCATGTTCCTGCCCGAGTCTCCCCGTTGGCTCATCCTGAAGGGCCGCGAGGAAGAGGCAAAAGAGGTCCTTGCGTGCTTGATGGGTGACGAGACGGACGAGCTTTTTATCGAAACCGAATTCACCGCCATCAAAGCCACGGTTCTAGAGATGGCAACGGGGTCATTCCGAGACATGTTTACTATGGGCGAGGACCGACACTTCCACCGTACAATGCTGGCGTACGTCAATCAGATGTTCCAGCAGATATCTGGTATCAACTTGATCACCTATTATATCCCGACTCTTTTGGAAAGTCAGGTTGGCTTGGATGCGACGACTTCGCGTCTCATCGCTGCTTGCAATGGCACTGAGTATTTCATCGCGTCTTGGATCGCTGTGTTCACCGTGGAGAAGTTTGGCCGTCGATCACTGATGCTGTTTGGTGCTGTCGGCATGTCACTTTCCATGGTGGTGCTTGCGATATCAGACAATATTTCTGCAAGCCACAAGGGGACATCAACTGGAGTTAAAGCGGGCATTGCCCAAACTGTCTTCCTGTTTGTGTTCAATACTTTCTTCGCCATTGGTTGGCTCGGAATGACCTGGTTATACCCTGCCGAGATCGTCCCGTTAAAAATCCGCGCTCCGGCAAATGCGTTGTCCACTTCTTCCAACTGGATTTGGAACTTCATGGTCGTGATGATCACCCCAGTCGCCTTTGAAAATATTGGTTACAAGACCTATGTCATATTCGCTGTGATGTAAGTGATGCTTGGTCGCTTGAAACTGATTTGGCACTAACAGCAGACAGTAACGCCGCCATCGTTCCGGTGGTCTACTTCTTCTTCCCTGAAACGACTATGCGCTCACTCGAGGAGATGGATCGCATATTCCGCAAGACCACAAGCATCTTTAACGTGGTCTCTCTGGCACGCTCCGAGCCTCACATGTATGGACCGAATGGTGAGCTGCTCCGTACGTTGGACGACGTTGAAGACGATGCCGTCCGTCGCGCTAGCTATTTGAACAAAGAGAGTAAAGCGCAGCAGCAGACTCATACTCATCATGCGGAGAAGTACAGTGACGGGAATACGAGCGAGGATAAGTGAAGAAGTCCGTTTATTCTGCAGGGAGCAATATTCCTCGAACTATTTACCACTTCACTGGGATGTCATGGCAATGATCCTATGCTGAAGTCCTGTCTATATCACTCTAACTAAATACCCGGTATGCGCTTTATCGTTTTCATGTCTCAAGACAATCCCACCTCTTCATCTCTGCGCTCTAGCTTTTAGACCGTGGTAGGAACATCGTACAACGCAGCCATCCTAAGTGCTGTCGCTCTCATACCGTTTATTATGCCACATGGTTCACATCATACGAGACTTCCGAGGTCGCCCCCCGATCCAAATGTCCACATCAGTGGATTATGTTGTCACTGAAAGAGTCTGTCACTGAAGTTGTATTGAGATTCTTCTATTTGATCTATCCAGCCTACCGTCGCTTTACACCACCTCTTGATGATCGGTACCAGCAACATCTTTCTTGGGACCTTCTTCCTTGCGACGCTCAATCTCTTCTCCGAAGATATCACCAATCTTGTGAGTTTGCCATGGCTTCACATCAGTATCGAAGACCAAGTCGATCTCCTCAAGCGACCTGCCCTTAGTCTCGGGGTACATGAGGAACACATGAATAGTCATGACGCAGCAGAAGACTCCGAAGATAATATAAGTCTTCCACTGGATGTTGTGGAAGGCAGGGGCAACGAAGTACGCCAAGGCGAAGTTGAAAATCCAGTTGGTCGCGGCAGAGATACCAACACCCTTGGCTCGGTACTTCAAAGGGAAAACCTCAGATGCGTAGATCCATCCGGTCGGAGCCTGTTTTTGTCAGTTCGTAATTCAGGATATAGCATGAAGGGAAGATCACATACCCAGGTGAGACCGTAGATTCCAGTGAAGATGTATGAGAACGCAATAACTGCCATTCCGGCACTGCCTTTGATCTCCCAGGTCAAGTTGGCATTTCCATTCACGTCCGGGACGGGTCTGCCGTGGCTTGCCATGACACCGGCAATGATGAAGTGCACCACCATGCAAGTGACGGATCCAATCAATAGCAGGTTCCTGCGACCCACGCGATCGATGAAAGGAAGCATGACTCCAGTGGTCACCAGGAAGATCACGTATTGAATAGCAGAGGACCACAGTGTGGTGTTACCGGTCTATATGTATAGATCAGCGATACGTTCATGTTTCCACGCATGAAGCGTGCACTTACCATGCCAGCCATCTCGAAGATGTAAACAACGTAATACATGGCAACATTACCGCCCAGCAGTTGCTGCCACATTTGCACACTCATTCCACACATTGTCCGCTTCCAAACGCGGGGACCAAACAATGCCAAGAAGGAAACATCGTGAGACTCATGAGCCACACGAACGGCCTCTTGCACCTCCTCGAACTCAACCTGCACAACCGGGTCATGACGATCCCCATTGGCATGGATAGTAGCCAATGTGTCCAAAGCCTCCTCCCAACGTTCCTTCGAGGCAAGCCAGCGAGGCGACTCGGGGAAAAAGAACAAGGCGATGAAGAGGATCAGGCCTGGGACAGCTTGCACACCCCAGCAAATCCGGAACGCGGCAGGTCCGGATACACCCACCACACAGCCATAGGCGATCAAGTACATGATCAGAATACCCCATTCGATCGCCCATTGCTGAATACCGACCACACGACCACGGATCTTGGCCGGTGCCAGTTCTGAGAGATAAACGCATACTTGCGAGGAGGTGATTCCGACGGCCAATCCACTGACGACACGACCGGCGACGAGGTGCGTTACATTTTGCGCACTGCACTGGACCATGGCGCCCACAATCCAGATTAGTGAGGCGATCTGAAGAGCGTAGCGACGACCGAGGATATCTGATAGCCAACCGGCTGCGATGGATCCAGCGAATGAACCTGCCGACATGGATGCCGTGATCTATAAAGGTTAGTCCACTAGACAATTTGATAAGTTGGAATCACATACTCCACCCTGCAGGTCGGAATTGGGGGAATTGAAATAATCTTTGTACGTGTCGACGCCAATCCAGGCGCTCATTGAGCTAGACTTGGAGTCAGTGATTGTTTCATTGTACTGAGTGACATTGCAACTCACCTCACATCGAACCCAAAGAGGGCACCTCCGATGGTGCCAAATGCGGCCAGCACTGCAACGCGTTAGCATCCTGAAGCCCGTGAGAGTCCAATCTCCACCCACCATAGATATTGGTTATGGTATACATTGCAGCTATACCAGAATGCCAAAGCTTTGGGGCTTGCGGGATGGCGTTTTATAAGTAGTCTAGTGCCATGACCGGTTTCGAGCTTCACGGAAAGACATGGTACGACGTCGGGTCCGGGGGACTCACCCCGGAGTGGAAATAGATCACCCCGTGTGGAGTGAAATCCCGGGGCTCGAAAGTCGGGGGTGGACACCGCGTCATTTGGCGGGCCTGGTCGCTGCCGAGAGCCAGTCGGGGCATTCATCTGGGCAGCTCTTTTAACCGAGTCTTTTTATCCGAATCTCGCTTCACCCCGACTTCTGGCTAATTTTCCGCCTTTTGCCTATTCTGTGTCTCAGCTTTCCCCTCATATTCTTGCGGGCCGTTTCGTACGGATCGGCATACCGACGTCATGCATCTGAGACTGGAATTGTCAAGGGCGATGCGGGTTGAAAAGCAAATCATCTCTGTCTTTGTCTATTCAAGCTTTGACAGATTCTGGCCGGCGCGATAGTCCCCGGAGTGCGTGAACTATACTCGGGTCGGAACATCCGACATGCTAATATCGACGATCGGCCAATTTCAGGGTCTCGGAGCCTCTGCGGATGGCTTTGCTGCCCGAAGTATCCTCCGTTTCAATGCCCAGGAACTGGCCAGACTTCTTCCAATGGGAAGACTCAGCCACATTCAACCACAGATCCTTCCCGACATCTGGGAAGTCTCGGAACTTCAACATATTACCGACTCAACTCTCCTTCAGGCTTCATTTGAACTTATCGTCCACCGCCGATTCGCCAATGATGACCGTGATTGTTGGCGTAACGCCACATGCAGGTCTTCCTGCTCGAAGCATCCGATGGATGTTCTGTGAAGTCATGTGAGCCAGAACCTCACTATACTCAAGCAAACCCTTTGCCCGAGAAAGAGTTTGAGCAACTTGTTGGTCTCTTCGCTTGTCTCGGAGGTCTGAGCTGCCTACGCCACGAGAGAGTCAAAATACGCCATTACCGCGCAGTTCGAGCCATGGCGCCACCCATGAGATGGTGGCGCCTTTGGTGCAGCCGAACAAAGCGCCACAAGCTCGATGTATTCGAGAGGAAGCAAGAGTTTGGTAAGAGATTCTCGTTTATTTCTCGAGTAATAGAATGGAGGATCGGGTAAATGATGAGGTTACATACAGTGCGGCCACACCAGTTGACCTCAGACCACCGGAATTTTACCCTTTCAATAATCTCATCTAGTTGCTCTGTTCGCCGTAATCTTGCACAGCTGGAGGGCCTGGAATTTTGATCTAAAATTATTCCGGCATCAGAATATCCTACCGCCGTAGAATTGAATACATTCCCTCTAGCATTCCACGGTTTCTTCGTTAGCTCACGATCTACCAAAGTCATCTTCTAGGAACGAGCCCACAGCGAGCTCTTCCCTTTTCTCTTTGCTAGACACAGGATATGTTCTGTGAACATCAGTCATATGTCTACCAGAAAAAAAGGAATCCACACCTCCATCCAAGTGAGATCATCTCAAGTGAATCATGAAGCTCACGAGTCACGACTCTCCAGATCTCTAACCCGCACCCCTCAAATTCCTCTCTACCTCCCCATTCTCGAAGCAGTTCTTATACCTGCACAAGCCTTACTGGTGCAGTAGACAGCACCCCACCCCCGTTCATCAGCTGTGGGGATATGTGGGGGATGCGGAAGTAGCCGATGAGCAGTTCGCCACTGTCGAACACTGCCAATCCAGCGAGAATATATTGACCCGCCATCATCGTGATACTCATTTAATGAAATCGACGTTCAATGACTATGGAGCGCTGTCGATTTGCTTCAAGCCAGAAAGTGAGCTTTGCCGGCTTTTGCAGTCTGACATCGCCGAGGGTCAATTCATCGATGACCGTCAACGGGTGCATTCGATTCGAAAGGCGCTGTGTGTGCCTCGGTTTGAGTCTGGGTACGATATGCCCTATGCTATATTCTGATACGCCAACTTGCGGTGCAAAAACTCAATGGGGTGTTCACTACCCCGGTATGTGCACGTCCACATCAACATCGGAAATATCGCACAGGGAAGTAACACTCATTCGTGGGATCGGCTTTTTGATGTGCCCCTGGGGCCTCTCTTTTTGGGGGGGGGGAACATAGGCCCTGTGGATGACGCTGAGATTGCTCAATTGCACGCCAGAATCCCGAATCCTCCCATGCCTCAGCTACATGAATATGATCACGGCGTACAAGGTGAAGGCAGTGGTTTTGAACTTTTTTTGTATCCATTCTATGAGATCTATATGTATCTCTATGGGCTATGTTCAGGCCGAAAAAGCATTAAAGAATACACCACATGAAAGCACATCACACGTCAGTCCAGAATTTACAGCTTGCTCTTCGCTGGCTCGTTCTTGAGCAAGGCAGAGTTCCAGGGGTATGGGTCGAAGGTCAGGTCATTGACGGGGTTCTCCTGGCTTGCCCGACGGAAGAGGTCCTCGTAGACCTTTCCGTCATAGCGGCCGAGACTGCTGTCCAACTGCCAATCGGGGATGGCCCATGCGTCGACCAGGCGAACGGCATGAGGACGGATGTCATCGAGGAGCTTCATCACGGCGGTAGTACGGGTCAGAGTGATCTGGCGGACGGTCACAGCGCCGGAGGCAAAGAACTCAGCGGCTTCGCGCTCCAGGGTGTGAAGAGAGAAGAGGCGGAAGAGCTTGTGCATGAGGCCCTTGGTCTCGGGGTCCAGGGAGGCAGAGAGTTGAGGAGAGGAGACGGCTTCGTAGAAGTTCTTGACGACGAGGTACTGGGAGTGGGCAGTTGAGAGACGCCAGAAGTCAACCAAGAGGCTGTTCCAGGAGCGCTGCTCGGCGTCACGGTGCTTGAGGGCCTCGAAAGTCAAGTGAGCAGTGCGCCAGGCGAAGGCGTCCACAATGTCCTTGTCTTCCTCGAGAACATCGAACGAGGCACCCTTATCCCGTCGGTCGAGGTATGCTTGCAGGATACGGCTGGTGTCATTGCCGGCTGACTTGCCGGCGAGAACACCACGTGCGGATTTCAGCAGCTAGAAAACAAAGTCAGTCCGATGGCCAAAGAAAGGTGAGTGCACTTGTAACATACATAACGAGCAACCTGCTGGGTGAGCATGTAGTTGTCACCTTCCCACGTGAGAGTGGGGAGGTAATCAGAGTACCAGGGGCCGATGCCGCTGTAGCTGCTGTATCCGTGACCACCACATGCGCGACGGCAAATCTCCAGACCCTCGCCAGCAGTGGTACTGGCGAGAGCCTTGAGACCACAAGAGGTGGCGTGGAGATCAGCGAGCAGGTTGGCACCGGCGCGGAGCTCTTCGGGTCCAGCGCCACGGGAGTCCTGGCCAGGAGAGTTGGCAGCCTTCATGCGGCTCTGGTTCTCTTCATACAAACGCATCATACCGCGACCGGTGAAGTGCAAAGCATACATGGAAGCCAACAGAGGCAGCAAGCGGACCTGCACCATCTTATAGTTGAGGACCTGGTTCTCACCAGCGTGTGGTTCGGCATCACGGTCCTGGAATTGTCTTCGGACCGCACAGTACCGGGTCGCGATGGTGACACCGCGAGCGAGAACACCACCGGCCTGCAGTACGATGTTTGACCGCACCCAGGTCAAAGTGCCGAAAACCAGCGAGGGCATCGCGGGCTTAGAGTAGTGGTTTGTGGCCTTGTCGATGGAAGAGAAGCGGGCGAGCATGTTGACATGGGGAATCTTGACATTGTTGAACAGCAAGAAACCGTTGTCCATAGTGCTGCAAATGAGATTAGCAAGCGTATTTTGGAGCCCAGGCGCGCGAGTGATACTTACTTATATCCAAACTTAGGTCCAATATCGCCCACGTACACGTTGTCCAGGGGCTGGTGTGTCTCCAAGTCACGGACCTGGACAACGAATGGGTGTGGACCAAAGTTCTTTCCATCGATAAACAGCTGGGCCATCACAACAGCATGGTTGGCCGTGCGACCGAGTGATCCAATCCACCACTTGGAAGCAGTCAATGTGGGAGAGTTGATGGTGAAGGTCTTATCGTTGGAGTTCCAAGTAGCAGTGGTTTCCAAACCACGAACGTTTGATCCGTGACCCAGCTCGGTTTGTGCATAGCAACCGATGATCTCGTACTTCTGGGCGCGTTCGAGGAACAACTTGTGCTGCTCGGGGGTTCCTTGTTCGCGGAGGGTGACCTATTCGGACATCGGCGGTTAGTCTGGGGTCCTCTTGCTGATCGCTGCTGACCTACCAGGAACATGCTAGCGTGCAAGCCATAGGGGGTGGGCTCGCCAATCAGCTCATTGGCGGCGTGAAGCTCTTCCATGGACCATTTGTGCTGCTCGGCCAGCTGCTGCAGGCGCTTGGCCTTGCCGAGCGACCGTTGCAGGCGCTCGACGCGGCCCAATGTGTGGTTCTGTGACTTATCGAAGACCTTCTCAGGCTGGAGGAGACCCAAAAGGTGTTGTTGGCGCTGGAGAGTTTGCTTGGTGTGGAGCAACTCGGACAGTTTCTCGACGTTCACGTTTGACTGTGCGCGCTCCTGCTGCAGGAGCTCGGAGCCTTGGGGACCAGAGGGCTTAAGGGCCTTGACCCAATCGGGGGGAGGAGTTGGCATTATGAAGATGTGTGAATGAAAAGAGACCTAACCGTGCGAAGTTGGGGAACGAAGGACAGTTATGAACCCCGGGGTAATGGTGACGTTTCTTATGGCCGAGGCTCTCGATTCGGAAAGAACCTCGGCCCAACGTCGTGACCAATCAGAGCAGCGGGACCTCGTTATTCTCTCCCCGGTGCCGTTTACTCCCAACATTTTGCTAATAGTCGCA